TACCATTTGAGTCCTCCGTTTTCCTTTCCTCTCTCTCTAAATGTCATCTGATTGATGTTTGTGCGTGTGTCATTACATGGGTTTTCTTGGGTCTTAAAAAGATGATACACTGAACTATCCGAGAATTTATTTGCAAAATGGATGATTTGCCTACCTTCACCAGAACTTACAGTTAAGTAGACCGGTTCGGACCGACGACAGTAAAAGAAACGCATTTCGCGAAGATCAGCTCCTTCAGTAAAGTTCGACGACCGACTCACCAACTCTTATCGTCGCTCATTTCGCGTTACCATGGCGTGTGGGGGCGCACGGTCAAAAACAAAAGCCACGGTGGACATGCATGCGATGCCTGCTGCAAGGCCCGTTTATGCAAAGGCCGCCAACTACTGATAGAAGATCAGGGTAGGACGCAGTAAAGCATGACCAGAAGATAGATCATCAAAACGTGTATCTAGAATTTTGACATGCAATCGAACTTAGCTGGATTTCTTGTGGTCCATCCCTGTCCGTTGACCTCGCGAGTCTTTTGCGCTCCATCGTGCCGAACATCGAAGACAGTCGGTTATCTCCTGTCGCCAACCATTCTAGTTTTTCGGTAGGGAAACTAATCCGTCGCATCGAATACGGTATCCGGGCCCCGTTCGGCCCCCGTTACGGCCGCAGGAACTTGTTCTTGGAGCGCCGTTTCCCCTAAGCGATCGGGAACGAATGCGTACCTGGGCAACTTCGCCATCTTTTCCTCCGGACTGGTCTCATTGTCAGAATACACCAATCTTGACTGCTTGGACTTGTCCTTCTTGGTGGGCTTCTCTTCTGTGGGAGGGGCAGCGCTTGCGGCTGCTTGGTCTGCTTCTTTGGCAGCACCGGAGATGAGGTCGTCAATAGACGATGAGATCGGTGTGGCTTCGGCTCCTGGGGGCTTCTCGCCGTTGGCAGCACCAGCAGGGGCACCGGTGGCCGGAACCGGATGGCCCATGTGCATTTGCTGGAGCTGATAGGCATTGACCTGTGGAGCACCCACTGCAGGCCGTTGAGGAAGACCGGGGGCGGCTGGTAAACTCCCAGATCTTTGCGCAAATGCGGCAGCCTGTGGGGGTGTGTTGGTTTGAGGTGTTGGTTGGTGTGGCTGTTGTGGAGGGAAAGGCGGTGGTGTTCCGTAAGCTGCGCCGGCCTGACCGGGCGTGCCCTGGAATGATTGCGGGGAGTATCCCGCTGGAGTATACTGTGCACTAGGAGGAAATTGCGATTGTCCGCCAGGTGAGAAATTCTGGTAGACCGGACTTGCCGTTTGTTGATAGGGAGAGCCCGCACCACCGTACGGCTGAGGATATGTGTACTGTGAGCTTGGAGCAGCTGTCGAGGGTGATTGGCTCTGCATCGCCATCGTTAGCGTTAGGGAACTTCGAACAGCCCGAATCTACTACATCAAACTTACAAAGGCACCCGCATTCTGTGTTTGTCCTGCACCAACAGGCGTCACGTCACCGCTGCTTCCGCCAGTCATAGCCTCGGCCTTTTTGGCTTTATGTTCTGCCAGTCGCTTTTTCAGATCCGATACGTTTTCGAGCTTTGGCCTCTTCGCTGGCTGTCCGCCAACGCCCGCGCCAGGAGGAGGGTTACCAGTCTGGGCCTGGCGCTCCGCCTCGGCTTGGTGGAACTGTGTTACGACCCGCTGGTTGTGAGACTGGATGATATCTTCGGGGACACCTTCCATGCCGAAGATCTCAACATCAAGACTTTGCCGGTTGGGAAGCGCATTGTCAACAGCCGACAACTGTTCCTTATGTACTTGACTCATATGTACCGACAATCCTGTTCGCGCGGTGTTAGAATCGGTCCATCAAAGTAGAACCAAGAAAGACATCGCGACCCACCTCCAGCAGTGTTCAGCCTTCTCCCACACCTCTCACATTTGAAATGTTTTGCCTTCTGATGCGATATGAGGATTTTGAGGTCATCGAAATCACGTTCGCAGTAGTAGCACCATGGACGAGCTAAAAGCTCATCCAGAGTCGGACCACGTCTCTTCTTTCCCATGGTGAGTGTGGTTTCTGGCGTCGGTTTACGCTTAAGCTAGAGGGTATCTGAAGTCCGATTGACGATGATTGTGGATGCGCTGGCGGGGATTGTCGACGCGTTTGCGATCCGGCGCCGGTGGTGGAACAACTGTCGTGCCTTGAGGTGAGGCTTGCCTTGTCACGTGCGGATCAGATTTATCTGGGTGTTCCGTCCTGTGACGTATCCAATACTAGCGCAATACTTTGATGGTATTCACGTGATACCGTTGGCGCCATCTTGGATACACTGAGATATACGAGTACGGAGTACTGTGGCTGCAAATTCTGCAGATGGCCATTCCATGGATCTTTGTTCTTTGGGTCTGGTGGCATGATTGAACCCAGTCGTTTTCAATCAATAATCATTGAATGTGCGTTCACATAACCCAAAATGAACAACTACCTGTATCAAGAATCACCTCTACTCATACTAGTACACATGGATTAGGTTGAGATCAAAGTTTTATGGCTTATAATTTAAGCTACATCCGACACCTTCAATAAGATCGTCTCGGTGGCGCAACTGGTTAGCGCGTCTGACTGTTAATCAGGAGGTTGTGAGTTCGATCCTCACCTGGGACGACGCAATTCGTTTTTTTTTTTTTTTGCTTTTTTGCTTTTTGGTTGTATCACCAGTTTTCTCAATCCCCTTCTTTTTCTTTTCGTCTTCCAAAACATATTGTGGTTGGTAGCTACGCTACATGCAATTGTTGCCGTTCCTTGAAAAATACGTTGTCGGGATCTAGCCCTCGTCGGGTCTAAACCATGGATAGGGTATTTTCACTGCCATGTATCATCGCAAGTTCAGGCCAATACATTGGTCACCCAGGATGCAAGGCTCGTCATACGATAGCTTCAGTCTCGAAGACACGAGCTTACAACCTGCCTTTGCTGCGGGGGGTGATATATTTTTTACATGTATCCTAGAAGTTTATTATCCAAGGAATCAATCAAGACAATACTGGTGCAGTGCACTTCAAGACAGAATCGGCGGCACTAGAGATCGAACAGGGGGGCTGGCTACCTAAATAAATTCAAGGCGCTACCGGCAGCTTGGGCATGGCACACCGTATCTGTAGTAGGGTAGGGAGAGGTGCCATCCTGGAAGCTTCAGCGGCTGACGTTCGATGGTAAGAAAGGCGCCTCGCCATATACACGAATGGGAGGTTTACGGCGCTGGCTGGCCGGAAATGACGTCGGGGATAAGGGGCCAAGACTTGCGGGGGTACAAAAAGTATTACCTGGGTGTAGTACGAGAGTACTTAGAATCGATACCCTACTGGGTTTCCATATGGAGTCCTCCTCCCAACCCGTCGGATAACAAAACCGACGGCTTCCGAGTGCAACGCTGTTGCAACACTACGGTGACAAGGGTTTGTACATTGTAGGGGACCGGTCGATCTCCGATCTGTGTGTCCTTTGAGGGTGTTTTGGTTTATCAATCTAAGGGATGGATAATATGTCACGGATATATACTGTATACCCCGGTATATAGCTTGTTGCGGCGACATCTAGGCTAGACCCACGGAATACATAGTAGTAGATACATACATACGGGTACTATCTCGAACATTACGCCCCCAAATAGCATTCGTGGTGCCTCTTAAAATCAGTCAACATGGCAAGAAATGCTGCCATGATCGTTGTATATATAGTTATCATATTCATAACATAACAAGCTAGCTAGTTTGAGAGAACTTCAGCAAAAAATTTGTAAAAGAGGTGGATGTTTCTGTTCTAACAGAGTTGTATAGGGAGCTTGTCTCGTACTTAGTAGACATGTTGACGTCAACACACAACTCCACCTGTCCTCAACTGACAGCATGTCTGAATTCATCAACTGTTTTAGTGGTAGATTAGTTTCCTTGGCAATGATGCATTGGATGGGACTGAAGTTCACGTTGCGTTGCTGCCTATGCTCGGGGTCTCGATGCTGGATACGTATACCGACACGTCTCTAGGAAAAATAAGGGGGAAGCAATTGCGCGATAGGGGCTAATTATGAACCTCTTCTTAAACACAATCACTATCGTTATCGAGTCTGAGGTTGGGGGGGGGGAGTTGTAATTTTTTTTCAATTTCTCTGTTCCCCATCGTTCTTTTTTTTTTTTTTTTTTTTTCGGGTGTTCTCTTCCTGTTTTAGGGCTCTGTTTACCTAGTGGGGACTTCAGTCTCCACACTCCGTAACTATACATAGTAAAGAAAGGTACACAGTCCTCCGTATATTATTGCATAGGGATGTGGGCAACATGTGTGTGCAGACATGAACCTGCTTGCTCAATGTCTTTTCTTCCGCGTAGAAGAAGAATAAGGGGCCAAGGACACTCTGGCGATACGATACGGCAGCCCTATGTTGCATCCTAAGGACCTCCCCCAATGGAATTACTGGCTAGTAATCTGATGTTGGAAAAAAGCGGGATTCCTACTCCGTACTGCGACTATGACGCGGCCTCATCCCCATCCCTTCCCATTCAGCCAATACCACTAAAAATATAAGATTTCTCGCGGTACCTATGCTGATAAGGGCCTGGTACTGGTGGAATTCTTGGGTACATACATCTCGTGGGCAGTGCTTGAGGTGGGATGGGATGCCTTAGCTAAATTAAATTCCAAGTAATTTTATGAGAAATGTGTTATGCACGGAAGGATGGAATATCAGAATGCAGAGAGGAACGGCCCCTCTCTTTAATAATAATAAAAATAGTAAAGCTGTTGCGTCTCTTGAGTGGCCCGATCAAAGGAACTAATCTGCAGTGCCAAGGTCCACAAGGCTTTCCATGGCAGCAGCAACAAAAGTATGTCTTAGTTTAAGGCTATGGAGGACTTGCCACTCGTTTCGGTAAGTAACTGAGCACGCGACTGGAACCTTTGAACTTGAGATAAAAATCCAATTTACCCGCTGATCTCGCATTCCAGATCCCTTCATATATGCTAGACGGTCCCAATTTCTTCCGTGATTGAACATTATTTCTCCTGACACCTCCCCCCTCTCCCCTTGTCCCCAAACGATATCTATACTTTGAATTCGCTCGCGTTTCCATTGAATTCGCCGATCTCGACCTAGACTTCCCCCCCCGGGCGCATATCGAATTTCTGACGAACTGCCGCCTTTCCGGCACCAGCAACCCCGGCCTACCTTATAGTCGCCCTGTGCCACCAGTACCACTTGGGCATGCAGGCTTATCCATCATTGGACTGAATTAGGAAAGGGGGAAAACAAAAAAAAAATAAAATAAAATACAATAAAATAAAATAAGAAAATAAAAGTTATAAAAAAGCACAACTATCAAAAAGGAGAGCAGTTTGGGGGGAAAACTTTTGAGACACAACTCGTTCTCTCACACGCAATGTGGATTTCCACATCCCGATGGCTGCCTTGCCTCTACGGGCTCGTGTTCGCCGTGGGTGCGTTAGCCGCCTCTGATACCGACCCCGATTTCAAAAGTGTCCGGACAAAGTTTGTCAAGGACTATAGCGGCACAGGTCCAAGTGAACCCGCGACAGAGAAATACTTTCGTAAGTGCTGCCTATCCAAAGAAACTTCCGACCTACTGCTAACCAGTCATTAGACGAGTCTAGGTAAGGTTTGCGACGTCATCGGTTTGGAAGTTTTCTAAAAAACTAACTTGTTCGATAATAGTTTCCACTATCACTATGATGGAAGGTATGTTTTTGTTTTTTAATTCTCTGTTCCTGGTTGCGCGTGTACTGAGTTCTGTCATTTATAGGTTCGCCGATGAAGAGCTTTCGGAGGAAGAGACGCTGCCACACCTGTCACAACTCATTCGAACATACCTGTCAACCATGGCCGATCTGGGTGCTGAAACATGGATAATGCACGGAACTCTTCTGGCGTGGTGGTGGAACCAAAAGGTAGCGTGAGGCCATGAGGAATATTGAGACACACGGCGTTTCCTAACGGTGGCTAGATCTTTCCATGGGACAATGATATCGACGTCCAGATTTCGGAGCCGACCATCCATTTTCTTGATGAATATTACAATATGACCGAGCACCATTTCGACATTCCAGGCGTCGAGGGCGGGCGGACCTATTTACTCGAGATCAACCCGAACTACGTTTTCCGTTCCATCGAAGACAAAAAGAACGTGATTGATGCACGGTGGATTGATACCTCATCGGGACTGTTCATCGATATTACCGCAGTGCGTCCGGATGATGCTAAGAGAAAGAACGGCGACACCGGAGCTTTAATGTGCAAAGACAAACATCATTTCGATGTAAGTCGCTTGCGCTCAGGGACGCACGCCAGTGCATGACTGACTTTCGTTCAAGGAAAATGATATATTTCCGCTCCGGAATAGTCGCTTTGAAGATTTCCCAGTTAAGATTCCTTTCGAATACGTCAAGCTCCTTGAGGAGGAATACGGACCCAAGGCCTTAACTGCCACGGATTTCCAAGAGTACGTTTGCACCATTTTCTGTCTGACGCGGTCTTGTTGGTAAACTGACATCCACTTCGCAGTCATCATTTCAATGAGGAAACTCTAGTTTGGGACCCAGTTTCGTAAGTCATAGTTCGTAACGTGCTTGATGGACTTCTTCCTTATACTATCCGCAGGAAACGAAAGCGGTCGCTGCGACGAGGAGGTGCCGTCGCTTTTCCCGTTCGAACGACGCCTCTCAAATATAAGATGACATGATTTCGCCAACGTTTAAAAGAAAAAAAAAAAAGACCTAACTTTATATTCGCCCAATAAGCCATATACCTTCAACTCGATCTACCTTGCGATTATGACGACGTGAACCAGCATTGGATTCGGCAAGAATCCTTCCTTTCATACTTTCGGCGTTTCTGCTATTCGGGGTTGCGCATTCTTCAGGCATGGGTTGCACTTGGCGTTCGGTTTCTTATAGCACATATTTGGCTATATTCGCTTCTTATTGAAGACTCCTGCGAATGCGCTTCATGGAGGTGGACATCTTGGGACTTGGTACACATGGAGCCTCATTTTGTGGGTTTGTATCGATATGGTTGGTTGATAGATGTACATGATATGTGTGTGTGTGTGTGTGTGTGTGTGTGTGTGTGTGTGTGTGTGTGTGTGTGTGTGTGTGTATGTATATATATATAAGGGTGGTGTTGGATACATAGATAATTTTCCACAGTGTGTCCAGCGGTCGACATGAGTGATCGCGACCACCTTTGAACATTGTTTTTCTCTATCCCCAATTGTTGACTCGAAAACCCTATTAATAGAGCATCAAACATTCCAGGCCATGAGGCTTGCTGCTACTTGTCCCAAGCTTTTGAGTTTATCCACCACAATACGAACGGACAAATCATGTCGAGTTTATGGATGTCCGTCTAAGCCCTGTCTCGGTGAACCTAAAGTCTCGTGGCTTGACCTTACTGGGAGCCAATACGGGATTGCCCGGTACGAAGATGTTTGACTCACGAAAGGCAGGGCCGATAATAGGAGTTCCACAGCCTCCGATTAAATTTCGATCAGATAAGAAACGAGGATCTGCTGACCTGACCACAACTTCTTTAGCTTCAAATCACTCCTGAAGTGGGTGGGGATGACGTCAGGGGCATTCGTATCTGTATGTTGGAGCAAATGTATTTCCGGATGCTATATACCAGTATATTATTTTCTTCTCTTCTTTAGTAATAAATTGTTTGCTCTCCGTGTCAATTGGGATGAATTGTACTGGACAAGATATCATACGTCACTATGTACTTCACATATACGTGACTATAGGTTGGATTTCTTTTGTTTCTGATAAACCTTGGAAACCCTGGTAATAATACGGTAATTAGCGATACACGCTCGAAGACCCAGAAGGATGATACTAATATATTACTAGTGGTACCCGTGAAGTACTTCAGATTAGTAATGATACCAGGTGCTCCAGCCAATGAGATCAGCCAAGATCCTATCGTTCGGCCTGGACAGTGGGCAGTGGAGCCAATGAAAGGGACGGGAGACCTCACGCAAGCTCCACTATGAGTCGAAGACTGAAGATCCCGTCTCACGTTCTTTTGGATAATCCATACCTTAGCATTGTATCTTTTTTTTAATTTCTATTTTTTTTTTTTCCCACGACTTATGCCTGGTGCTCCTCCTCCTATATTATACCCCCTAGGTTCTCCCACCTGGTCGAGAATGTCACAGTTGGTGGATGTTTTCTCTGCTATCCCCACTTCTCCGCCATGTCGTTCCCGCCTGCTGAATCCACACAATCTGCGAATCAATCCCAATATGGCTCAGATCCCCTCTTAAGAACAAGTCCCCCGGCGATCTCTCATGCTTCGCAGGACAACGGCCAGCGTAGTTGTATTACCTGTCGTCGGAGGAAGGTCCGCTGCAACAAGAAATGTCCGTGTGTCAACTGTGTCAAGGCGGGCATCGAGTGTGTGTTCCCTCCCCCGGGGCGAGCACCGCGCAAGTCGAAACGGCCGCATGATGCAGAACTTCTATCGCGATTGAAGCGCTTAGAGGGTGTGATTGAGCATCTCAGTGAGAAAAATGCGTCTCTGTCAACGGCGCCTTCTCCCACGCAACAGCGCAGTGGGTCTGTGACCACAGCCGAATGCCCTGGAAGCGCCGAACCCCAAAGTGCAGAGCCCGATGGGTGTCCATTTGACCCGAAGCGAAAACCACGAAACTTGGAGCATGAGTTTGGAAGATTAGTTATTGAAGAGGGCCGGAGCCGATATGTCAACAACCGGCTTTGGGCAAGCTTGGGAGACGAGGTGAGCTTCGTGCCCGTAGTTTAACCATGTCTATTTGTTTGCCCTCAGCATACTCGAATACTGACTCGCATTAGATTGAAGAGCTTCAGGACCTCTTGGACCCATCATCGTCGGAGGATGAAGATCATCCCTCTCCGGCGTCCTCTTCGACTCATTCAACGAACCACGATGGGTTCTTGTTTGGATTCTACTCCCTATCGCACTCACTTCGTAGTTTCCATCCGCCACCATTGAAGGTCCCGTTGCTTTGGCAGGCGTATTTGGAAAATGTGGATCCCTTGATGCCCATTATTCATAAACCGTCGGCTAAGCAATTATTTACGAACGCCACTGACCATCCGGACTCGCTGGACAAAAACTCCGAAGCTTTGTTACTCTCAATGTATTTCGTAACGATAATAAGTTTGACACCGGGACAATGCCTTGCTCTGCTAGGAGAAGAGCGTGATACTGCCGTGAGTCGATATCGGTTCGCTGTCGAACAGGCATTATCTAAGGCGAACCTCTTAAATACTCAAAGCCTGATGCTTCTGCAAGCTGCTGTGATTTTCCTGATCGCGGTGCGCCGAGAAGACGATACCAAATTCGTTTGGTCGATGACCTCTCTCGTCATCCGACTTGCCCAAGGTTTAGGATTGCATCGAGATGGAACGAACTTTGGTCTAAAACCCTTTGAAACGGAGATGCGGCGACGATTGTGGTGGCATATCGGACTGCTGGATATTCGGTCCTCTGAGGATCATGGCACTGAGACTCAAATTACTGAAAGAATGTACGATACGCGACTTCCGTTGAATATCAATGATGACGACATCTACCCTGAGATGCAGGAGCCACCGGAAGAGAGAACTAGCTTTACAGAAATGAGTTTCAGCCTCATGCGCTTTGAGATCACAACAGCTCTTCGGCGGGTGAGCTATGCCTGTCCAAATACCAATATCCCAGGGCCTCAACAGCCGTCGCCAGAGAAATGTGGCAACTTGATCCAAATCGTCAACAAGCGCATCGAGGAAAGGTATATCCAACATTGCGATATGAACGTTCCGATCCAATGGGTCACTGCGACAGTTGCTCGCCTTATTCTAACAAAGTTGTGGCTGGTGGTCCACCATCCGATGACAAGGCCTTATCAGGGGATAAACTTGACTAACTCTTCCCGCGAAAATCTCTTCCTTGCGTCGGTTGAGGTAGCTGAATTCGCATGTTTATTAACGGCTGATAGGAACACACAGAAATGGGGCTGGATGTTTGCGATCAATATGCAGTGGCATGCGATTGCCTTCGTCCTGGCCGAACTCTGTGTGCGTCCCCTAAATCCCCTAACTGAGCGGGCTTGGACTTCCGTGAGCACACTCTATGGAGGATGGGTGCACACGGCAAAACATAGAAAAGGCATGCTCTGGCGGCCGCTCGCCCGGCTGATGAAGCGAGCAGCCGATCACCGAGCTAAACTACAGCAACAGATGCACACTCAGCCTGGGCCCAGCACGGTCACTTCCTCGAGTACTGCATCTCTCAGTATGGCTGAAGGACCGAAAATCATGGACCCCCCGATTTTGCCACGCATCCCAGATTTCCAGTTTTCGCCCAGCGCCTTGCCTGATACCACATCGACTAACCCATCATTGGGTGACATCGATTTCAGGAAAGGAGGACCAATGGGGGTGATGACTGACTTGTTCCCTGAGGTGGACTGGCTTTCTTTGCCGACGCCTGGAGCTTCTCTTGGTCAGCAGCCGGCTGCCAATCCGGCGCCAACGATTGGTATTCCCGAGGGGCCTGTTCTGCCACCTGAATTCCCACAAGACTCATCTAACGTGCAGGTCAACTGGGACGAATGGGATCAAGTGATGCGTGATTTTCAGATGGACATGCGAGATGTACAGCCCACAAATCCTATGGGCAACATCCCAAATAATGTTTCGGGCTGGTTTACCTGATCCACTGACACCTAATTTTATCGGGCCTGGGTGTGCCTTATTGCTGACTCGACTGTGACCCTGGTGGCCACTCGTACGTTCTATTCTTCTCAGGTGCAGACTGATAAACAAAGAGTCTGGTCTGCATGATGGTTATCCATCCCAATTTTCACCTCTCAACTCCTGCAATGCGAATCATCTCACCTCTACCTCTCGGCCTGGTTCACGTCATGACAAAACTCTCCAATCTTAATGATATACGATTTACGATGTACGACTGTCTGTTGCTTCTCGGTTGATCTGGTTTTTATAGGGCTACACGCTCTATAAAAATAGTGGCTTGCAGTCTTTTATTCCCTGTATTATAGTGCAATGTATAGTATGCCACATTGAACCCATAGGCTGAAAAAAATGATACCTATACTTTCCAATAACAAATAGCTCCCTATATTTAAAAACTAAAATCAAAAATACATTTATCACCCCTCTCATTCCAACAATTTACCCTGTAGTACGCGTCTCGGACTATTCATCACGTGACCCGAAACCGGAACCAATGCCGCGGCCAGAGTGTACAGTAAGTAGTGTACACAGTAGCTTCATCAGCGACCCCCAGCAACACCATCAATTGACTCCTCGCGAGAAACATACACACCACCACCGTCGCCATGCCTGCGAAACGCACCACCGCCGCCACAGCGACTCCCACCGCGCCCAAATCCCTCTCCTCCGGCCCCAAGACCCTCACGGCCAACTCCTCCGTCTCCGACATCATCCACACCGTCTGGCAGCAGTACCTGGCGACCACGCCGCAACGAACAATGCTCCTGGATGTCTTCATGGCATTCTTGGTTCTTGTCGGCGGTATTCAATTCGTCTACTGTGTTGTCGCGGGCAACTATGTACGTTTGATATATTCTACTTTTTTTTCTCCCTAGGAACTTTTACGATATACTACACTACTACATACATGCATATCATCATTGCTACCTGTGTTTTTGTCAATCCCCCAATTGGCATTGGATATACAATCTTTATTATTTAAACGGGAAATAATATCATGGGCTAACTAATGCATTACCGAAAAAAAAAAAAACAGCCCTTCAATGCCTTCCTGAGCGGTTTCTGTGCTGCTGTCGGTCAATTCGTCCTCACGGCTAGCTTGCGTATGCAGACGAGTTCTTCTCCTTCCCAGGGTTCTGGTAAGACGACTGCGAAAGGGAAAGATGGGAAAAGTGCCGATCAGGATGGGGTTTCGCATGAGAGGTGAGTTTTTTTTTTTTATTTTTTTTTTATTTTTTGGACACTTTTCTTTTCTGGGGTCGTTTTGGTCTTGGGATGGTGTTTGTGTATGTATACTGACGTCAGGTTATTTGGGTAGGGCGTTTGCGGATTATATCTTTGGGAGTTTGATCTTGCATTTCTTCTGTATTAATTTTATTAACTGATTGATTTTTTTTATGGGCTTTTGTTATGTGATGGTCGTGGTGGTTGGTTCGTTGGAAGGGGTTTTTTTAGTTTAGTTTCCCTGGTGGATTCTTTGTGTCTATTATCTTTTATGGTTTGTTAGGGTTAGATGGTGAATTGATGCGGTTGGCTCCCTTTTTCTCTTGTTCTTTTAGGTGGGACTTTGGTTGTGTGTTTGGTCTGCGTAGAGGGGATGTTATAAGTGTAGACTCTTAAGAGTGAGAAGCTATGGATGGAATCCTGAGAACGCCTTTTGTATTTCATACCGTTCAATCCGTAACCGACTCATGCAATGCCTAATCAGGGTATATAGTAGTAGTAATAATAGTCTATGCGTATACTGTACAGTCCATGCAAGTTGCAACCTTCTAAAATGCTCGTCCAGGTCGTCTCTTCACCTGTGGTTTCTTGACCACGCTGCCACCACCACCACCACCGGAGCCATTCCGCGATGTAGACGATGCTGTGACACCCCCGATCTTTTTACCGGTAATGGCTGGACGTCGCACGGCAGATCCTCCCACTTCGACTTCTTTCTTCCGTCTTGATGGGTCGTTCCGCTCGATTTCTCTCTGCTTTTCTGCTGCAGCCCGCTCCCGGTCTGCGGCGATTTGGGTCTCAATCTCCATGCGGCGATTGAATTCTAGTTCCGTTACGCGGCGCTCCCGCTGCGAGTATCCTTTTTCCTTGACAGAGTAGAAGACCCCTCCGAGTTCAGCGAGCCACTAGTACAAATAATTAGTTATACTATTTTAAAGATGGAAGAATAGATAGCAACTTACGTGAGGATCCACGGCAGTAACAGTGGACATGTACTCCTTGCTGGTTAAGATCAATTCGTGGTAGACCACATACTCAGGCACGTATCCCAGACCGTACAGCGCACTGGTGGGGTGCAGCTGCATGGTCACACTGGTCCGCAGATTGATGAACTCGCCGATACCCTTCACCTTAGCAGCTTGGTGGTAAAACCCAGAGCAAATGCATTTACGGATCACATCCCAGTCTGTTCCGCAGCTGACGAGCGGCATCTTCTGCACGGTCATGATGTCATGAAGCTGTTCGCGAACTTCCTTAGCTCGCCGCAGGGCCTTCGAGTGAAGGAAATGTTTGATACACCAGCCATCTGAATAGCCGTTGGTTCTCCATTGGGTATAAACGTGGAGTAGCGTCAAGTGGTCTGATTCGGGGACGAAGAATTTCTCACGGGCGGCATCTGACTCTTCCTGGCGCTCTTTGGGACGGTAGAAGACACTCGGCACAGACAACATAGATACGATAGTCAGCATTTCCTCACTGCAACTGTAATCTTCGGCGGCCGTTATGAGAAGCTTGGCGAGTGGCGGGTCCATGGGGAATGGTGTCATCTGACGTCCCAACGGCGTGAGATCACCAAGGTTATCCAAAGCACCTAGGGACCAGAGCTCGAATAATGATGTTGAGATGGTTTCCTGTGGCGGTGGATCCATGAAGTCGAAGTCCAGGAGGTCCTTGACCCCAAGAGACTTGAGCAGAAGAACCGTGTTGGACAAGCTAGTACGCTGGATTTCCGGTATAGTCTGTAGATACAGCTCATTTTTGTATGCCACCTCGGTGTAGAGACGGTATGCTTTGCCAGGCCCTGTTCGTCCCGCACGCCCGGAACGCTGGTTGGCATTGGCTTGTGAGATCGGCGTGATCTGTAGTGTATCCATACCCATTCGGGGGTTATAGACTTTCAGCTTCGAGAAACCAGCGTCAACGACATACATGATACCGTCCACCGTTAAGCTGGTTTCAGCAATGTTTGTGGCAACGATCACCTTCCGTACGCCTGGGGCCGCTTTTTCGAAAATCTTCGCCTGTTGTTCTGCTGGCATTTGACTGTAAATGGGTAATATACTAAGTTTCGGCGGGTCATTCAACAGCTTCAATCGCTCATCGACCAACTCGCAAGTCGCCTCGATATCCTCTTGTCCTGTCATGAAGACAAGGACATCACCAGGGCCCTGAGAAACGTGGATAGCCAAGACCTGCTTGACTGCACTATCGACATAATCCTCGCAGGGCGTACGGGAGAAGTGGACATCCACCGGGAATGTCCTTCCAGGGATAATAAACTCCGGAGCACCACCAAAGAATCTTGAAAAGCGTTCTGCGTTCATCGTGGCCGAGGTGACAATCAACTTCAGGTCCCTTCTCCGAGCTAATACCTTCTTCAGAAGTCCCATCAATACGTCGGTATTTAGGGCTCTTTCGTGTGCCTCATCCATGATGATGCATGAATATTTGTCAAGGTCAGGTTGGGCTAGCGACTCTCGTAGTAGAACACCATCGGTCATATACTTGATGACCGTCTGATCGGTCGTGCAGTCTTCAAATCGAATAGCATATCCGACCAGATCACCCAGATCGACTTCCATTTCCTCGCTAACACGCTTTGCGACACTCATGGCAGCGACTCGACGAGGTTGTGTGCAGCCGATCATGCCAAACTTCGAATAACCGTCTTCATGCAAGAACTGCGTCAATTGGGTTGTTTTCCCCGAACCTGTCTCGCCAACAACCACAATCACCTGGTTATCTCTTATGACTCGTAATAAGTCTTCTCTCACAGCGAAAGCCGGCAAGTATTCTCTCTGCTCGCGAAGCGTCTTGCTCTTGCTAAATGAGCTCTGACCACCCTCATCTTTCTTCAAGTGCTGTGCAAATTTATTCCCATGTTTATACGTTTCCTCCACAGGCAGAGCGACAGCGCTGTCACCCTCGTCTTCCTTGACCCCCATCAAATTCCCAAGTGCCGTTCCCGCCATTGTCGTCGCCTCTTGCGCTTGTTTCTGTCGCTCTCTCTGTTGACGACGTTCCCGCACGACCTTGCTCCCTTTCCGGCTGAACACAGCCATATCACTCTGCGGATCACGTACGGCTGAAATAGGCTCCAGCTGCTTGGTAAAGATCGTGCGGCCATCGAGGAAAGGCGGGCGGAGGTCATGAACGAGCAAATGTACACGAGTGCCCTCCTCATCTTCGGGCATGAAATCCCCATCGAAGTCTCGTCGTTGGGCGACTCCAGATGTGAGCATTCGGTTCGTTTCCCAGTTGTCGATATCTTTGCGCTTCGCGTCGCGAAGCGGTGGCGGTAGGTTGGAGCTTTTCAGCCGTTTGGCTGGGGGCATGTCGTTACTTGCCATTGTGAAAATGTAACTCGGTGTCGAGTTATAACAATGTTCACCGAATTGAGGAGCCCTGAAAGGTGTCGAAGACTTCACAAAGGGCCACCGGTTGCCTGCCCGAAGCCCTGTGCTTGAGGTTGAAGCGGAAGAGATGGTTGATAGGAAACTAATTGGTTATCGGCGATAAATGAACAAATTATGCAAACAGACGCTTGGTGTCACGTGTTATCAATACCACATTTGAGGGGTCAAGCTCAGTTAAAAGAGAAAGATTATTTCAAACACTAGAATCACGTAAAAATGTAATTGGAAGATTTTGCGTATCACTAATGTAGGAATATTGTCTCTGTGGTGGCCTCAATCTGGTGTAGCTTGGTGGTACCCCATACTATAGTGGGATCTTCGCCGCGGACAAGAACACTGCGCGAAACATCAACTCCGATATCAAACGCCCCGCCCCGCAGCTCCAACTTTGCAACAGCGCGCTGTTACGACTCACAGACGAAAATGGCCAGCCAACAGCAAGTAAACCCCAAGAGGCAACAGGGTATGCTTGTCAACCTCCTATGACTGCGATAGTATGTGAAAACCGAAGCTAATGCAGCGTAGAGCTCCAGCTCCAATACTCAAATTACAAAAACACACTGCAACAAATGGCGCAGAAGATCGGAGACATTGAGCAGGAAGCTGAGGAGCATAAGTGAGTTTACTTAGCTGTTTTCTTTTACGAATAGATCGGCGAACTATGAATAGCCCGGAATTGTCCAAGAATGTTGACACTGATGTCCACATCTAGGCTTGTCATCGAGACACTCGAACCCCTCCCTGAAGAGAGAAAGTGTTTCCGCATGGTGAATGGTGTGCTGGTTGAGCGGAGCATCAAGGATGTTTTACCTACATTGAAAACCAACTCCGACGGCCTGAAGCAAGTATTGGAAGAGCTGCTGAAGCAGTACAAGTCTAAGCAGACGGAAATGGACAACTGGAAGGTTAGTATATCCTCGGTCGCTGTTCGAGACTGGACAGAGAGGTCAAGTAGAGAGCGAAGGATGAGGGCTAACTTATCTTACTATACAGAAAAAGAACAATATCCAAGTCGTACAACCTTGAACCCAATTTGATTTGTATTAGCGATTCGTTATCTCTTTCTACGCCCCTTTTCTAATGTCTATATTGGTTCATCGGGAGATAGAGGGAGAAAAAAATGGCGTTACCAGGAGTCTGAAAACAAGCCCAAATGTTTAAACAGGCCTCGTAGCCTTTGTGCTAGAGCCGCGATAGAAATCACCTACGTCGCGAAACCGGCCAATTAGTCCAGTTTTGTATACAATGCCAGCTTATGGAACTAGGTAGGTGCATGAGATTAGAATGGTTAGACATGCTTGCTCGCCCCTATGTCTAATTACAAGGCAGGGACTGACGCAGGATAGTTATGGATTGGAATCTCTCACTGCAGACTCTTCTTCCTCGGCTTCCTAGACCACATCCTGATAAAGACAAATTCAAGCAATATGAGCTTCTGCAGGGCAAACCAAACCAGTCTCTTCAGTAGAGTATCCACATCCTCTCAGCCATTACGTTCTCTCTTTGCTATCTGCATAAGAATGAACGAATGTTTTTTTTCTATGAAAAGATAGCTTGGACTCGATCAGTATGGATCCATGTAACTGTGAGACATTTGCATACCTAAAGCATTAGTAACGATGAATTCGGATCGGGCCTCTTCCAGAACAAACATCTTCTATTAATGCTTATGGGACCTGTTGTAGCATTCATGGGCTTTCCTGCTACGTCGAACCCTTTATAGACACCTCTTCGAGCCTGCTCGTTGTCGTCTTGAATGTTATTTTTTCTTTCACGTCCTTCGAGCGGGATTCAATCCTCATTCTGGTGCCGTCCTTTATCAACGGCGTCATTTTCTTGCATCTTTCGTTGAGCTTTTCACCCTTTGTCTCTTGGTGATCAGCGTTCTGATCTGGTTCTGAGCCTGGTAGTTCATAGTATTGTATTATTACAATTTACGGCCTTCGTTGCTGTTCATAAGAATCTTCCCTTTTCTGCTTTTGCGTTCAAGTTCAAAGGGCACGAGTTCCTTTTTCTAACCTTATACTTTCGAGCTTTCGCCTTATGCACTTTATTTGCTTTGTTTGTTGGCATCGTGCTCACTTGAGAGGTGCTTGACCACCAAGATGTGGGCATAGAGCTGGGTTAGTGGATGTAATAGCTCGAGAAGGGGCAGAAGCAGGTACGAGGGAGCAAGAGAAATGTGTGGGGTTGAAGGGGATAGCAGAAGGCAGTACGAGAGTGAGGATACGGATAAGAGACGAGATATCGAAGTGATCTTGTAGTGAGAGTTACATACAGATGATACCCTTGGTTTAGAATGCCGTTAGAGCCTGCGGTTTGCTTGAAAATACAGGAGAAAAAGTAGATTGAGATATTTCTTCTACCCTTCCTCATTATTATTGCATGTAAGGTCTCCGTGTTAGCCTTAAAAGTACTATATCGTCATATTATGAGCCATATCAGTCTTGGTGGCTGGTTTTACTAATTTATGTAAATACCCTTGAAAAACTCCAGGTTCTGCTCTTCAGAAGCCCACAGAGGTTCAAAAACCTGTAGGTCATTTGTTCCGAGGAGAAATGTATCACAACATGTCGCATTCACTGTTACTTTACAAGTGGGACTCACATATTAGAGATTACAACAATCCTATACAATACTCGATCAGACTTAGCTGCTGCAAATATATGACCACCGTCCTGTTGTAGACCAGACAAACAGGCCCTTGGAGACGTTCTTCGGCGAAATATAGAGCATGCGATGTTGATAACGCCACGGTAACAGAGTCTTGTTGGGTTAACATGTGGACGGCGAATGATCACCATATAATGTAGTTCAACAGGTATACACTGCCAGCTGTATAGTGTTTGGTGTAAAAGCCAATCAGGGGACGGCAGGGAGATAGTGTCAGAAAGTAGGTTGTTTCAGAATGACATGCCGGGCTACCACTCCGGTAGGACCTCGTCTGATCACTGTCTATCCCCCACGTTCTGACTGGTTGCTTCATGTCAGCCTCGGCGAACTTGCCGATGAACCTGCATACTCCGGAGTACTGTCTAGAAGACAGCCTGGACGAACAATCCCACATGCCGTATTTCAATCCCTACATTATGGGTGATGAGGTATGTGCAGTTTTCGCACGGGACCCCGAGATAGGGCATACATGACCGGCTCTTGGGTAGAAAAATGTGATTGATCCACCGGCCCCAGAAGCAGTCGATGGGTGGATGCCTTGAACCACCACCACGCTGGTCTTGGGCTGCAGGTGGGTGGCTGGATGCTGCAGGTTTGCCTGATATAAAAATATCAAGGCATACAAGGCCAACTGTTAGTCCACCTTGTCTTTATTCACATAATTGTTGTCGATTTGGATGCCTGATCCGGCGCTCCATCCTTTTCCCTTGCATCAGATGTAGGTGATGGGCGGGGCAGACTAGGTAATAGACAGAACCCAAATGACAGACTAGGCCACTAGGAACAGAGGATCCGAGGGTTTGATCTGGTGACAGGAGATACTCCGGTCAACCTAGTACTTTGAGCGAGTATTAAGTACCTCTCTGGTCATACCAAAACCGGCCAATAAAGACGCTGAAAGCGAGGTTTTGTTCATGCTGTGCTTCAGGGTTCCCACTTTGCAGACAGCCGTTGCTCGGGTGGGTAAGGTCTATACGGTGGTTGGATGGCAGTGCATTGGGTTAATAATGTGATGGAATCGACATTAGTTACTCTGTTTGACGGTATGACGACGCAGGTATTGCCGAGAATGTCGTTCTGGGAGTATGGATGTACACTGGACAAGTATGTACATACTACGAAGTACTTCTGGATGTAGTGGTAATGGTACTGCTCCTGGAGTAATCATGTATCACGTGTGTTACGTTTCTAATACACACCCCTCTGCAGCCTTGCGTGGGAGCCATGGCCAGAGAAGAAGATTGATACTGGATTCTCCTGTATGAGGATGGTATTAATTCCGCTCTGAGAGAGGGAGTCCTGAGGCCATCCACTTCTTTGGCCTTGTCCATCTCCCGTCACGGTCACAGTCTCTCTCTCTCTTCTTCCTCACTCGCAACACACTTTCTTTCTGCATCCTTTCTCGTTCTCCCCCTGAATCAATCTATCACTCGATTTCAATCCAATCCATCATCAAATCGTCTTTTCTTCCCGCCGGTAATTCTCCATTTCCCCGTTCCTTCGCGATCTGTGTGGAGGAGAGGATCATTTTCCATAACATCATCAACTCTCATTGGTTTTTGGTACTAGCCAGTGATCGTGCTTGACTGTCAGGAACTTCTGGTTCGCCAATTGATTGCCTGCGCGCATCCCCAGTAATTATCACTGTTATCTACTGGTCCAGAGAACCAACCACACCCCCTCAACCAGCATCGTGTGGCTCCTTAAAGCAAAATAACCCGATCGCCGAATCGTCCTGGTTCCTTGAACGTTTCCACCCCCCATCTGAGCAACGTGCCACTGCCCAGTGACCCACAGGTTACCTTTCGTGTTGCATTACCCGCGTCACGTCCCGCTTTCCCAGATCTCATCCGTATTGGAGTGGACGTTACCACCTGCTGCAGTTTGTAAGTCTAACTCTTTCCTGACTCGGCCCCAACAACGCCCTGGAGGTTCCAGAAGATCGGTGCGCCATCCTCGTCGCTGGGCATCAAATCAGATTTAGTCCAACCACCAAAATTACCAAAATACCCCAAAACAGTCATAATAATCCCCCTCCCAAAACAAGCTCTACCGCCGCGCTTCTCATATGATCATCGTCGAATAAACATCCCGGTGGACCTTAAACTTACATACTGCCAGCAGAGCTGTCGCGGAAGCATTGCCAATCCCCCACACGCGCTGACTTTTGCTCCTCATCCTTCCCCATTTAGGCTGCTGTGAAGCGAATCCAATCGCTGCCCAGCCAGGTACCCTCTTCCCTTGGCGCAAAGCTATCCTCGCGTTCAGGGCCGAAATCCATCGCGCGCCGCCCGCCTCGGTGACGTGGTTTGCCAACAGAGCAAATAGCATCAGTCGTTCCCTTCTAAATCCAGGACCCGCTGCGCGCCCCAAAAACAGCTAAAAATCATGTCGTCGACCTCTCCTTCGAAAGAACCAGAAGTGGAACCTGAAGTTCAATCAGGTGAAGAGCAGGAACAAATGGACAAGGAACAACAGGACCAGGCACAGAACCAAGGAGAGTTTGAAGTGAAGGAGCAGGATAGGTGGTTACCCATTGCCAATGGTTAGTTGCGTCCCTCTGCAGCTCCTGATTTGCGCGTACCTGGCGGCTTGCCTGCTGGTCAACAGCGGTCTTCCCAATTGTATTTGCCCACCACCCATACAAGTCATTTTACACTTTTTTTTCTTTCTCTTTCTTTTTTCCTCCCCCATGCCCTCTTTTTCTTTGTTGTCAAGAGTCGTCGCTCTTTGCTCCTATATGTTTTTATTTTTCTACCTTTGCAGGGCAAGCATGCCCACCCTCCCCTGAAGCGCCAATCGAGTCTTTCGCTCGATGCGCATCTACGGATGTCTTCTGCGCTATCAGAATGTAAATGCGACACGGATGCGCTAACTTCTAGTTTAAAGTTGCCCGCATCATGAAATTGGCCCTGCCAGACAATGCCAAGATTGCAAAAGAAGCCAAGGAATGTATGCAAGAATGTGTGAGCGAATTCATTTCATTCATTACCAGTGAAGGTTAGTATAGCCGTGTTATCCGGTTGCCAGTAAATATTCGCCGGCGTAATCTCACTGGAATCACAGCGTCCGAGAAGTGCCAACAGGAAAAGCGCAAAACCGTCAATGGAGAGGACATCCTGTTTGCCATGACCTCACTGGGTTTTGAAAACTATGCGGAAGCCCTTAAAATCTATTTGTCGAAGTACCGTGAGGTGAGACTTGTGCAACGCTCTGAGTCCCCTGCCATTCCACCAGCCGCCGGCAGTGTTCTCGGCTAGGATGTACAATGCTGATTGACTTTGTAGACCCAATCCGCGAGGGGTGAGCATCAGAACAGACCAACAAGCAGCGGATACGCCTCTGGCGGACCAGTCGGAGGCGTAAGTACTGCTCCGGGAGGACGTCCGGCAACCGCGGGAGGGTTCCCCGATGCTGCTGATAACGCCAACAGCATCATGAATCCAAGCTTAGATCCCACTGAACAAGATGCCTCTGCCTATGGGTACCCGGCTATGGTGGGCCAGGCGCACAATGGAACGGGTGGCGATACCTACTAATGCCTGTGCACACGTGAGATCTGAGGAACCAACAACCTTTCTCCGTCAAAGATCGACCGACGTTGCACTCGACACGGCTTAAGGCTTAGGAAGCCAACCTTATGTTATTGCTAGGCCCAGAGCTCTTATACCGGGCGAAAGGTCTTTTCTTACCTTCGGAGCGTCTCCCTGTGCAGCATCTTAATGACGTCGTACGATGCAATGGGTTATTTATGGGATATTTATGGATTGATTACGAGTACAGAGGTATAAAGAGAGGTGCGAAGGGTTGGCGCGTTGTCTTATTTTCTTTTTGGGGGTCAACGCCTATGCGATGTCTTCTTGGACTCAGAACAAGACTTGCTTGTACAATTGCTTGTAAAATGGGCCACTCCAGAACTTCTTCACGTTTTTCTTATACAGTCATATCCCTCATTTGCGTGCTTGGGCTGGGTGACATGTCGGGCTCACGTCGACTCGACTCAGCTTCTGCTTGTATTTAGTGATTCCAGTTGATTTGTTTTTCTCAACGTACGAAACAGTGTAGGAGGTACCGATAGAGAGAGAATGAAATAGGACTTCACGGTCCTCAGTGATACCTGAGCGGAACTTTTACATTTGGATTTCAAGAGCTCGATGTAGTTTGCACTTGGTGCGAAGTTATATACGGTAAGTTGTATGTATCATGTGTAATCCATTATAGTCATATGATCATCAACAAAGACGAAACAGGTATCATTAACATCGCCATTCTAGTCAAATCCAATGGAACAAAACGATCGAGATATACCCGCTGGGAAAGTATGTATTTATCCATGCATCCATCCTCCGTCCTGGAGAAGGTCAGACATAGGAGTTTCCTGCCAATATATTTGGCGCCATTCATCTTCTAACTCTGGCAATCCTTCCATGGGAAGGGGAAGAACGGACTGATCTGGATCGGTAAAGGAAAAAAGCTGTCGCCAATCTAGAAACTCTCTAGGTTGGTCTATGGGGTCTACAGAAGCGAGATGGCTAGACGGGATCCAGCTGTCGAATGGCTGGTTCTGGTGGGGACTCATGGTGGTTGGGGGCATATGCGGAGATTCGGGGGTAGGAACTTCGTATGGAAGTTGCGGCTCATTCTGAGGGCTCTGTAAAGTGGTATTTGAATTGGGATTTGTGGTTGAGGTGGGATGGGGATTAGATGAATTAGATGTGCTCTTATTTTGATCATGTGTGCTGAATCGTCGTGGTCTTTCGCTGGTAGCCATGCGCAAGTCCTCCTGGAGTCGTTTAGAGTCTTGGAATAACCTTAAGATGGTATTGGCGTGAGACCAATACTCCGCAAGTTCACGGAGAGAATATGAGGCCGAGTCGAAGCGGCGCAAGGCGTTGATTGCGAGGACAGGATTGGAAAATCGAAGTTCTACCCGAACTTGAATCATTGCCGTGAAGAGCGTATGTACTCCAGAGTACCACAAGAACTTCAGCCGGTCGTTCAGGCGGAGTTCCTCGAATATGGAGGCGATAACTCCAGCGGCAGCACTGCAGATTTCTGCGTCGTGCGGACCGTAGTCATCTGAATATGCGGAAGCTCTTGGATGTGGCCGATGAAGAAGAATCAGGAAGTTGTTGTATGTCAGATGAAGCATGGCAGACCATGGATCCATATCAGAGGCTCGTAGGCGTAAACTATCTGGCAGCTTGAGGGACCAATTCGCAAGGGCTTCGTCGGCTTCTTGCAAGGCAGCTTTGCGGCGCTCAGCGCTGACTCTCAACCCAAACCGTTCCCGCACGATATACGAGATCATCGTACACAGTTCTGAAAAGTGAATAACATACTCGGCTTGCACTCGAGAACCACACCCTTCAAAGTCAGAAGGGGTCAAAGGGGAGACATCTGAATCCTCGAGGTTGCTAAAGTAAGCTTTGGGTTAGAGCACAAATTCCCAGATCCGGACAATAAGCGAGTGAACGCAACTTACATAGCTTGTGGTCGGCCATATGACAATGACACCATAACATCAAATTGAACCAGAATGTACCACAGCCTTCTCCACATCCGGCGATCGCGAGGTACAAATTTGCTAGATACTGGGTTACGGTGCATACCAAGACCTGTAGCGATTCTAGCAGCCACACCCACCCAGTAGTGAGCATTAGCCGCTACGTCATCATCGGCACTGTCCGAGTGCCATGTCATGAGCAATGCAGCTTGAACCATAATATCACGATTGCGTTCAATGCGACTGTCGAATAGCCATTTGACACGACGGAAGAAGATTTCCTTGAGCGCATCTCGCTCTGCTTTTGGACGTGTGACATGGGCCCCGACAAGCAAAATGGCTTGGAGAAGTAATATGGGAGGCGGGTCGGCGGGGTCACGATTACGATATTGAGCCATAAATAGATCCTCTTCAATTATGGGATACCCTGGGTTTACGTGCGTGAAGTACGCCTGTACCAGCTCATCAGCAAGGGCTGGTTCTGGCAACGTGAGGGCATCCATAAGGAGCTGGTCATGACCTGTTCTCAATTGCCGTCGAGGAATTTCATTGCCCGCGAAGTGATACACATCGTCGTCTTTATCTCGCTGTTGCCGGATCAAGAATGACATGTTCGAAAGTTCATGGCCAACATATATTGCCCTCACACCCCTTTGAATTTCTCGACTGCCCGACTCCTCCTCATCAATCAACTTCACGAGTCGCTTCTCCAAGTCTGCATTGTTTTCCAGTTCCATGGACCGGTCGGCACCCGGCTGGCGATTGAATGTTTGGGTTTCCGCAATCGGTTGGGAATCATGGTTGTTGGAGAGATGGCTACCATTGGTGTAGCCAGAGTGTGGTGATTGGATGATCTGGGTGCCGGCTGCGACAGGACTCGTCACGTCGGGTTGGATGCCCCGAAAGGCAGTTGTGAAAGCATTCGGCTGGATAGGTGTAGATGGTATTGGCTTGGGAGTAGAATCGGAGTCATGGGTCGGACGACAGCGAATGGGGACTGGGTCAAGAATGGAACGCACAGCCAGGCGCTTTTTCTTCTCATGGATGCGGCAATCGGCCTTTCCCGCAGTGCGACAATTCGAGCAAGGTAAGCCGACAATGCGAGCATCGCATCGGACTTTACGCCGATGACAATGAATACAGGCTGCGGAGCCTAAAGCGCGTTGAGTCAGCATATCCACACCCAGACAGAAGCATCATGATGGGTGGTGACCGTGCTGCGTACCTGACTTGCGTTTTGTCACACCATTGCCGGTGGATGGTTGGCTGTTATGCGCGGTGGAGGACATAGCAAAGCATCGACGCAGGTTCAGGGTCCGAGGACTAGCAACTTCATCCTTGATAATGAGAGCTGTTCTAAGGTTGAAGGGATTGCTTGTTTTCAAGACATGATCAGGAAGAGAGTAGCAATGGGGATTGTGAAACGTAAGAAAATGGGAAAGAAGAGGAGAAATCGATAGAGCCGGAGAACTAGTGGTGGGGCATCTGCCGGCGAGTCTGGGGCAGGTCACGTGCGTGCGGAGAAGTTCCAATTGGGAAAAGATCACGAGATGTCAAGTATTCAGTACATAATCCTAATTGATCTTACTGGTACTTTCCATCAATACCTTCCTTGGTGTGCAGATGAACCAAAGCTTGTAAGTTTGTAATGAACCCCCATTGTGACTCCATTCTCCCATTGCCAAGTCATAGTTGTTCTTATGCTATTATCTTCATTATTTATAATTTCCAAGTATTCTGTTGGTGGGACTCAACCAAGAGATATCGAATTATCGATAGCCACCATCCACCAATCAGCGTCACCGATTCTATACTTAGGCACTAATTGAGTTCCATATCTTTCAACTTATCGGCTGTCGGAAACCAACCGTACCACGGATGTCACGCTTATTTTTTATGCTCACCGCTACCAAGCACATAGACCGGCCTAGTCCCCTTTTATTCTTAGGATTATATACCCCGTGACCACAGACCGTCTTTAACTACAACCACTGAAAAAAGGGCCAGTACAGCATGTTAATAGTAGCTTTAGTGATGACGCACAGATAGGGACTTCTTCTAGATGGAGGTGGTGCTACATAGACTAGTCGCACGAATCGTGCCATAATTCTCTTGAATCACATGCATACCTGCTACCCATTTAATATATCAGTGAGCTGTCATCTAGGTTGTCGTCTCGGTCTGCGATAACCTCATCTACGACAGGACGCTATGTACAGCGGTACCAACTTATCGACAGGCACGCACCCTCTAATGCTGCTCAACAATACCATTATGATCAACCAAACACGAATTTCTTCCAATTTTCGGCAAGCTGCCGAACACCTTGGCGCAAATCCCATCCGCGCAGCTCACAGATCTGCCGAGCGACTTCTTCCAATAAATCATCCATCTGCTGCCCAGCGGTGTGCAAGTCACTTTCTATGAGGATCCTGTCATCCGGTAAGGCTTTGATGACTTCGACGATCTTTTGGGGCGACGGTCCGTTGAAGTTGATCACGGTGGAGAATGAGAAATACACATCTGAAGGGTTCGACGGATTTAAGAATTGCTTCAGAGGTTCCACGGGGCCTGAATACGAATGCATACAGATTCTTGGTGGGAAAGGAAGCGGTGACCTTTTGGCCGTGGTCGGTTTTTGTTGCTCTTCTTCCACGTCACTCTGTGCGTGAGCATCTGCGGCACTGTAACGCCGTGCCCTCTCCCGTCGCGACGGCTTCTTTCGCTCATGGCCAGTCCACAACTTCTTGAAAAGATCAAATACTGCTCCGTGGCATTGAACGCTGTGTACAGAGACGGGCCGCTGGAGTTCTCCCGCCAGGCGCAACTGAGCTTCTAGCACTACCTTTTGATGTTCTAACTGAACTTTATGAGGAGAAAGGCCTCGACCTTCGCGAGACCCGGGGGTCAACTGTGAATCACGACCCTCCTCCTCATGCTGCGTCCAGGCTTGGGGAAGTCTAAAAGCGCGGTCAAGGCCAATCTCTCCCACAAGAGCGGCGGGATGGTTTACCAACCGCTCGCGTGTTTCTGAGATAAACTGTGAAAGCGGTTTCGGGTCTGGTAGAGCTGATATAAAAGTATCCGCTGGTGACGGAGTAAGGACTTTGCTATAATGCGCTTGTTTCTTGACAGACGCCGATGTGACTTCAGTTTCTGTCTTCCGCGTATCGTCAAGGATCTGGTGGGAAAACCAAGGATGCCAGCCAAAGCAAGGCAATACACGTCCGATACTTTGTCCCGGTAGTGATGGTAACTGTCCACCTGTGAGAGTTGCAGCGGTCTGATGTACCAGTTCTTGATCTTCTCCCCGAGTAGCCATGACTGTGAGCGTGGTTGCCCTCATTCTAGGAATCTCCGCAATGGATGACATAGTATCGGTGGGATGACAATGGGCGTCGAACACCCCAATATCCCAGGGAAAACCTGTCCCATCTTGAATTTCCTGGTGTGTCATGCTAATTAGAATTGCGTTGACGAAATGTTTAAAGAGGTCAGAAAGGCTCCATAAATACCGGCTCTGGGACTGTGATGTAATGAATGGTTTTAGTTTCATCCGTGGCCCTATAAATTGCTGCCTGAGGCATGAGATCATCACATGCTGCTTCTCCGCATTTTATGGTTATTGTTAAACAAAGTAAGCCGATGGATCGATGCTTTTCTTATTCTTCTTTGCCTCCCTTTTCAAAGATCAAAATGCCTTCTTCTTGACGATTCATATCACACAATTTGGTATTGCATAGCGTGGTTAACTTGCTATCTGCTACATCTACCCCTCAGTTTAGAAACTGAGTACTATATATTTTCTACAAGTCTTCATGTCAACCACTACTTTCTTTACACTACCATTTCTCGCCCTCATCTCCATACCACTTGTCATATCGGCTTATATTACCATCTGCTTCTCTGTGCTGGCTCTGTTTCTACGGCTTTCCGTGATCTACATTGAACTATGCTATGCGATCATCGCTAATTACTTTGTTATTCCCACGTCCAACACCTCGTCCCTCTTAAACTTCGCCCCTTCTGAACCCACGACACCGCTAGCTGCTACAACACCAAAGCGCCGTTCATTGGATTACGGCAGGACCATCCATTTCTCAGACTCCAGTTGCTACCAGTCCAACCCAGTTTCCCCTAGCCATAGTCGGCCAGGCCGCGGCCAGCGACGCAACAGTTCACATATTGAAGAATCAAATGACCAGGATAGTGCGCTCCACGACATTGATGGACGACGAACCCGAAGAGGAGAGCATCATAAAAATGGGTACTACCCGTCATTGCGGGGCTTTCTCGGCCTGATTAGTGGCGACGAGAGGAGGGACTTCGAGGGCGTAGGTGGATGGCGCTGTTGGGCGTCATCCTCTAAAGTCCATGGACTTCATTCAAGATCCGTGTCTTCATCTTCCAGTAATAGCGTAAGTGAGGAGGCAGACGAGAGGGCCTGGCTTTCCATCAATAATCGGTTGGAATTGCCGTCGCAACCACTTAGCATGAGGAATAACGAGCTTTCGGAGCATTCGCTACCCTGGAGACATAGACAAATATTGGCCAACCCTGATGATAGCCATGGCCTCCACCATCGCCGCTCCGCTACCACATCGGTGTTGTCGAGCCTAAGCGTGCGCACCCAGAACTCATTATCGCTGTCTCTATCGATTCGGCCGGAGAATCCTTCATTTGAATCCCGGTCAAGAGCAGTATCGCCACACTCACAGCCCCGACAATCAATAGGAGACATTTCTTCTGTTATGCTGAGCTCCTCCCATACCAACAACTATGTTGTTAACCCAGCCGATGGCTCTGGCGGTTACTTTAGTTTACGACCTAGCAGTGGAGTTAGCAGCAAAACCACAACGCCAGGGAGCACGACACCGATTGACGAAAACGGGTCCCCGAGAGCTATGGGTAGAACCATGGCGCACTACCCAGGTGGTGTGAGATACCGTCGGAGGAGCATATCTGGTCCTAATTCTAGCGCTCGAATCGTGAGGTCCACCTAGGGCTTGAGCGGGTTAGTGATGGGAAGCGATTTGTTGTGATGGTATACCGAGGCTTTCTCTAGGCTATGTCGGTAGAATCATTAGAGGAACGCGTAGAATTGTCAAAGATTCATGACTTTCCGAATAAATAAAATCACTAGAGGGCTCTCGAGAGTATAGTAGCATAAAAAATAAATTATGAGGGGGTTAATTACTATAGTATAGACGGAGTAGAGTATGTAGTTGGTACAGTATGTACGACAGGTAATTGTTTTGGTACGATACGAAACAATACCCTCGGGATCCGCAATGTTCCATTACGGGACAGTTGAGCGTCATCGTCCTGTTGGGGTTCCCACTTCTCACTTCCGCCCAATCGTTCCTTTGCAATTGTCTTTTTGCTTGCTGTCTTTTCTTCTTGTTATGTATAGTACTTTACTTACATCTTGTCTACACAATCCTCCGCCACATCTCCATTCTAGATTAACTCCTCGCTAAGCCTCAATTCCTCTACATTCTTTTTCATCCTCTCTTCTTCCTTTGTGCCTGTTGTCATCCATCGTTGCCTGCGTCGGGGTTAGTCGATTGGATCGGACATAAGCGGTTTTTGGCTTCTCATCCGCCCGAAATTTGCCTTTTCTGGTCTCTACGGGCCTCGATTACCATTCATATAAATCCCGCTGCTGTCCTTGCTTTTCTCCTCGTCTCTCTCTGCGGGTGACAGAGAATATTACTCTGTCACTCTCTGCTCTGCGCAACAAGGTGTCTACCGCGCGACTTACTTCGCTTACCTCTCAGGTCTCTCGATCCTGGGTCGCATTCGAACATCCACATCTCTTAGCGTCGTCTGGCCCCCTTTTCCTTGGTCGCCACGCCTCATCGATGGCCTCACAATCCTTGGAATCGTCCAAGGACGATTTAACCTCCCACCAGGGCGGTACCCCTCATGCGGCTCGCGGAGCCAGCGCAACCCCGCCACCCTCAGCCTGGTTCCCACTAGGTTACAGAGAAGGCTTCAGTCAATGGGTATGTTGTCAAACCCGGAAATAAGCTCAAGTGTCAGTCACTGAGATGGCTTTCCAGTGGTCGAGTCTGCCGGCTGCCGCAGCCGAGCATAAGGTTCTCTCATACTTGCCCTACCTTCAACATGAACCCCCTACGCATTTGCAAACCGGAAAAACAAGTAATCTCCCAAGTGGCGAACCAGGGAGCTTACAATCGGCCGACCACAGCCAGGAGGGCGAGGTAGCGGCCAATTCACTCAACGATCCCTATGGTCCTCGGAGGTGGCGCTCCAGCATGGTCGAGCTGAGCGGCAAAAATCGAGCTCTCAACGAATTTTCTGTGGAGCGGATTGGGGAGGAAGCAAACCAGCACTTAGTTATGGTTCATGGATATGGAGCCGGGTTGGGCTTCTTCTACAAGAATTTTGAACCTCTGAGCCGACTGAAAGGATGGCAACTACATGCGCTAGACTTGCTGGGAATGGGCCGTAGCACACGGCCGCCGTTCCGTATCAAAGCGAAAGACCGTGAAGATGCTATCAGAGAGGCGGAAGATTGGTTTGTGGACGCCCTGGAGGAATGGCGCGTCAAACGCAAAATCGATCGCTTCACTTTGCTCGGCCATAGTTTGGGAGGTTACATGGCGGTCGCCTATGCCCTTAAATATCCTGGTCGCTTAAACAAGCTCATCTTAGCTTCACCGGTTGGGATTCCAGAAGACCCATATGCTGTGTCAGCAGATATGCCGTCCGAGTCCACGATGGCCAATGAATTCTCCCAGGATCAGCGCAGAATCGCAGAGTCGGCTTCATCAGTGCCGCCGGAGACAATCCAGAAAGGTGACAACAATATCCTCCTAAAAGGCTCACCGACAAGTAGTGCTGCTTCCGATCGGCCTCCCCGACGAATGATTCCCAAGTGGTTTGCCTATCTGTGGGAGGCCAACATATCTCCCTTCAGCTTGATTCGCTGGGCGGGTCCCCTAGGCCCGCGACTTGTATCGGGCTGGACATCCCGACGATTTTCTCATTTGCCTGCGGACGAGGCCAAGGCTCTCCATGATTACTCATATTCGATCTTCAGTCAACGGGGCAGTGGAGAGTATGCTCTCGCATACATTCTCGCCCCTGGTGCCTTCGCACGCAGCCCTCTAATCCGGCGCATTCAGGGGGTAGGAAGACAGGTGCTTCAGATGCCCTCATCCTCTACGCAAGAACCTACACAGGCCATAGAGTCATCTAGCCAGAACTTACCGCAGCCCGACTCTACCATAGCTTCAGGCTCGTCTCTGTCAACATCCGCCAAGCGCGAAAACGGTCTCCCCATAGTCTTTATGTATGGCGATCATGACTGGATGGATGTTAAAGGTGGAATGGCAGCAAAAGCCAAGCTTGACGAAGAGAAGCGTCGGGTGCTTCAAAACGCAACCTTGGAAGAGCGAGAAGCGGACCACGGCTCGGCTAAGGTTGTGGTCATTAAGAATTCGGGCCACCATGTGTATCTGGATGGATGGGAAGAATTTAATAGCTTGGTTCTGTCCGAGATGGAAGATGTGGGTCGCAAGGATGCAATTAATAAGAAGGCATAGACTTCTTTTCTTTCATTATTTACTGTTTATAAAGAGCGATTCTGGATTACTTTTTGTCGGGTTACACGGTGTCAATGGCTGCGGCAAGTGAATATGCATAATGTATACAATTAGACTATGAATATCAAGAAATTGCGATCTGCTTTCGGTCTCGCTGCTTCGATCGTGTTTGGATATCGCCATCATGTGACAGTCGACTTGTTCCGAGTGCGATACCGAACCAATACGATACCGACGGTAATATATTGTCAGCGTCAAACTAAATCCATCATTCCAACAGTTCAACGTTTCCTCCTCTATTCTATCTTTTGTCTGCGCCCTTCGTGCTCTCACTCTTCTTACCTTCCATGCTGTGAGATAGCGCCTGGCCGTGAAGGCCGTGCCTGTTCTGATCCTTCAGTGTATTTGTTCTCCGTCTGCTTTCCGTTTGCTTTAGAAGATCCTTCTGCTCGTCGACTGTTGCCGACATGGCCTCCGCAAGCCTGGATCACCTGGTTAAGGGGTCACCGGCTCCTGCAAATCATCTCTCGTCCTCATCAGCATCGTCCGACGCATTGAACTCTGCTCCACAGTCGTACCCTCAGAATTCTTCCAATCCGTCTTCCCCGCCACGCCCGTCAACACCGGACCCGCTGTCCACGTTGCCATCCTCTCCACCTCAGATCTACCTGAACCTGCTCATCTTAGAAAGTTCCCTTCGGGCTCAATACCTTGCGCTGCGTGAACGCCGGCGGCAGAACACCTTTTTTCTTCTACTGCTTGCTGCCTGGATCACCTATTTTGCCTACGCGCTGTTCCTCCGTCCTCGCGAAGATGGCCGCGGGGTAGGCGGCTCCGTGTACTGGGTGGTGGAGATGTGGGAGAAGGTTGCGCTGCTCGGAGGTGTGGTTACTGCATTATTGGTCTGGGGCACGGGGCAATGGGAGCGTGGAGTACGTTGGCCGCGGCGCTGGCTCGCCGTCGCCAACCGCGGTCTTCGCACGATGAATACCAAGATCGTTGTGATCCGCGGTCCCTGGTGGCAGGAGCTGTTATCCTACCTCTCCTTCCTCTTCCCCTTTTACATCCCACTCTTCCCTTCCCCAGTTGGAGACTTCCACTACATCGAACGGCCTGCGTCGGAGAAACGCGCTGGTGGTCGGCAGCACCACCAGCCGTACTACAACATGGACATGGAGTCGGGCCTGGTGGAGGAAGACCTCAGTCCGGGAGGCGATTATATCCGACTACTCCTCCTGCCCAAGTCATTTTCGCCTGAGTTCCGCGGGAACTGGGATGACTACCGTACCGAGTTCTGGGAAAAGGAGAACGAACGGCGTGCCCAACTGCGTCAGAAACTGCGCCAGAAGGAGCGCCAACTAGCTCAGCAGGACGGCGGCTGGTTCTGGTGGTTTGACATTGGATGGAAGGCGTCGCAGCGTCGGCGAGCCGCTGCAGCGACAATTACCAAGTCCGCCGACGAAAAAGCCCACCATCGACATTCCCACCACTCCAGCATCTCTAGGCTGAGCCACGAGCCGAAATCGCCTGCCCGGCGTAGCACGCGCTCGGACTCGCACTCACGGACGCCATCCCGAAGCAGCACCCCCGTAGATACCGATGACCGTCCTCCGTCGAGGTCGTCTGTGAGTGGCCGTCCCCGTCGGGGAAGCCTAACCCCTAATTCTACGGCGTCAGGCTCCGAGCAAGGACATCAGCACCGCAAGAAGAAGTCCAAGACTCTTTCCCGGGGAGTGTCACCCCTCACACAAGCACAGATCAGTGAGGGTGCGCGTACATCGTCTTTCTCTTCCGACGACTCCGGTTTCCTAGCGGAGTCCGACAAAGTCAAAGATGAGGAAATTAGCATATAAGTTGTAATTCAAGCTTTGAATCTATACCCCGGTTTCTAATGTTGGAAGCATCATAGCATGTCCGTACAAAAAGTGTGACTATGTTCTATGCCATCTGTTTTCTTCTACACTCTTCTCTCATCATACTTCTTTATCTCGGTTTAATAATTCAATTTTTTGTCTATATCTTCAATGATCTAGTCTGACTTACCAAAGTGGGTTGATAACAGAGCATTCTGCTCAGTAGAAGATGGGAATGGGCAAGAAGACATACTGTACAGTGATATACGATGACATTTTCTATAATTACGTCGATGATTGTGGATGTATTGAAGTCGTACCGGACAAAGAACCAAGAAGCTTCAAGGATTATACTTCGAGGTATTATGCAAGGAACGAAAGTTTATTGCACGAAATGCGAAGACCAGAACTCAATGCCAGGGCCAATTGACATCTGCAATGTATAAACTAGAAAAAACCCTCCGAAACGCCGAACTAACCCGTCGATGGGGATGAAAGTGACATTAGAAGTTAACGTGTCCGACATAAATCCCTTTTCAGCTCCCAATCAAAAGTCGACCATACAACTGAAACTCCACCAGCTCTCTATGCTATTAAATTCTGTAAACGGTCTCGTCATCCTCAAGGAACCTGGAGATTCAGTGTTAGTCATGTTATGAGTTCTTGATCTGAGTGTCTTTAGATAGTGGGTGCTTACATCAATTCATTTCTCTCGTTCATGGCCCTCAAGGCCTGGATTGCTTCGGGACGTTGGAACACATGGCTCTCTCCGAGAGATCGTGTTCCACGCACTGCTGTGTTCACAGCCCCAATGAGCTCTTCCACGTCAGCGGTGTCGCCCGTGGTGAACAGTCGTGTACCCATGAGCGGGCCCAGAGCCTGGCGGAAGACCGTCAGACGAGCAGGCTGTATCGGCTGGGACGCACTGGCAGACGATGTCTGGGGCTGCGAAGTGTCTGTCTGGGAGTCGATGAGTTGTGAGGCTGGCTGAGAAGATGCTACAGACATCTGAGACTGGCTTTGCGTTTGAGTGCGCGTGCCCTGGCTCGACCGTAACCGTTGACCACGAGGACTGGCGCTGTATAGACCATCGCCATCTTCCGAGGCATCGTCTCCATCAGCGTCCATTTCATCGGTAGTGGAACGGTTCGCAGCTGCACGCGCGCGCAGTGCTCCGCTTCTCCGGCTTGACCGCGGGGTGGCACTTGCAGTTTGTGCCGGAGTATCATCCTCATCAGAGTCTTCCTCGGACTCGCTCTCGGAGTCCTCGTCGAATGCAGTGACCTTTCTCCGCTTACGGCGCTCGTCTTCGAGAACCTCCTTGAACATGGCAAAACGCAGAAGGGACTCCGCAACCTTTGCATCCCGTTCTTCAACTCTGTTGGAGAGACGGGACTTGGCGTGAGCGGTAGCCAGACGAATCAATGTCTCTAGGGTACGCGCGGTGATAGGCGATGTCCTGCGCTGATTACCAGACAGTTCATCGTTTCTCAGCGCCGAGTAGGTGGTAACAATGTGGTCGGCGGCTCCCTTAGTCAACACGGGCTTGACTCTCGACTTGGCGTATTGAATGTATTTCTTGATAAATGGGATGCTTAGAATTTCAACGTCCTTCTTCTTGCCCCGGCCTGTGTTAGCCATTCCAGCATGAAGCATGGCATTGAACTTTTCATACACCTCTGTGGGCTGGTTTGAATCCTGGTTATCCTCGAGTCCAACACCCAAGGTCTGATTGAGCTGTTCCCTAACTGGAGCGCCCTCTTCAGTGCCAGGCTGACGGTAACGATGCATACGAAGGACGTGCTCGGACACCAACCTGTCCTTAGAATCTTCAATGTCGTCTGTCACTACGAAAAGCAAATCGAAACGAGACAAGAGAGAGTCTGGCAAGGCGATATTCTTGTGCGGGTCTTTGTGGGGATCGTATTGTCCGTAGATGGGGTTAGCGGCCGCCAGGACACTGCAACGAGCATTCAGACTCGTGTGAATACCAGCCTTCGCGATGGTAACGGTCTGTTGTTCCATGACTTCGTGAATCGCCACGCGATCCACATCACTCATCTTATCAAACTCATCAATACAGACCACACCGCGGTCTCCCAGAACCATTGCACCGGCTTCCAGTCTGCGCTCTCCAGTCTCTTTATCAGACGTAACAGCGGCTGTAAGACCGACACCTGATGAGCCTCGTCCGGTTGTTGCAATCGCCAAGGGCGCGGTATTCAAAACGAAACGGAGGAGCTGAGATTTGGCTGTCGAAGGATCACCAACCATCATGATGTTGATGTCACCACGCAAGTGTGTTCCATTATCGAGGTTTTTCTCCATACCACCAAGCAGCATGAGCAAGATTGCCTTCTTGATATAGTCGTGACCGTAGATACTCGGCGCGAGGGAATGAGACATCAACTCAAAAACGTTCTTTTTCTTGGAAACCTTGTTGATGTTGCGAATATCAGTGTCGGTAATAGTGGCTTGCGCAATTCCTCCGCCGGATTTCGATGATAATTGAATAATGTTGTTTGCCAAAACAAGTGTGCGGAATGTCGACGAGCCCGAGTTTGCGTTTCGATTTCCCAGAGACCGGTAAATTCCTACCAACTGAATTCTATCACCAGGCTTGGCTCGGTCCACGAGATCGTCATCTAAGATCACATCAACACTCCGGGGCAGTTGACCGGCCGGTGCTCTCTCTGGCATTTCTTGAATCGAAATGGTTTGGTGATCCATATAGGTCGAATAGCCGTATTCCGTGATGAGCTGAAAAACAAACACACAATTAGCTGGCTACAATCAGTACATCTCGGTAGCTTTGGACATACCGGATTCTTCTCGTCATCCTCCTGGGGATAAACATTCAAGCTTGTCGCTCCGCTGGCCGTCATTGTTTGATCCCTATATTTCCTCGACAAGAACCTGTCTTTCCTTTCACTATAATGCACACTCTGTATAATCTTTGGCCGGACCAAAGAACATTTTGTCACAATGCCCTCAAGGGAGATCATCCGGTTCAGATGGGTCGAACCCAAGGTCCGTGGGTTACAGGAGAACTCTCCAAAAGCTCCGACATAGGCGCAGTAGTAGTTCTAACCGTTTGTCAGCTCCCATATCTATGTGTATGAGCGCATATGGCTAGAATTACATACCACTTCGTCTGCTGTCTCCCTAGAAGGTCGGTGTGGTATTGTCTTGATAACGTCTTTCAAAGCTCTATCGAAAGCTTGGGAATAATCGAATGGGGAGGTGAGAAGCCTTCATTCAAAGATTAACATATTGTGGGCTTTGTCCAAAGGATCATCACATACCCATCGGCCAATTCACGGTTATGCGCTCTGATCTCATCGATGCTGACCTATTTGAAAAAAAAAAAAAAAGATTTTTTTAGCTCCTTATACGCTAAACGTCATTTCAAGGCAGGTACGCAACAACGTACTATTAAGCGCCGAAGTCCTCGATTTAGCATCAACACGATATCGGCACGATAACTGTTCTGCAGGTCAGAAGCCACATCCTGAAACAGTAATTTAGACAAGCAGAGTTGTTTTTCGACTTGACGGACCTTCTGGCTCTAGCATCATCACCTGAAAACAAAGGATTCATCAGTTTTCATGCTCTAATGCCACACAAGTCTGCCCATAGTGACTTACGGGGATCGAGGAACTCAATAGCGGCACGCACTCTATCCTGAGCGGCCTCATCACGGAGCTGCACTCCGTCCATGGTGATAATGTGCTTCGCGGACAATTATACGGGGTGTATTAGTAAAAATTTAAATTGATCGATGTGATCTCAGTGCAATGAATGGTCCTTGCAATTTTCGATAGCACACGCTAAATCATAGAAATGCGGAAAGGAGGGGATGGTTTGGTTCGTTGCGCCCTTGACAACGGGTGGGATGGCGGAGGATCTTTCTCAAAGCTGTGGAAACACGCTGTCCCAATCGGGCATAATTGGAACGCGTGGTTCTTTTTCCACAACGCGTTCACACGCGGAATGAGTGATGACTCAGCAATACGGGACAACCCATCTCTCAGTTTTGGATTGCCTAATTGGGAAATATCAACAATGTTACTCCATAGTACCAGGTCCTATAGCCCAGAGGCTGGTGCTAGAAAATTGAAAACGTTGAGTTGAACTATATCCAATAATATTCGTACACTCTCTAGATATCTCTTATACATAAGTAGTATGGTACATTTTGTGTTCTGGTATATACAATGCAACAAACTTCGTCCTTCTAATTACGCTCTTTCGACTCTTCGAAAGACATGGCCTCTTCATCAATAACCTCTTCCATCCATTGGTCATAGCCATCATCTGAAGCATCCTCGTCCATGGCAAGTAGATCATCAGTCAAGGTGGAGGAGTCATTTGCAAGGTCACTGTCGATGTTCTCGTGATGCTCATTGTCCAACAAGTCATCGTTGGCTTGCTGCGCATTGCGTCTTGTCTCTAACAGCGACTCGGCCTCAATATCATACTCATCTTCGTAGTCAATGGTCTTCTCTGTAGAAGTAGAAGTGCCCTCGGGAGTCTGCACACCATCGGCTGCATGTACGTCGGTTTGATGTACTGAAGCTGCTTGAGACTTGGCGTCTCGCAGCGCTCGGTCTTCAGCCACATCATATGCCTTAGTTGGCTCACCAGTCGTTTCATCAATTTCCAGAATTGGTCTTCGTTGGCCGCCAACTCCAAGGATGCCGCCAGTCCAGACGAAATGCTCACGACCATCCATGTCTTCCTTCTTATCTCCTTGTTCCTGACGACGTCGGAGCAAGACACCCTGGAATTTCTCGCGTAGATAAGGCATATCGGCGATAGCCTCAATAGTTCGGGGGGCTGCTTTATGAAGAGAGCCAAGTTCTGCCCCTCCATCAAAGATGCTTCTTTCTCGGGCGCCGAGTAACGCAGAAGCCAGATATACCATGGAGACATAAGTAGGTTGCATGAACTCAGGCTGGATTTTGCTCCAATACTTGCGACCTTCCTTGCCGAGAAGGTTAGGATGCTTTCCACGCGTCGGGTTTTCGATGATGTCAATGCCAGCCGGCACACCAGGTGGCTTTAGTCCGTATCCTCGTCGAAGGCTTTTCCATCCAGGGAAATTTGGCATAAACTTTCGCTCAAAGACAGTGAATGCCTCAGTCTGATCGGAAATTTTCTCTGAAGATGCAAGCATTTGGACGAAAGTGGACCAATTGTAAGTGGTCAACATAAAGCCTGCTTTCTCGACGTCCGCTACGGCTTGGGGAATCCTCGAAGTCTCGTTCCGATAGGCAAGGGAACGCATGTACAAAGACAGTGGTCGGGACAGCAGGAATTGATATGCCGGCAAGATTGCTGACTTCTTCGGTCGCTCGGCAATGCAACCGTCCAGATCTAGCAAAATATCCTTGTGGTGGCTGACAGAATTAGGCAGAGTTGGTCGAGGTGGTTCAATGATCTCTGTGGAGGGTAGCTGGCTAGAAAGCCATTCATCAACAGTAGGGCGCCGGGCTAACTTTTTGGCACGAGAAAATGCCATCTTCCAGCATTCTTCTACCTTTTTGTGTTGCTCTGCCTTTAGGTAGGCAAGCATCAATGCGGAAAGTAGACGCAACGGTGCTTTGTCATAGACGTTCTCCGACGTAGTCGACGCCTGCCGATCTTTAATGAATCGATCGAATAGCTCTCGGGCCTTCGCAAAAGCTCCCCTTGTGCCATATGCTGTGATGATGTATTCGTAGTACATAGCGGGGAAAGCGTCACTAATCGTTTGTTTACCAACACCGGGCATCGGTAGCTTCGTGGCCAACTTGGTGGTGTCGAACTCCGCAATAGTCTCCGCAAGGAACTTCTCGGCATTCTCAAGGCGAACACTGGCGCTATCCACCTGACTATTGCTGCTTTTGATAAGCTGCAAATCGCGCTGAAGTTGACTTTTCAGAACAAGCAAACTTGAGCTAAACCCAGGTCGGTTGAATCGTTCTTTGATCTCGCGGAAGATGATATGGACCATGTCCCGATTGCGGTCCTTTACATAACCGTACAGAATTATGGCGTAATGGAACTCTGTAGCATACATCCGATGGCTTCGGTGAAGCGTTCTGAGAATGCGACGCGCAGAATCCGTCTGTCCAATGAGTACCAAACTAAGCATGAGGGCAGCATACGTCATGCCATCAGGCTGCAGGCCGGCGGCATCCATACGCGAGCGAACCCGAGAGATCGATTCTAGGTCCATTCTGAAAGCATAATTCCAAAGAAGCACGTTCCACATTCTCACACGTGAGCCTTTCACATCCAAACCGAGACAAGTCTCTGCCACGCTCTCAGCCATGTTCAACTGCTGATTGTTACAATAGGCCTCCACGATGGTATCAAGAAATGGAGCGGTGATCTGCACATGGCGCTGTTTCGCTAAAGCGAGTAGCTGACGTACAGTGTCAATATCGCCTCTGTTAGCGCAAAGTCCCATCAGTGTGCCAAAAGAGTGAGAGCTTGGTTCCACACCCTGCTGAATCATTTTCTTAAATGTGGTAAAACTTCCAGACAAATCACCAGCATTGGCATATGCTGTAAGAAGAATATTCCAGCATACAGCATTCGGCACCAGGCCAAACTCTTCCGATATCCTTGCAAACTGGCGGAGAGTCTCTTGTACATTGCCATATCTCGCATGTACATATAACAAGGGAGTTAGAAGCCTCCGACTCAACGGCTTCCCATGATCTGATAGGAACCTTTCAAATATTTCGTGGACGTTCACCACGTCACCAGCTCTTGAGAAGGCGATAAGCGCGTGCTTATATGCATCGATTGAGGGCTTGCCATGAAACAGGCTGAACTCATCCAAGAGATACCGAATACCAATGGTGATTTCAAAGGTAGACAAGCGTCTCAAGAGTTGATTTAACAGCTTTGCGGGTGGCACTTCATTTTCCATCTGCCAACGAAAATTACGGTACACCACAATGGCCCGAACGAATATTGATCGGGTCTCAGATGACTGAAGAGTCTTCATAAGACTGAAGTAATGCCTAGGGGTTAGTATGGATAAGGCGTTATATTCTTTCAAAAGCAGGAGCAGAGGTTCTGTGGCTGTTTCCACAATGATCCCGGGCGTGGAGAAGGTGCGGTCAAGTAGGAACCGGGCGAGATCGCGTGCTGAACTATTAGTAACTTCATTCTGCAACCATGTGGCAAGGGCGACCAAAGCGTTCGGTACATTGGAAAAGGTTAAAGAGGATGCAACATGTTCCCATAGCCCTTGTTCATCAGATGTCGGTTTTGATAACCAGGCCTGTTGCGCATAATCCCACTGCTCAGTTTTCACAAAATACGCCAAAGTGTAAGCCCAGCACGGGATTCCCAGGCCCTTCTCTAGTGCTACCTGGCATATACGGTTCATCTCCAGCGGCCTTTCAGCCGCCAAGTACGACTTCGCCATATGCAAGTAATCCTCCGCGGACCGAGAATCGACAGGGATCCCTTCAAACAGTCTCTTAACCCGTCTGTGATTGACATCTTCCTCTGAGTTGCTTAGGATCGCGAGGAGGGCCGGGTTCGTATCAAGTGGATGGCCTGCAGTCACGTAAAGTGACCATGCCTTGTCGTATTCCCCGAGCTTGCCATCCCCTAGCAATGACAACAGATCATGCTTTGCCCGCCTCCGTTCATCTTCTCGGTCTTTGCGACTAGTAACAACGGGGCCTGATCTATCTGCACCAGCAGGTTGGTAGAGACTCGCAGCTCCCGACGTGTACGTTCTAGTAAGAGTTGCAATAGCCCTTTTCCTCCGGCGTGCGGTGAACCTTCTCGGGGATCGTATGAGACAGGACGCCGCAAATTCCTGTGTGCGTGGAGGATACAAAAAGTCCAAAAAGGGAGTCCGTGGTTCGGGTGCAACTCTGCCTGCGGTCGGAGTTCCATTTACTGTATTCGAGACTCCTCGGGTTGAAGTTGGTGAGACAGGAAGCCAATGCGGGGAGTCCGAATTTGTGCCACTAGTTTGCCCAAAGCTAGGATACAGCGGTCTTGGACTTCGTATAGCGCCATTAGAATCCCGGAAGAAACGCCGTCCTGCGCTCTCAAGGCATCCGGCAGCCCGTTCCAGCATTACCTTGAAAGATTGCGGCGTCAAACCCTGAAATCACCGAAATCGAACAGGAATGCGTAGCATATCGGTTCTAAGTCTTCTATCAATCCAGAAGAGGAGGTCAGACGGTGCTTTATAATGTACTGTTAGGTGCTGACGAGAGGAGAGGCGCACCGTGAAGTGTCTCTTGTGCACGAAGCTCACAAAATGCTGACAAACAGTCGCTCCGAATATCCAGCAAAAAGTCTGAGCTATACTTGATAACCCCGGCAGGATCACGAGGAGCAGAGACCGCGTTCGCAGACCAAACGTCGTGGAGTTGACGCGGAATGAAATTTTGAGTAGGTGGTAGCAAATAGCTTCGGCCGATGCTGGAAAAGAGAATCCCGCGAAATCAGCCGGTCATTCGTTTGGCCGAAATCTGACCACGCCAGCAACCCGCACTCTCCAGTCCGACGCCTACCCACCTTAGTAGAGAGGCGTCAATCAATCCACTTGATACCTCTAATTACAACCACAATGGATATTACAGATTATATTTTCAACCAGAGAGAGGAGGTCCTCTTGGCTGGTGATTATAATGCCTACCGTGCCCATACCACCCGCAAATTGCACAAACTCCGCAAGAAGCTCGGGCAGACCACACCCAAAGGCCGGAAATATGCTGCCAAACCCCCCGTCAGCGCAGAGAATGTCAACGGCAATGTTGCGTATGTTCTTCCAAGTTGCAGCTCCTGTGTCGGTTTCCCCTAATAACCACATGTGCTGATTCGTACGGTTCAATAGATATGTTCACATCCTACTCCTAAGCTCGGAACGAGCATGGGCACAAGCACTGCAAATGAAGTCGGCGCATTCTGCAGATCCGTCAGCAAAGGGAATCACAGGTGCCGCCCGGCGTCACATCATCTCGCGACTGCATAAATCAGCCGGTTATGCAAATGAACTTGTTCTCTTGTTACAAGACCAAGCTTCTGGTGCTACTGATAATGATCTTCTTGAAGCGCGGGCATACCATGCCACACTCTCGGGGGCCCTATCATTGGAGAAGCGGAAATGGGAACAGTGTATGCAAGACTACTCTGTATCAAGGGTTATATATGCAGCACTTGGTCAAAACAATAAGAAGGATGCATTTCGGGATCTCCTCTCTGGTACCGTCGACCCCAGTTTGAGATATGCCGCATACCAGATGAAGCTTCCACGTTCAAAGCCTCTGACCTCTTTGGCCATCAGCTTTTTCCCGTCGGACGCCAAGCTCAGGTCAGAAGTCGAGAAGGTGGATCCTAACTGTCTTAAAGAGGATGCTGCTGGAACAAGGAGAACTGCGGACGGGGAGGTGCAGCAACTTCCCGACAACATCACATGGAGGTCACGGACCGTTGCTTTGGAAGACGCCGCAATTTCCCAGGCTCTCGCAGCAGCAGCGGCGGCGGAGTCTCGCCTCGCCTCGTGGCTCGCAGATGCCTCGGGCAAATCCGCATCATCGAAGGATAAGGCAGCTGCCTACGATAACGTCATTATTGCCAGCCAAGATGCCGTGGATGCTACAAAGACGGCCATCGATGACCTTGTCAGTGAGGGCGTAGATCTTGGCGACAAAAGGATGCAGAGCTTGCAGATTACCCGCACTGCCGTCAATTTTGCTCTGGTAGGGTGGAGAGTTGGGCGTAATCGCGTATTGTGTGGTGAGCATGACGGCATACATGGTGAGATCGACCAGGCCAAGACAACCAAGGGCAGCAAGGGTTCTGCCAAACGCGAAGAAACCAAAGGCAAGAAGCTGGCCCGTCTGCGTGAAAGGGTCGTTTTGTATGATTCTACGTTGCAGAGCATCGAGTTCATCCTCGAGCTACCCGGTGTGGCAGCTGATTCTACCTTTGTTCAGGAGCTTGGAGCTAAACGTTCCTACTTCCGGGCCTTGAGGTATGGCGTGCCGCTCCCCTTTCAGTCGCGGAATTCTCTAACATGAACTTTTAGATGTCTCACCATTGGGCGGTCTCACAGTATCCTTGGAAAATATAAAAACGCACTTGCGTTGTTTTCGCAAGCGTTGGCGCTCAGTCAGGAGTCTGCGAGCTCAGTTCAGTCCACCGCCGAAACGGAAGAGTTGCCGAAGCTTGATATCACACGCAACCAAATCCAGACCCTCCAGTCAACCTTGCGGGCCCTGGTTTCACAGTACCGCGGGCTTGTCACTCTGGAGAAGATCTCCGAGCAGCAATCGAAATCGGCCAGCGAGCGGCCGATGGTTGAGCGGTTGCACGAGTACCCCGGCGACGGTTTGGATTTGAAGAACCTCGTCCCATACCCACCTCAGATGGAACCAGTGCCAGTGAAGCCACTGTTCCTTGACGTCGCATGGAATTACCTTGACTATCCCCGTGAGAATGTGAACACCCAAGGTGCAGCTCCGACCTCAACTGAGCCAGCCACTGAGGAAAAGAAGGGAGGCCGACGCGGCTGGTTTAGCTTTGGCCGGTAAGGAATGGGTATGGTGGTTACGTTTGGTATGAGCTGGAATGATCCTCCGTTATTTGATGCACATAGGGCTTGGATGTCAAAGGCATTTCCACTTCTACTCGAATGAGTCCAGTTAATTGATAGACTCAACATTCAAAACCTTGAGTGAATATGAACAAGTGCAACGCAACGCTATGGGCTGATCGTGGCAGTTCACTCTAGTACCTAGTTGTAATTGTAACCGCCTTGGCCCATTTCCAGATCAGGCATGCCGATGAGGAAGTGACTACCACTATCACTCCTTGACACAGGTAAAAGAAGAGGTGGCTCTTCATCAAATGGCTATGGGGCGTTGGGGTAGACACGTCGCTGTGCAAGTGGCTTTTGATTTCATTCTTTTTAGGTTTGCTAAAGTATATTGCCACTGTTGATTCTTCCTATTTGTCTTTCTCGAGCAACGGACGCTGGTTGCACGTTTTCCATGTATAGTGAAATGTACCTAGTGCGTCGGATCGATTGTATTAGTGCAAATATATGTCGTCGGCGTACATACAAGAGAGATTAGTCAAAACAACGACAGAAGAACAAGGAGAAGGAAGGGAAAAAAAAAAAAAAAAGAAAGAAAACTCGTAGAACTCCATAGACCAGAAAAGGCATATATATACTTAGTTCTCGTTCCTATATACCTGATTGGTTATGATTTAACCTCTAGAGTCAGATATCTTGATTGGCCATTGGGTTCAACTGACTTCAAGTTACTACGTCCTATATCTATCGAGTGGTCGTTCAGAAGACCAGAAGTTTATGAATTGTCAATAGCTTAGCTTGGAAGTATAGAAGTACTAAAAGTTGAAAAGTTACGATTCTTTGTCAATGGTCCATAATGCAGCAGAGCATGAGCCACCGGCTATTGCCTATGCCGGGAACTTCAGTTGTTCCACGGATGTTGCTTGATTAGGTATTTAATCAGGCAATTCACCATCATAAGGTTCATTGGATCCGTGCATTACATTAGAGTTGTGATTGCCTGCCCCAGGCAACTAGTGACTAACTGGCCTGAGAAACAGGACACGTGCACAGGCCAAGGGGCACGAACGACCGGGACCTCAACAACCGAATCACCTTTTCGCTGATTACTCGACACCTCCAGCTTCTCGAACAATTTCCCGAAGCAAGGGTTTACTAAGACATTTATTTCCACCCCATGTGCACGTACTCTGTAGATATGGGGGTTCTACCATGAGGACTGAATAGAGTCATACCATACAAGTCGATATTATGTAAATAATCCTGATGGTCTAAATTGACAGATTGCTTGATCTATACTCCATACTCCGTAATAACTCGACCTTACCCTATCAATAATAAATAATCGGGTCATGGATCCAATGGTGAGCCTTACTTTGTCACCGGGGGATCAGAATTATTCAATGGTTCGAGTTGACGAGGGATACATGACTCGGATCTAGAACCCTCACCGGTCAGTCATTACTTCCAACTCTTCGAAAAACAGAACACCTAAAAAAAAAAGGGGGGGGAGGGAGAAACAATTGAAATTGTCAGAACCATATCTACCAGAGTGGAATATCAATGGAGGGTGTACTGTCTTTTACGATGTACATTGTATCATGGTATCGGAAAGAACCAACCGCTGGACTAGGGCTAGTAAGTAGTACTACTACTAGTACTACTAGTAGTAGATGCGACTGCAGAAAAGGTGCAGAAGTTCGTTACCAAATACTAGTACTATACCAATAGTACAAGGATGTCAGGGGGACGTGCAATGTAACAAACAGGGATCATGATAGGCTTGATTGACCTACTCGTATTGGATCCCTGTCAATACCGGCCCCGGGGACGCTGTAAGGTTCCCGAAACCTCGACTAGTGGCCAACGGAAGCCCAGCATTCCGGATGACCCTGATCAACTAGTAATGAATATTATTCCATTCCATGTAATCTTTGTATATTGGAAGTGTGTTCGAACCAGCAACTTCAAGTGCCTGTCCCGTCCGTAGTAATTTCTGAATAGAATTCTCTTAATTAATGCTACCCGAGTGGAGACCATTGGATGTCTCTTAATTGCGTCTGGAGTTTCTCCGGTGTTTCCGTACGTGGTGTTTCTTAACAGTAATGTATCCGTAACCCGTCCGCCGATCTATTACTATTTTTTTTTTTTTCCTTTTCTTTTCTTTTCCCACCTCCCCTAGGACTCTCGGCCGTTCCCTCGCCAATCTCCTAAAGAGAAGTGGTGTGTCTGTCTTCGGGGAAGCCGTCACTCATTCTCTTTCCTTCTCCTTGATCTCACTGTTGGAGAGAGACCGAGAGAGTTCCCAGCACCATCACCATCCCATCATGGCCAACATTACTGGGAGCTTTGTCTCTCCTTTAGCGGATGCTACCGTTGTCCCTCAGCTTTTCCAGTCCTCCGGACTGCTCGGGTCCTTGCTTGGCGATTTCAATGTTTGGAAGGCTTTGTTGACTCTGTTTATCGCGGCTGTTATCTACGATCAATGTAAGTCGTCTACATTCTCTCTCGAATACTTTCCATCATGTCCTTCGGTCTACGACTCCTCTCCCTTCCCCGGCTGTCTCTGGAGCATCCGCTGTGAACCATGGCTGATGATCTTAACTTGGTACAGTCCGATACTTCTATCAGAAAGGATCCATTGTTGGACCAAGATGGAAGTTGCCATTCATGGGACCTTTCCTTCAGTCGGTCAACCCCAAGTTTCACGAGTACAAGGCCAAATGGGACAGCGGAGAACTGAGCTGTGTTTCCGTCTTCCACAAGTAAGTCTTCGCTGAGCGAGTAGCTTTTCTGCGCTGGGACCAACGGCTGATACCAAACCTCGTTAGGTTTGTCGTCATCGCATCCACCCGTGACATGTCCAGGAAGATCTTTAACTCTCCTGCCTACGTCAAACCCTGTGTCGTCGATTCGGCGCATAAGTTGCTTGGCGAGGACAATTGGGTGTTCTTGGATGGCAAGGATCATGTTGAATTTCGCAAAGGCTTGAACGGCCTCTTCACCCGTTCCGCGCTCACTTGCTACCTTCCCCGCCAGGAGGAAACCTTTAACCAGTACTTCAAGCGCTTCCTCGAGAAGTCCAAGGCCAATGACTTCAAGCCTACCCCCTGGATGCCGGAATTCCGTGAATTGATGACTGCCATCTCCTGCCGTACTTTTGTGGGTCACTACATGACCGATGAGGTCATCCAGAAGATCAACGATGACTACTACTTGATCACGGCCGCCTTGGAGTTGGTCAACTTCCCGATTATTCTTCCTTACACCAAGACATGGTACGGAAAGAAGGCCGCGGATATGGTTATGGAGGAGTTCGCTAAGTGTGCCGCCAAGAGCAAAGCGCGTATGGCTGCCGGTGGAGAAATCTCATGTATCATGGACGCTTGGGTCAAGGCTCAGCAGGTCTCCGCGAAGTACAGGGAGGACGTCGCTAAGGGCATCCCCGCGGAAAAGCCTCCTCAACTCCTTCGGGATTTCACCGATGAAGAAATCGCTAAGACTGTTTTCACCTTCTTGTTCGCATCTCAGGATGCAACCAGCGCCGCCTCTACCTGGCTGTTCCAGCTCATGGCCGACCGCCCCGAGGTCTTGGAGAAGGTGCGGGAGGAGAACGTGCGCCTCCGCAATGGTGACATCAACGCGCCTATTACCATGGAACTGCTCGATCAGATGGAATATACTCGTGCTGTGGTGAAGGAGACTCTGCGTTACCGCCCACCCGTTATTATGGTCCCCTACCTGGTCAAGAAAGATTTCCCCATCACCGAAAAGATCACCGTTAAGAAGGGCTCTATGATCATCCCATCTGTCTGGCCTGCAACCCACGACGAGGAGGCGTACCCCAACCCAGACAGCTTCGACCCGGATCGCTGGATCACCGGCACCGCTGAGCAAAACCCTAAGAACTGGTTGGTCTTTGGCACTGGACCCCATTATTGCCTGGGTCAGACCTACGCTCAGCTGAACTTGATGGCCATGATTGGCAAGGCCAGTATGGAGATGACGTGGGAGCACACCACCACCCCCAAGTCGGAAGACATCAAGGTGTTTGCCACTATCTTCCCTCAGGTATGTATATCTTTACCCTACGATAGGCCCCGTTCCAAAGCGCTAATGCAACTTAGGATGACTGCCTGCTTACATTCCGCCCTCGTGCCTAAACTTCTATAATCGATTTTATTCTTCCCTTTTTCTTTTCATTTTCCCTTTTCCTTGTCGGTCCTCCAGTGTTATATTCTCTATCCTGGAGATAGAATGGCCGTACCCTTCTTCTCTTCCTTCTATACCTGTATCTACTTCTTTGTACCATTCTTCCACCTTGGGGGGTTTTTTTTCGGTGGTGATTCTTTTTCGTTTTACCATTTCTTGTTTAACGGATGAAAATTAGGACCGTGCTTGTGCCGATGACGAGCCACAGGGACTCCCGCGCTCGCAATGTGTGAGGCCGAGCCGTCCGGGCGTACATGATATTGAACGATTCACGCAGGGTCGTCAGCTTTATGAACAGTGAAGCGGTGAAGGACGTGCCATTTTAGATTACGCTACCTAGAATAATAATAATTGTGAACCCTTTTCATTTCTAGTTCAGCATGAGCCGAAGCGAATGTAGAGAAAATAAGGTTCTGAGGTTTTTAAGTGCTTACAGGGAACACAACCCTGCACTGATCGCTCAGGGAATCCCTACCCTTAACCGCTCCCACGTACTTAACCATACGGTAATCTAACATCCAACCACACAACCCACCCGTCGTACGGTTGCTACCCTCCCCTTTAGGCAGGCGGTAAACACCTAGACATACTGACATCACCTCAACTCCATCTCCATCTCCATCAATCCCGAGTAACTGCAACTCAACCCCCCATGTAATAAACCCAATTACAAACCAAAATGGCCTCGATACAATCCATCCGACGCCCCCTAACAACCGTCACATCCCGCACCGCAAAGCAAATCTCCGCGCCGGCAGCAACCAGATCTCTATTCCGCACCGTCCCGCAAACAACGAGAGCCTTCGGAACGGCACCACCATCGCCATGTCTGGCTCGCGGAATTCCCTGCGTACGTCGCATGAAGTTGGCCCCAGTCCAACAGAACCTTCGCCGGTGGAAAAGTAACGGTGAACCCACTTTCAGACAATGGGGGTTTGAAGATGTATGTTTTGTCCTTGTGTTATATTTCCCCTTTCCGTTTTAATTTGATTATCACATTCTCAAAAACAATATACCCAAACCATAAAGAACCACTACTCCACAAAACAAATGATACTAACCCACAAATCAAAAACAAAAATAGATCAGCGCCTCCCTCCCGACCTCTCCAGGAACAAAGCCCCAAAAGAACCTCATCCTCGTTGACGTGCGCGAGCCCGCCGAGTTGAAGTCTACGGGTATCATACCGTCCGCTGTCTCCGTGCCGCTTGCGTCACAGCCGGATGCGTTTTTCCTCACGCCGGAGGAGTTCGAGACAAGATTTGGATATCCCAAGCCTGGGGCTGGGGAGGAGGGTGATATTGTGTTTTATTGTAAGGCTGGAGTGAGGGCGAAGGCTGCGGCGCAGTTGGCGGTGCAGGCTGGGTATGAGGCTGAGAGGGTTGGGGTTTATGAGGGGAGTTGGTTGGATTGGGCGGATAGAAAGGGTAGGGTTGAGAGGTGGGAAGGGGAGTCGGAGTAGTTTTTCTTTTGTCTCCTCTTCTCTTTCGTTCTGAGCTTGTTGGGGGAGGGTTGAGGATGGTTGTATATATTGTATTAGATTGTAGGTTATGGTTATTTGGGATGAAGGGGGAACATGTGTTATTGGAACAGTCAAGTTATCGTAAGGACCGTCTATATTAATCACATATGGTAGAAGTCAAAGAAATCCAATGAATTGAACTAAATCGCAAGTATCATTAACAAGCATAACTATAGGCATCGACCACGGCCACTTGAAATCCATTTCTGTACAGACATCTTGCTTTTGGACAACCCAGTCGTGATCATTCCTCATGCATGCAGGCTTTTTAAGTGACTTTTATCCATTTTCTCCAGCCCAGCCTAACCCCAGAGATAACCGTGGCCTTTCTTTTTTAACACACACGTTATCCCTAACCAGTTCCGTTTTGTTTCATCACATCATGCACTACTTCAACGTAGTACATTAAATCATCACGGCACATAAAGAAATCACATCGCTATATGGTAAACCTATACATATGGGCACATGCCTGGTAGCTCATTACCCGATAGTTGAGTCTGCCCCAAACTCTGGCAAACGGCCAAGTGCCGAATGCCATATGGTTACCATCGAGGACCTGTCGAGATAACTGGTAAGTCCCCAGGCTATGGTGGGTCATAAGCTCGTATAAAATTTAAGGGATGTCGAACACGGGCTTGAGCTTCTTGACAAGACCCCATTCCTCCATCGACACGTCTGAACGGTAGAATTCCTTAAGAGTGTCGATACTGGCACGGGAGATCTTGGAGTACAGGGTGTCCTTCTCTTCCAGTTGACGTCCGTACATGGGCTGGTTAGCTCCCTCGATCTTGACAGCAACAGAGGGTTGACCCTTCTTGACCACGTTGACTGCTTTGTGATCACGTTCAATCGATACACTATAATCCGATATTAGTAAGGCGCTGGAGTTTTTGAAGAAAAAAAAAAAGGAGGGCGGAGAAAGGGACTTACACTCTGCCAATCTCGATAATTTCCTTGGCACCGGTCGTTGCGTTGGTCTTAACTGCGGCAAGTGGTGTATGCATCCGCAGACTACCTTCAATGACATCGACACCGATGACGATAGGGTCCTTCTTGTTGAAGACGGCGACGGGACGGAGAACACAAGGGAAGACAGCAAGCATCTTGCTCTCCTCCTTTCTCTTCTCCGTCAATTCAGCGATATGCTTAGTGAAGTCATCGAACAAGTGGTAGATGATGTCTGCGGTGAAGATCTTGACACCAACTTCCTCGGCATACGCGGCCGCTTCCTTGTCAACCTTAACATCGAAGCACAGCATGACGGCGTATTCCTTAGCCTTTTCCAACATCGTACCAGCCATCATCACATCACGTTTATAAACAGGGCCGATGGAGATGTTGGCAACGGGGATCTTAGAGACACGAAGGAACTCAAGCAAAGCTTCGAGGGAACCAAGGGTCGAGGCCTGGACACTGACACCACGCTGATCCTTAGAAACCTTGCTCAGCAGATTCTCCAGATCAGACATGACTTCATCCTCGATGTCCTCCTCATCATCATCAGGTCCGACGACCATCAACCGAGAACCAGCAATGGCATGCTCGAGATCGTTGGCTGCGATCTTGACACCAAGGGCGGCCTTGACTTCCTTGTTATGAACGTACTGTGACTTCAGACGAAGTTCCTTCAGAGGTGCAGGCGTCAGCAACGCTCGGATATTGGTTGATATAGGACCGTTAAGACCGCATAGTACGACTCGATCACCCTCCCGGAGAATACCGTTGGAAAGGACAACATCGATTGTCGTACCAAGACCTTCAATCACCTTCACTTCAAGAACAGTACACTCGACCTCCGACAAGTACATGAGAGAGTTAGTCATACGCTCTTGAGTCAAAGTGGTCAGCAGCTTCAGCATGTCGGGAATACCCTCTCCAGTGTGAGCGGAAGTCGGCACGAGAGAGACATTACGGGCCATGGACTTGTTCTCGTAGTACAGCTCAGAGTTGAAACCCTGTTCGGCGAACAGGAGCTTGGTCCGCTCAAGACGCGTACGGAACTCGTTCTGGACTCCCTTGCTCTGCATAGCCAAACTCTCCTGGAATCCGTTGTTGTCAATCTTCTTCCAGCCGTACAGACGATCGATCTTGTTCAGGGCAACAATGAAGGGAGTGCGGCGGTCACGGAGCAACCTCATGGACTCAAGGGTCTGCGGCTCGAGACCGTGCATGATATCGACGACCAAAATGGCGATGTTACAAAGCGAAGAACCTCTGGAACGCAGGTTGGAGAAGGACTCGTGACCGGGGGTATCGATGACCAATAGACCAGGAATCTTGAAGTCGAATGAACCATCCTTGTTCACAGGAGCAGTCTTCTGACGCAGAGCATCCACAGGGAAGTAAGTAGCACCAATCTGCTGAGTAATACCACCAGCTTCCCCTTCTTGGACGTTTGTCTGACGAATCTTGTCCAGCAACTTGGTCTTACCGGTATCGACGTGTCCCAGAATACAACAGATGGGGGAGCGGAGGTTATCCTTTGAGCGAGCTGCCATCGCCTCCTCGTGCTGCTTCTTTCTGCGCTCTGCGGCTTCCGCCTTCCTTTGAGCAATGGCCCTTTGTGCCGCAGACTGTTCTTCATCAGAAGACTCGTCTTCGGAAGATTCTTCCTCGGAGGACTCCTCCTCCTCCTCACCCTTCTTTTGTGCTGCAGCAGGCCTCTCAGGGAGCTCTGTCTTGTTGGCGCCATTTGTGGCTGGCTTTTCTGCATTGTCTTCCTCATCTGTAGGAGCGTCCCATGAGTCCTTCACGTCGTCTTCTGCGTCAGCAGCCTTCTCCCAGTCGTCCAATTCGCTCTCCTCTCCACCAGCAGCAGCGGAGGCAGCGGCGGCGGCGGCGGCGGCGGCTTCAGCCTCAGCCTTCGCCTTCTCTTCGGCCTCTTTCCTTCGGCGTTCTTCTTCAGCTTCACGCTGTGCCTTAGCCCGTGCGGCGGCAGCCTCCAAGTCTTCTTCCTGTTTAGCTGGGCCCTTCTTCTTCTGTCTCTTCTTGTTATCGTAAACAGGCTTCTTCTTCTCAGCACCCTGGTCTTCCAAGCCGGCAACCTTGCCTGCACCTGCAGCAAGCATCTGCTTCAGACGCAGTTCATTGCGCTCCTTTGCCTCCCTCTGGGCCTTAGTGAGCAGCTTTCCTTCTTTCCTGAGTTGCTCCTTCTTTTCCTTCTCCTTTTCCTTCTTGCGCTGACGAGCTTCCTCTCTCTTCTTCTCCTCCTCTTCTTCCGCGCGTCTCCTTTCCTCTTCTAAGGCCTGCTGCTCAGCTAGAAGTCGCTCCTCTTCCTCACGCTGCTTTCTGAGAGCCTCCTGTTGTTTTTGGAGAGCAGCAAGGTGGGCAGGAACCTTCTTTTTCTTGCCACCAGTAGGTTCTGGGGCAGCGGGGGCGGGAGCAGCAGCGGCAGGTGTGGGCTCTTGCTTCTTCTCAGGCTCGGCCTTAGCAGGCTGCTGAGGCTTTTCAGTCTTCTTCTTCGCGGCCTAGATAGTAGATTCAATAATTAGCGCGAGTGTAATGGGATTGAGACCGAGACCGGGACCGAAGAGCCGATAGATACCTGTTCCTTCTTCCGCTGCTTTTCTCTCTCCTTCTTTTCCCTTTCCTTCTCCTTCTTGGACTTCACACGGAATTCACCCTCACCCTCGGCCTCCTTGGGCGCTGCAGCGGCCTTTGCAGCGGCCTGGGCAGCCTTCTGATTCTTCTTGGAGAAGACGTCATCCTCATCATCGAAAGTGCCTTCTTCAGGTTGCTTGCTGGCGAAGTCTTGAGCTTCGTCCGCCGCAGGTGCCTCCTCACCCTCGACGAAATCGTTCTGTTGCTTCCCCTTCTTTCCCTTCTTGGCCTTGTTCTTCCTTAAAGCGGCAAGTAGACCGCCGCCGCCAGTCTCTTCTTCGGCGGGAGCGGCATCTTCCTGGGGGCTGGGCTCGCCACCGGCTGCAGGGGCAGATTCGCCGAGCTCAGCTTCCCAATCAGCCTCCTGTCTCTTATTTCCCTTCTTCTTAGGCGCCATCTTGGAGATATCGAGTTACTGATCGGACGGATAAGGGCTCAATCGAGGCGGATCGTCTTTCTTTACAGAAGACAGTAGAGATATCCCTGAGTACTCCTACGGGACGTATGTTAGTGACAAGGGGGAAGAGAGTGCCACCCGTGTCGGAGATGGGTGAATAAATGGAGGATGGGCAGGTGCACGAACAAGAATATCAGAATCACCGGCAGCTACTTGCGGCGGTCGAAGAAGAACAGAGTGGCAAATTAAGCCTGAAATCCTCCACAAGGAAATTAAAAAGAAAGACCGAGGTGAAAAGAGATAACGAGCACCTTTTCCCCCTGTGGTTGATAAGGTCCAAGGCTGGAGACTCGACAAGTGCCTTTGAGTGGGTAATAAGAATTTTGGGATGGTTTTGGTGGGGACAAATCCTTGAGCTTTGATATCCGAGACACTGCCAGTTGGCCGCCTCAGGCCGTCAAGGTACCTCTCCAACGAATTTAACCGCCTTTGTTTCCTTTCTTCCGTCACGCTGGATTTTTATACATTCCGGCTTATATACTCCGAGAGGAACGAATTCTTTTGATTTATTGACCTTCTTTTATGTTTAATTTCCAATGTACGGCATATGTGCATTCCAATTCATCTAACATCCCCATCTAGAATCCCACATGTAGTGTGCGCTTGAGCCACTTCATTACATCTTCAACCGGGTTCGAGGTTTCCCCTAGAAGATCCTTCGACAATTCCAGAAACCGTTCATAAATGGCCTGTGGCGAACCAGTTTCTGGAGTCGAGGGGCTGTAGAACTCTTCCGTTACTAGCATGTACATTAGATAGCTCGGCCCTCGGATTGATAAACGACTCAGTATATCCCCATTGATGTGCATCTGCGAAGGCTGAAATTCAAGGGATTCGTTTCCTGCAGGGTTCCGCTGCCTTTTCCTTTTCGGCGTAAAAGGGCATATGACTGTGTCACGGATGCATAAAATTTGCAGCAAATACAGTAAACGCCATTCCTTCTCCTTTAGTGTCAAGAAGCGGTAAACTGTGCCGTTCATGGCTGTCCCATATATCACTTCGGCGCTGGTAGGCATAGTGGACTGCCGGGTGCCTGGACTGAGCCTCGTTACAGACGTAGAAAGATGTGCTTCGCACAATGCTACGGGCATCATCTTATCGTTCTCAGTTACTCTTTTCTCAGTCAATAGACTGACCCGGCCGCCTCTGCTGGAGGCAAGTGTAAGTTGCATATTCCCTCCGATATGGACATGGTGGAGCCCGTCGTGTTTCTGCCGATCGTAAGCATGAAGCACCAGTTTCTCCTCAGATGCATTGAGGATCATAAGAGATTCTCTCGAAGTCGACATGTATAAGTAGGGCTCATGAGAGCTCATAGAAACCGCTGGAGACGGTACAGGGTACCTTGCTGCTCGAAGCCATCTCGTCTGCGAAAATTTGGGTTCTAATGGTACGATTTCATGCCCGGTTGAAACCATTAGAGTAAAGTCACCATATGGTGCGATCGAATAAACCGGTCCCTCAAATTTGTGAACATATTTCACGTTACATTCGATTTGCGTGGGATCTGACATCCTTGACGTTTGTAAAAAAATGACGCGGCCACGGTCCTGCTGGTTTTTACGGGCCGTACCGATAACAATGAAGTGATATTCCTCATCACCTTTCTTGGGTGTCCACTCCAGAATGCAACTGATTTTCTCTCCAGCTGCTCCATGCGGCCTCCAGGGCCTGAGTTCATCCTCTGGACCGCAGATGGCTTGCTGTGAATCAGGGTCGACGAACTCAATGTGAGACCGCGTGAAGCGCTTGATAGGATCCGCGTCGGTGTCAAATTCAGTTCGGCTGTACGCCACAACCAAGCTCTTCAGGTACTGAGAGTATGCTAGCTTAGTGGCGCTTCCTGGCAAACCTATCCTCCTGGGGACAGTCTTCTCATCTCGCTGCAAAGTGCAAACCATAAGTTGCCCATCTGCGATGCAGAAAAGCGTATTAGAGAGACCTTCCACGTCCGAATTGGCAAAATTGGCGACTGAAAAGCTGTGGATATTTCTTGGGTGGTAGGCAGGCTGAGACCATTAGCTGCTGCCCCTGGGAACGTGTGGGAATACCGAGACTTACGTTGTTCTGGTCGGTGATCCAAATCCGCTGAAGAGTACAGTCCGGCATCACACTCTCATGTGTACACGATATTTGCCAAAATCCTTGCCCACAAGTCAACAACGCAAGGTCTCCTCTGCTCTGCACTTTGAGTGAAGTATGCCCTAATCTTTGCGGGGTTGCCTGGGTCATCACTAATGGACACCGAAGGTCAGCAAGAATTTATCTTCTAGATAAAGGGTAGACATACCAATAGAAGACACGGCATTAACACTGTCTAACGTCACACCAAATGGAACCAGGATGCCACTTCGTAGGCCACAGAGTAAGATAAACTTCTTCAACGGCCCGTTCTCTACTTTGTTGACAATTGCAAGGCTATCAATTGCCTTGGATATGTCCTCATTATACGCTACGTCCATAGTTTTCTCGGACACGAACGTGATAGATTCATTCTCTATGACATAGAGAAATATCTTCCCATTGCCCGCGCCGACACATATGAGAGACCCAAAGTCGAAAGTAATGACGGAGATGCAGACGGGTTCGAAATGCATCCTTAACGGCTCACCTACATCGGCTAAAGAAAGTTGGTCGCCAGATGGGGTTAGCCTTTTAGCATGAAGGTGCAGTCCACGTTGGTCGCGAACTGCGGCGACAATAAGAGATGCAGAGCCTTCTACGGCAGAAACAGTGATACTCTGGTCATAACCATACTCATAACGAGAGCCCCGCATTGATTCAGAGGTTGCCCCGAGATGAATCGCCCTTTCCGTCACCTGAATGATAACACCGATGTCGGTGCTTCCTGCCGCCAATGTCTGGGAGCCACAATCCAGGCCAGAATCCGCCTCGTCAATAGCACATATCTCTTCTTCGAAATCAGCCGGTAGGTCCAGGAGGACCGAAGACATAGGGTCGGATGTTAGCACGATAACACCGCCATTTGTGCCAGTCGGCATTGTCCATATGTCTCTTGTTCCTGTCAGTCCCTCTAGAGAGACGACCAGGCCTATCTGTGCCTCAATCCCGTGGCGCAGTTCAACGATTGCACCCTGTGCGAAAGACGAAGTGGAGCAAACGAACAGTCGATCGCTAGCGACGTCTGCAGACAACGGAAATTGCTGATTAGGCGACTTCACAACTACAGAGTCCGTGACAGGAGACCAGTTCATGAACTTTTGGACACATCTAGGGTGGTCTCGAGCTTTTTGGACGAATAGACCGCCATCTCCTGTGTTGCCAGCGGCGAGGAGTAGATCACCTCCTTCATTACCGAAGTGTAGAATATCAAATGCAGCATCGACGTCACAGCAAAGTTGCCCTAGATGCGCTTGATTTTCGACTTCGCCCTCGTTGCCAATTCCTAAGTAAGAGATTTGACCATCCTCACGGCAAAGGTAGATGTCGTCGTGCTTTTGGTTGTATAGCCAATTGCGCAGTGGCCTGGCCCACCGAGTCCACAATGGGGACTTTCGAGACTCTCGATCAGGAAGACCAAGCGGATACCTGCTAGGCTGTCTCCGAGGATCTAGCCTGTTCTTATATACAGCCATTGTACTCGTTGTAACGAGCATGAAAGAGGACGTTTTGGTCAATGGGATGAGCATTGTAGGTAATCTCTCCTCAAATGGCAGTAGTCTCTTGGTGACTATTGGAGAAGCTTGGCGCAGGTGTTCGCTCGCATCCCACTCGTAACATATAGCATGAGTAATCTGATCCTGGGCGACTAAAAGAAGGAGGAGGATCTTGCCGTCTTCCTCCGGTCTTGGATATAGAAATTCCATGAATATGATGTCACCATCGACACGAAAGAAGCGTTCCTATGCCGCAGCTTAGTACATGCAGGTGAAAACTACAACTTTGCACATACCTCTGATATGGGGTCTAGGTGGTGATGTGCCATCTGTGACTGGAGAACTGGTGGCTGCTTCAAAGTAAAGACACCAAAATAATCAGAAGATGCACTAACTGCTACAGCACGAGATCTGGCAAGCCTGTTAGTCATGCCCAAGTAAGTCAAAAGAGATCATTACCTTGGCTCCACTGCAATATTTCGACCGAACCGCTCGAATGTACTGACATCACTCGGTAAGGGCCGATGGTGGTGGATGAATCGATCATTCGAGGTCGAATAATAAAGAAAAACTAGTTCTCTTGAGGCGAGACTTAACAGCAATAACTGGGGAGGCAACCCTATCTGCGGCTCTGAATTGACAGGTGCGGTGCTTGCCCCCAATTTCATCTGTGCCTCCCAGGGTAACTCTGTGCCCACGTTGATGACTTTCGCTGCCATGATATTGGAATCAAAGTCCGACTTTGAAGTGACATCTTCTAAATGGAAACCGGACACGGCTTCTTTGATCTGCAAACTTCGCTCACCGATAAAAACAACATCATTTTGATGCTCACTTCTCAGACGCGCAGGTAGTATCCACTGGATGATTGGACTTGCTATCAATGTGCGAGACAAAAGACCCATTTTCGGGTGAGAATCAGAAGAGAACAAGTCATCTTCTATCTCCATCTGGTCAGCACCGTGGCGCTTTAGGGAGGCATTGATATAACCGGGGTTAGTACTCTGGTAGTTTCTTGGGAAAGACATAGTGACCCAGTGAAGAATTTGCAGTTTCCTAAAGACGGGTGGGTTACCACGGCGAATAAAATATTTATTGGAAGCAATAGAATGAATGCAAGAAAGGTGGGTAAAGCTCTTCCAGGGAAGATCGGTTGGTTTTATTTAGTCAGCTTTTCGCCTGGACCTTCGCAGAATAACACGATGCCCACACAACGGCACAATATGTTCAGGAAGATTGAAGGACAGACTTGATGATGAATAGCAAAGTGTTAGGGTCCAAGAGGAAGTTCTTCATTTAACATGCTTGAAGCTGTATAAGGACAATATCCCATCTTGGTGTGTCCCGAGTGGAAGTACCCAGGATATAATTGACCACGAATTGCCCCTCGTCGCAGATGATCGAGGAAGCAAGCACCTGGTAACAGATGAATTTCTAACTGAGGGGCAATGTACCTGTTTGCATGTGCTTAGAATATCCTTCTCGGAAGACGAGTGGAGTTGAGGACTTACTACAGCATATGGATCGCCATTCAAGGAATTTCCGTACCAATAGCATGCATTCAATAGGCCAGGGCCATTTCCCCCTTGAGCATTCAAGCTTGAGCGGAACAAACAAAGGAACTATGTGGGAATTGCGAACACAACCGCCAAGAAACGCATGGGTCCGTCACTCAAGCTGCGGGCAAGTTCAACAGGAACTCTTGCACCACCTTTGGGCACCGAAATGCACAGTGTTTGGCCTTTTAGTGCAGAATCTGCGACATTAGGTCATGGCAGCAGTGTTTGAGAGGAATAGGGTATCTCTAGAGGCTGATAACAACTGCATATCTTAAGAGGGGCTGACGGGATTGATGCCTTGTTTGTCGTCTTGGGGGCGGTGGGCGGATCGGAATAAAACCCAATGAACAGCAAATCACGGGACAAAGCAGCTTCTAGCCTGAGGCCTGCAGCAAATGTGTCCGCTTTAGACTCATAGTTGTTCCTTAAAAAGTCCCATTTGGTATGCAATGTGCCCGCGCTAAAATGCCAATCCTCTCCTGATGCCCGATGCCAACTACCAACTATCAACTCAATTCCGCATCGGTCTGACTTGGCACGTAGCTCGTGGGGCCCTTGCCAGCTGGTAATCATAATAATAGCAATAATTTTTTTATCATCCATGGTCCGGCCTAGCAGACGGAAGATACTGATAAATCCTAATTTGCAATTCGACTACCTTCTTTATTTGCTACCCTTATGAGTTTCCATTAGCACGAACAAACATTGGAAAAACCCGTTCCTTTTTTCGAGCCCAGCCAAAGATGGACCATCATTCTGAATTCAAGGATAACCCGGAGAGCTCGAGCTCAGAGACATGTTTTGAAACAGCACAGGATTCCGTATCTGAAAGTGCATCTCAAGTGTTGGAGAGAATCCGAAATGAGGAAGCTGCAGCTCGCATAGCAGAGAAGGAAGGTAAAATTCGCCGGGCATGCGAGATGCGTGATTTGGATGCGTTGGTCTCTTATGCCACTTCAGAAGGTGGCTTTCTTCGCGATGACATTAGACGACAAGCTTGTAAGTCACCAACACGAAACGGTCGTCACACTTCCATAACTAAGAAATAGGGCCTATCCTTCTCCAAAGCGACCGAGACACTGAGCTCGGGGATTGGGAAGACCTATCGCCCCATGTAGATGAAGACCAAGTCCAACTTGACGTGAACCGGTCGTTTGTTTATTATCCCAATTGTAGGTATTCTTGCATCTCAAGCTTCTACATACACTAATCCTTTGGTAAAGGCAGTGACGAAGAGCTAGCTTCAAAGAAAGATGAGCTGTCATACCTAATTAAGCAAGTGCTACGGCATTATCCAATGCTCTGCTATTTTCAAGGCTATCATGATATCGCGCAAGTTTTGCTCCTAGTACTTGGGGGGCAGACAGCGGCCTCAGCAGTTACGCGGCTGTCCCTATTCCGGATAAGAGACTATATGTTGCCCTCTCTTTCCCCGACAGTGAAACACCTACAGCTCATCCCAGCAATCATGGAAAGAGCTGATCCTGTACTGCGACGCCATCTTGCGGATATCAAACCATTCTTTGCGCTTGCAGCGACTCTTACCTTGTATGCTCATGATATTCAAGAGTATAGCGACATCGCCCGATTATTTGACTTCCTGCTGGCTCAGGAGCCAGTCGTTTCTATTTATCTTTTTATTGCGATCGTACTTTCCCGCAAGAAGGAGCTTTTAGAAATCCCTGAAGATGAACCTGAGATGCTACACTTCACACTCTCTAAGCTACCATGTCCTCTAGATCTTGAAGGTCTGATATCGAGCGCTGTGCACCTCTTCAATGACTACCCTCCGGAATCACTCCCGCTTGGGGCTTGGAAGAAAATTCCTCAGACCAGTGTGCTGAAAAGTACTCGAGATATCTTCGAGAAACAATCAATTGGAGAAGCTATATATCTTTTTGATAGACAAGTGCGACAACTGCGCTACGAAGAGCGGAAAAAGAAGGCAGTTGGTTTCTTGTGGCAGCACAGAAGAACAATTGGAACCATAGCCGTCACAATTCTGGTCGGTGCTTTCTCAGTATGGCTGAGGAAGAAGGGCTTTGAAACGACTATATCGTCGTATATCAATCGATTCAAGCTGGCTTTCCAATCTCACGACTTCTTCTAGTCTTCCACTTCATACTGTGCGTGGAGAAGATTGGTTTAAAGTGGCGTTTGTGTGTACAATATTACATTAATATACTACTGCATATCAATTCTCTCAGTGGATAATCTTCTCAAAAAATTTTCTCGTTTTACATTATGAAGTAAAGTGAAAAACCAGTACGTAGAAAGAAAACCATCAATACTTTGTATATTTAGTTAGTACTACTAGAAACTTAAGCAAGGTATACGTTGCTACCCGCTGGTCCCACAAATTGGTGGCTAGTGCGTGGCTGATTACGACAATTCCGCCAGTCGCTGATGTGTACTCTTCCGCAACTCTCAATCTCCAAGACCAACAATAACTCCCTAGACATATCGAGCAGCCCAACATGGCGAACCGGGGCTATGATGTGATTGTAGATGCGGACACCGAGGTACGTTTTCATTATCTTGCTTGCTTGACTCGAGACAACCTAATACTGGTTCCAGGGCGACCTTGGCCATACCGACCTGCAGGAGGACCTTGAATTTCATCCCTCCAGTATGTTTGTTCACCTATGTGGAGGCCACTATGACTTGCGCCAACAGGAATAACTAACCCACGCTTTCTACAAGATTTCGAGAATGATCAGCGCAATGCCAAAGTGCAGCAGGACTCGGCACCTTTTCTCGGCGGAGGCTCCTCCCGTGGTCGTGACAGGTCACCTGGTGGCACCCCTTCAAAGCATACCTGGTGGTCGATCCATTATTACGCGCAATTTTTCGATGTTGATACGAACGAGGTTCTAAGACGATGCGTCGCGGCAGTGTACCCGCGCAGTAACTTCCTCGATGTCCTAGAAGGCAACGCGGACCTGTACGGCCCGTTTTGGATCGCCACGACCGTGGTCGTGATCCTCTTTTTGACCGGCACTATCTCGCAATGGCTCTCAAACAACGATGCAGAGCACTTCGCGTACGACTTTACGCTTCTCTCTGGGGCTGCGGGCTTGGTCTACGGATATACGTTTGTTCTACCAATTGCCTTGTGGGGTGCACTGCGCTGGTTCGGTAGCTCCACTGCGGACTTGATTGAGTGCTGGGCGCTGTATGGATACTCGAATCTGGTCTGGATTGCCGTTGCGCTGGTGAGCTGGAGCCCCTTGACTGCGCTTAATTGGGCGCTTGTTGGAGTTGGTTTTGGCTGGACCGTCTTCTTCCTGCTGCGTAACTTGTATCCTGTGCTGAGTGCTACGGACGCGAAAGCCAGCAAGATTCTATTGATTCTGGTCGTTGTGCTGCATGCAGGTTTCGCCATCGCGATCAAGATCCTGTTCTTTGCGTAAGAGTTCCCTCAATACTCCCCCTTAGTAGTCAGTTCCTTTGCTGATCAATCCCATTTGCAGGCATGGAAGCCCTGTTTCCAAGAAGAACAAGGACGACCACGACAAGGACCATGATGACGATAAGCATGACGATGACGACAAGCGACGCATGTTGGGCATGTAGAGGACTTGAGGCTCCTCTCAATTCCAATATACTTTGGATCTGCTAGATGACTTGATGGATCTGCTCGGGCAGCAGAGCCAAATTCCAAACTATGTATTGACACATCTTGTTTTCATTTCTACGTTCGGTGGTCTTTCATGTGTTTGTAAAACTGTACCTATCAGAACAAGGGATTATGAGCGAAATTGAATTTTTTTACAATTCTTTTGATTGCAACTTGATCCGAGAGGGAAGTCAACTATTAACATTTGACTTTGGCTGTAATGTTTCATCATTCTAACGCCGTCCAAAACCTCCCAGGCTGCAATCGACTCATAACCCCCAGCAAGTCTCCACCACAGCAACGTAGAAAAACCGTAACAAGATAGATAGATGGAATCGTTTATTTGAGCTTCTTCTTAGGGCGGAGCTGGTTGGTGTGACCGCACTTCTTCTTACGGCAATTGGTGGCACGAGGGGGAAGGCGGGCGTAGCACTTGCGGCAGATGTTCTTCTCGCAGTTGTACTTGGAGGCGAGGGCCTTGAGGGAAGGCTCGATGATACCACCACGGAGACGGAGGACGAGGTGGAGAGTGGACTCCTATAAAGTTGATGTCCATCAGCCGACCATTCCTTTCATTCAACAATGCATATCCGACTTCCGAGCCTTAAATTCGTTCCCAATATGACACCCGTGCGATCGGCTCTGCTACATCTCCATCGCAAACAAACCGCATCGCACGGTCTTCATATCCGATCACGAAAATGGCCATCCATTTCTAGCACCTCGAGAGTGGGTTCCTTCATACCTTCTGGATGTTGTAGTCGCTCAGGGTGCGGCCATCCTCAAGCTGCTTACCGGCGAAGATCAGACGCTGCTGGTCGGGGGGGATACCCTCCTTGTCCTGGATCTTGGCCTTGACGTTGTCGATGGTGTCGCTCGACTCAACGTCGAGGGTAATGGTCTTACCCGTGAGGGTCTTGACGAAACTATCATCGGAGTCTTGTCAGCATCATTGTCCTCGTCATCGTTCGTGTCATATCTTTCGCAGCCGGTTCTGGGTCGCATCGGCGGGCTTTAAAGGTTCAATATGGTGCGGAGAACGAGGGAAACCTACATCTGCACTGTAGACGCGCGAAAAAAAAGAACAAATTAGCTCATCATCCCGAGATCAATATAACGACACCACTTAAACGCCGGAATAACATACTGGTTGCGATTTTTCGTTGTTGCTGGCTGACGATCGCTGAAAGGTCCGGTCGGTCGGAAGAGGCGATGACACTCAATTTCACCATTTCTCGCTTAGCAAACAAGTGGCCCACGTGATGTCCGACAATTACACGTGATGTACCCTAAGCCCTAGCTTGCAGGTCCGTATCCGGCCTGGTTTCATGATTGATGCCCCTACATTCTGCCGCCGACTCCCGACCTTCCCGTCTCCACAGTTTCCACTCCACCACTTAGATATGGAGACTGGTTAGCAACTTAGCATACCCTAAACTCTTCTAGGTTATTTATAGGAACCTAGTGCTCACTACAACCTGCATGTACAGTTGCTAAAGAACACTGCAGACCTTATAACGGCTTTATATCTTGGGAAGCGCATATCCTCTAATATATGATTTTCAAAATCTTCCAATATATGACAGAAATTAACTTGCCAATGTGCTCTGCTTCGGGGAGGCTTTTGAGGATGTTCTCTGATTGTACCGTATCATGTTCCAGGATTTCGGAAAACATGACACAGATTGCGTGGGGAATATTTGCAGGCAACCCTTCTGAGTAGAGTCACCGAGTATTCCCCATGCAGATCTTTGCATCATTGCGGGAACTTACGTGCAGGAATCACACCGCATCAAGGCTATATAGATATCCTCATTGCCTGCCGATTGAGCGAGCATACACGGATACTAAACCATCTCCAACAATGACTTATTCCAAGCAAACAATAGCCCTAGTCTACCATTCCGCGCCGTCTTTCGCTCACTGGGATATTCTGAAGAAGACTGCAAAAGGTTAGAAGTGGGGTGAAGCTGCAGACGAAATCGCCGAAACCCTAACCAAACTCGGATATAATGTCACACATGTCCCAGGCATTCACGCCCTCATCAAGAGACTTGCTGCCGGAGACGGTGAGACCTGGAGCCTAGCTTTCAATATGACTGAGGGCTTGCACGGGACAGCCAGGGAAGGACAGGTACCTGCTTTATTGGAGGCCTATCGTGTTCCTTTTACATTTTCTGATGCGGCTACTATGACATTGTGCTTGGATAAGGGGAGGACAAAGATACTTTCTTATGAACATGGGCGATAAAGAAGTCGGCAGTGTTTTACTAATAGTGAATAATCTAAAACAAAAGAGATGGTCCTTCAGCATTACGGTGTCCCAACAGCCCCATTTGTCGTACTGCACCTCGATGATGAAGAGGAACTCACACCTGAGAAGATCCAAAAGACAATAGACAATTCCCAGCACGCCAAAAGCCTCTCAAAATATCCGCTGTTTGCAAAACCACTTGCCGAGGGCTCTTCGAAGGGTATACAAACTAGCAACAAGATTAGAAACGCAAGCGAGCTATATCCTGCTATTCAAGACGTGAGAGCGAGTACCGTTTCCTCAAGTGGGATTCTCATCGAGGCCTTCTTATCCGGCAGAGAGTTTACTGTTGGATTGTTAGGAACAGGCAAGAATGCGTGGGTTGTAGGTGTCACTGAGATGGTATGGAAGGGGCAAAAGAGACAAGATGGTGCATTGGATGAGAATATTGCATTCACCACAGAGAGGTCTAAGGCTAACGACGATTGGGATGGGATTGTTGATGAGGTCAGGGCGGACAGATCAGATCCTCAGGCGGAATTAGCCCCGATGTTCTAGTCTGCTTCAATATACTACAAGAGGGAGACTACTATAACTCTCCTTTATTTTCTTCCTTCAGACCTGTCATAGAAGTCTTGTTCAGTTTTTGAAAGTAATGTCCTCATGTTGAACCCGTTGTCAGTCGGACTCAGGAACTCTCTCATTTTATATCTTCAATCTGCGACCGATAAGATACTTCACTAATCCTACCCAAGGAAATAGACCAATCTGTCGCCATTTAAGACTGGGCTCGTAGCTTGCATATTGACAAAGGATGATAAAATATACGTAAAAAACAAACAAAGATGTATTGAAATATCGTTAAAGATCATGGATTGTAGTATGGCTCCTTGTGGGGGATGCCCTTGACCTATCCAATCAGGCACCGTCTAGCGTTGCAGGTCTCAGGCACCAAGGCCACTAGGGTTCCCAAAGGTGGGGGGATGATATTGACACCTCAACTTCCACTACAGGGGGATGGGTGCTTATTAGAACACTTTGATATGTATGGGATGATGTAGATCAGGATGCTATGGGACATGCCCTAAAGTCTCACGGAGCTACGAGGTTGGAAAAGAAACGAAACGGAACGTAGATCATTTGAACGAATCAAACCTAAGGAGAAACCCTAAAATCTGACGAGAGAAGTTTACTAAGTGCAGATGAAAGGCAAATAAAGAAGGACTACAAGAGGGACCCAACTATATAAACCCTGTCCTCCCCCATGGACTGCCCCTCTATCTTTTCCTTCCCCCTTTATCTTAGTCCACTGGGAAACTGACCACTAGTTTCCGAATCAACACTCACTTCACTCTTGTATCCATTCGCTACACTTTGCCGTGCTACTATCTTCTGCCTACTACGCTAGCCATGGCATCCGGCAACAAAGTTTACGTTGTCACCGGTGGGAACAGAGGTCTCGGCCTTGGCCTGGTCAAATCGCTCCTGGCGCGCCCTGCTACCACCGTCATTGCTTCTGTCCGCAATGCGGAGGCAGCCGCCAGTCTCCAGGCGGAGGCCCAAGCTGTCACCGCAGGCAAGCAAAGCAGCCTCCACATTCTCCAGCTCGACTTCTCATCGGCCAGTGCTCCCGAAACGGTCGCCGAGACTTTCAATACTGCCGCTGGCGTTGACCACATTGACGTTCTCATCTGCAACGCCGGGTACGCAGCCCCCATGGTGCCTGCTGTCTTGACTTCGGCTGAGGATCTGCGGGCATCCTTCGAAACCAACACAATTGCTCCCTTGCTCGTCTTCCAGGGACTGTGGCCCTTACTCCAAAAATCCGCTGGCGCGCCCAAGCTCATCAACATTACTTCTTCAGTCGGCTCCATCGGCGGCCAAGAACCCTTCCCGGGCGGCGCTTATGGGCCCAGCCGTGCGGCGGGAAATTGGCTCACGCGCGCACTTCATCTTCAGCACCCGAATCTGATTGCCGTGGCACTACACCCGGGATGGGTGCAGACACGGGCAGGAGACTTTGTCGCTCAGCAGTGGGGATACGTACCTGGCCCTCCTGAGACAATCGACAACAGCGTCAAGGGAATGCTGCAGTTGATCGACGGGGCTACTCGAGAGGCTACTTCGGGCAAGTTCATTACCTATGAGGGACAAGAGCTGGTGTGGTAGACCTTTGCCAGCCTCAACCTATGTTGATGCCTTGTTAGAGATTCTCACTTGGAAATTATACTGGAATATACTAATGCAGTCCATTTCAGTTATGAATTTCAACCTCATTGACTCAGGACTAAAACTTGCCCTATGACATGAGACATGTAGACATTTTTCTCTCCGCCTCCTCCCCTTTAGTATTCCTCTTGTGACTTCCATGCAAGGCTATACATCCCACTACCCCACTATCTATAGTTAGATCAAGTACTGCCCTAACCCAACCCACTTTATTCTCCAATGGTGACCATTATAAGAATAACAATCAGAGAACAGATAAGGATGAGGAAATAGCAATGATAGTCAAACATTTTAGTGCCATATTACGTGGGACGATGAGCGTATCTTGCAGATTGTTAACTGCCATAAAATGTACAATAAACGCTAGACTACAAAAGCCTGAACCTTAATCCAGCTGGCTATTGTATATAAGCGAGCTGTATCCCCCCCACCATCTGAGGAAGTGTTAGGATGATGCTGGATGTAGAGGTCTCTCATTTTCATACGTCTCCACTTCAAGAAAATGTGTAGAAGACCGCCCCTGGATATGCTCCTTTTTCTTGTTTCCTTATATCATCATATATGCACCAGTTCATAGTACATTGTCGTCCGCTGCAACCGCGGTTAACCGCCTCAGGCAACAATTACCCCGCCGCGTGCGCTGCCCTATATAGATCCTGATCGCGCAGAGGATTTAGATGTCTCAAATTATTTATTCTATTCTAATATATATATTCTCTGTGTTGTTCTAAATATAATAGATTTTTCTTATGCCACTTATCTTACAGCATATCCATCTACTATACTCCGCAGACATACCACCAGCCCGATTACATACGCCGAAGGAGCCCTGACATCCTGCAAGCCGCCGAGGATGACTACCTTAGAGATCCTCTAGTTTATCGCTAGCTAGGCTTCTTATAGTTTAAGTTATTCCGAGTCTTCTAGAGAGAGCACACTAGGCCATGTGGGAAGGTCATAGGGCTCGAGGTTTCTTGGCCATATAAATAGTTATCTTGTCGTAATTTTTAGATTTATTTCCACTCTTCCATAATATGAGATTCGAGGCAAATAACATATAATTATAATTATGATAATAATAGAAAAACGAAGAGAAAATTTTACTTGTTTGGGGAAAGAATTGCATTTACCAGAACAATAAAAATCACAAAAAAAGGAGGTAGCTTGCATATTTCTGTACCATCTCATGAACGGCCGCGAGAAAAGCCGGTAGCAATAGTTCGAAGTGCCACCGTTAGTTATTAATAGGCGGCATCTTGTAAAATCCTTTGCTCTCCCAGAAATCAAGGAACTTATCCAGCATCTGGGAATTAAATGGTACATATTGAATATCCGGTGCATCCTTCAGGGCTGCAACAGTGTTAGAACTATCATAGTGAGGCGTATTCCTACTTGTCTCAAAACGAGTGAGTCCGTTCAACACTGGCTCCTGGAGTAGTGGCATAACTGGGAGCAAGGGATTATCCATATCACTTGTTTTCTGTAGCATCCGAACCCAGTCCCAGTAGGGGATATGCTTCAATGAATATCCGAGGTTCCTGATCACATCCACCGTCTGTTCAAGGTTCACCGAGTCCTTCGGGTCGGGAGCAACCAGACTGTATGCTCTGCCGAGGTTTTCATTACGAGAGGCGATGTGTAGGGTAGCATCGAGCACATAGTTGATTGTCACGTACTCCATTCTCTGGAGTGGAAGAATGGGGAATGCACCCAGTTTGATACTGCCCACTATCAAGCGTGCAAAGAAGTCATCCGGATTTCCAGCTCCGTTTCGGAAGTCACCGATGGTGAATCCAGGCCGATAAATGGCAGTGGGAAGCCCACGGTCACGAGCTCGACGCACCATCATTTCAGAAACCCATTTACTTTGCGCGTAGCCGATGTCAAATGATAAGCCTCGTACGTGGGGCTCAAGAGGCTCATCTTCGAGGCATTTACGGGTCCCAAATACCAGGCCGGTTGGGCCCCATGCGTCAATGCTGGACATGAAGTGGAAGGCCTTTCGCCGTCCACTAGCAGCAATATCTAACATGTTTTTCGTTCCCAGTGTGTTAGAGTCAAAATGGGCTTGGTATGGATCGCAGAAGTTAACTTTGGCAGCCAGATGGAAGACCACGCTTGCCCAGTTGGCCAACCAGTCGAACTGCTCTGCTGGGAGCCCGAGCAAGTCGAGAGATATATCTCCGGTTAGGACCCTTAGTTTGTGCATGTGTTGTTTGGATTGATCCCAGAGATCATATTGCTCCAAAGCCGCCTCCACCCTGTCTCGAGGTGTAATGCCATTTTTAGACCGTGCGACACATACAATTTCTTTGACTGTCGGCATCTGTAGGAATCGGCTCAGAAAATTGACACCGACAAATCCAGTAACTCCTGATATGAAGACTTTCCCTTCCTTTTCTGCTTGCCAATCAGGTACGGCATGCAGACAGTCAGCGATCTTGGAGTGCGCAATCCACTTGTCTGCTTCGTCCGGTGCATTTCCTCCTTCAGCAAACTCATCAAGGTAATGAACTAGATCACCAAGCCTTGAGTTCTCATGAAGTGATCGCATGGAGATTGTCTTCCCTAAATGCTGCCTCAGTTTACTTATCAGAGTTGCACACTGAAGAGACGTTCCTCCAAGTACAAGGAAGTCATCCTCGTCGTCGATGTTGTTTTTGTTCAGTAAGGATGACCAAAGAGACTTCACGACGCTTGTAGTGTCGTTTCCACGGTCATCTGCTTGTTTTCCATTGTGAACCCCTTGTCTCTCTCGACTTTCTTGGTACTGCTGCTCTAATGCTTTCCGGTCAACCTTATCATGCGTCGTCATGGGATACTCCGAGCAAAAGATAAAATCGCTCGGAATCATATAAGATGGCAATCTCTGCTCCAGAAATTCAGAGAGTGTACGGGCACGAACTGTATTAGCAACAGCTGGTATCACAAATGCAACAAGGAACGGTTCTTTGTTTTCGTCTTTTGAAGTAATTTGCCGTACGACAGCACCAGACAACCAACCGCTTGCATGGAGAGTTTGTTCGATTTCTCCTAATTCCACGCGGAAACCACCCTGTTTTACTTGGTGATCTGCGCGGCCAACATATTCAAGGACCTCAGGCTTAGCTACACGATACCTTGCTAGATCGCCAGTTCGGTAATATTTGATTCCATGTAGGGTGACGAAGCTGTTCTCGTTCTCCTCCGGGCGGTTGATATACCCTGTAGTCATACCGGGCCCCCCCAGAAGGATTTCGCCTACCTCACCGGGCTTTGTAATGAGTTCTAGGTTCTCATCCACGAGGCACAATTTAGTGTCCCCAGCTGGCCCACCAATGCCCAAGAAATCATGTTGGAACTCTTCAGCTTTAATCTCGTGCATGGTGGAATAAGTTGTTGTCTCCGTTGGGCCGTACGTGTTCCAGAGATGCTTTGGAGGTGCAGAGGATTTCATGATGGCCTTTACGGCAGCGACACTGGGTACATCACCGGCACTCAAGACAAGTCTGACACCACGGAAAGCCGTAGGACAGGTGTAGCCAGTAATAGAAAGTAACGCTGCCGTCAAGAATATCACTGAGATGGTTTTCTCTGCGATGAACTCTCGGAACGCGAACGGATCAGTTACAACCATGCGAGGCACAGGGACCATCGTTGCGCCTGCGACCAATGGACCGAACACTTCAAAGAGAGAAATATCGAAGCCAGGGTTGTTTATAACTGCAACACGGTCAGAGGGTTCCAGCGGCGTACAGGCTGTTTTTGTCACTAGATGAGTGATAGCTCTTTCAGGTATCTGAACAGCCTTGGGTTTTCCACTTGATCCTGATGTGAATAGAATATGGCTGCGGTATTCGTGGTCTGGGTCATGGACTGAACCGTTCACTTGGCTGTCTTTCTGCGCATCAGAAGTATCAGAAGGACTCCGGCCTGTTATAGGAATCACCGTGTGTTCGATATCATCGGCAATATCTTCCTTGTCAGATAGAATATATTTGGCTCCGATATCAGTGAGCATATTACTCAGACGAAGCTTGGGCGTCGATGGCTCGATTGGTACGCAGGTCAGTCTTGCTCTGATGACCGCAAGCTGGGCAATGACAAGATTGGAGTTTATTTCCTCTATGATGCAAATCGGCTCCTCGGGGCCCAAGTGGTAATTCTTCAACACGGAGGCTAGCCTGTCGACTTCTCGGTTCAGGTCCTTATATGTCAATTTCTGGATATCATCTTCGATGGCGATGGCGTCCGGTCTCTGGCTAACGTGGGTGGAGAGGTAGCGATCCATTATGATGGATGCAACAAACGAATGGCTTGAGTAGAAGGATAAAGCGAGTAGATAGTTGACGCGAACAGATTTCAATATTGTGCTCGTAAGAATTGCAATGCTCGTTTTCGAGGTTTTGCTCTAAGCATCCTGTATTGAATCCCGAAACACCCCACAACCTTATATGCCCTCTCGACTGCACCATAGCGCTCCATACACACCTTAACGATGGCGGAATTCGTCATTTTCATGCTCAATGACCAGCTATGATAGAATGTGTCATTATCCAAGATGGGAGATTATTACATTAAGCTTTTCCCGACAGTCACACGGCAACAGCAAGTGCAGCTCGACATTCGAGGAATCGTATTCCGTTCAATAGCAAATCTGCTCCCATTCGTTGCCCAATAGCAAGAGGAGGATACTAATTATGGGGCCTTTTGACAGTAAAGCTTCAATCAAGATGGATACAAGCGACATCAGGATTTTGAGGGTCGAGCGGCTAGGAAAGTCAGCAACAGGCTTGGATATTCCAAAGTTAAATCTAAAAAATATCGACACCACATTGGATATATTCCATGTCAAATAGCTTCATATTTGTAATATCTTCTTGATTTCCGGAAAAGAAACGACCTGACGCTCATGGGTGAGTGGGTCCAATGATGTCGTAGTAGGGCATCCTCGCCGCTGCGCTGGTTGAGGGCTCAGGGCATCGGGAATCGGGCATCTGCAGGCAATCAATTATACTTTCCGAGAAGTAAGGACTCTGACCACTTGAGACGTGGCTTTCGGAGTCTTCACGTACAGAGTGATTCTAGACTCTGTACTGCGTAAGGTTGTAAATTAGCAACATAAAAAAAAAAAACTATAGGGCCAAGCGTCAGTGGATCGGCGTATCAGGTGCTGCAGATTAACGAAGAAGGCAACTAATGCATGACGTTACATGCTCTGAAGAAATCTTTAATTGGTAGGATGACAAGAAAATATTTGTGTTGGCAGTGAGACGGACGTGATTCTGTCATAAGCGCCAGTGGGTGGCTTCTCCGTATCAGGTTTATGTCAAACTTTACAGCTTCATGCCTGCACTACGTTTATGTTCAAAACCCATGGCCTCGTGTTGCGGCCAGAGACCAATGATTTATAGTGATTGATCCTAGTGGGGAATTGAGGCGCAGTGGGTCATGCACAATGATTTATGACTCGAGTTAGAATGTCGAATACAAACCGAGTAATTGCTTCCAGAGTCAATGAGACTACGTCTACAATTAGGAAATGATTAACCTCTCTCCAAGTCATGATGTTGGAACACCTTGGTAGACAAAACAGGAATCAATTTAACGTTCTATATGTGCATGGATATCTAAAATTACAACATGGGCTTCAAGTCATCCGCAACCTTGAAAGGAGCGGCAGTCTTGCTGCGGATCTCCTCAACAGAGACACCCTCAGCGTATTCGGCGAGCGTCAGACCCTCGGTGGGGCTGACTTCAAAGACGGCCAGATCAGTGATGATCTTCCACACGCAGCGGGGGCCAGTCAGGGGGAAAGAGCACTCAGACAAGATCTTGGGGTTGCCCTTCTTGTCAACGTGCTCCATAGTCACAACGACCTTGGTCTTCTCAGGGTTGGCGACCAAGTCCATGGCGCCACCGACACCCTTCACCTTACCAGGAAGCATAAAGTTCGCGAGATCTGTGGGTAGTTGTTAGAGGGTGAAGGAAATCTCAGGAATAGAGTCAAAAGACATACCTCCGTACTGGCTCACTTGGAGAGCACCGAGCATAGTAAGATCAATACGTCCAGAGCGAATCATACCAAAGCTCTCGTGAGAGCCGAACACAGAAGCACCATTGGCCAGGGTGACAGTCTCCTTACCGGGGTTGATGAGGTCAGGGTCCTCCTCACCCGGCTTAGGGTAACCACCCAGTCCCAGAATACCGTTCTCGGCCTGGAGGACGACCTCCACGCCTTCAGGGAGATACGAAGGAGCGATCAGGGGCATTCCAATACCCAGGTTAACATACATTCCGTCCCGGAATTCCTTGGCAGCACGCTTGACGATACGCTCACGACGGGCGGTAGCTTCACCGGAACCTAGGTGATTGTGAGAAATGAGATTTGTTAAAGAAAGAGGACCAAAAACTCACCGGCCTTGAGCATCTCACTAGGGTCCTTGGCGAATGTGAGCTTCTCAATCTGCTTTTCACCCTGGCTCTGAATGACCTTGTTGACGTAGATTGACTGCAGGTGAATATCCTCGGGGTCGATCTCTCCGACTTCGACAATGTGGTCCGCTTCAACAATGGTGTACTTGGCGTTCTTGGCCATGGCCTCGTTGAAGTTGTTCATCGCCTTACGGAACTGACAGTTACCCAGCTTATCGGCCTTGTGTACCTTAACCAGAGCGTAGTCACCGAAAATAGCCTCTTCCAGAATGTAGTTCTTGCCGTTAAACTCGCGGGTTTCCTTAGGCTTGGACGTTTCCGCCACAGTGCCATCCTTGTTGTAACGTACGGGGAGTTCACCAGTTTGCACTGTTTAAACGTCAGCTCGTCTGGCCTAGCAAAGAAGTTGGAGAAGACGAACCAATTGTTCCATAAGCCGCGGGAGTATAGAACGCAGGGACACCAGCTGCACCAGCAGCACACTTTTCAGCAATGGTACCCTGGGGAGTGAGTTCCAACGCGAGGTCACCATTCAGATACATTTTTTCAAAGACCTTGTTTTCACCGATGAACGAAGCAATCATTTTACCAATTTGTCCGGATTCCAGTAACTGTCCTGTTTGGTATTAGCCGTCATTCTGCAGGTGTCACAGCCACTATTCTTTAGCAACGTACCAAGACCAGCACCCGGCATGCCGGCATTGTTGGAGACCACCGTCAAATCAGTGACATCCGGACGATCACGCACAGCGTTGATCAAAGTATTGGGCACACCCGAGAAACCAAATCCTCCCACAAGGAGAGTAGAGGAACCCTTCAAGTCCTTAACGGCTTCCTGAGCTGATTCACATAGCTTATTGATTGCTCTTCTTGAGGTTGAGGCGGAGAAGTTCCGCCGCCCTACTGGGCGGAACATAGAGAGGAAAGGTCGCGACATCGTGTCGACCAACCTTTTGACAATTGACTCAAAACTGCTGGTGAGTATGAAACTGAGGAAAGGAAAGAAAAAGAAGAAGAAGAAGAGAAGGCAATAAAAAGAGATCCATGGCGGCAGCGCCACAGAGTAGCGACCACAGCTCCGACCCCAACATGAGGGTCGAACAACCAGCTACTCCGTACATTTTCGGTTAGATACAAAGCCGACAAAGTGATTATCCGCCCGGTCCTTGCAGACCGCTTTGCCGCCTTCCGAAGCCGGGCCCACCGCCGGCTGAGGTTTGGGGTACTGTCGCGTACGGGACTGTATTCAAACTACGGTATCGCGGAGGGAAGAACCCTCATCCCCGCGGGGGAATGGAGTCCATTTTGGGTCTTGCATCGGATGAGTTCAAGTTCTAGTTCAGCTGTCAGTGTGGGCTTTAATCTCTCACTATGAACTAAGCCCCGACTTCAACCTATAAGTATAACGGGATAACCCATTTGAGCACTTTTTAAAGTCTCCGATCTTGAGAACTAGATCAGATCGATTAGATAAAAGCGGTACGGATACAGAGTAATGGTCGGAAATGTCATGTATCGATTGTAAGTTACCATTCCGACAGCGGGAGTCACATCGGCAATGGGTTTTTTTACATCGTCCTAACAACGTAATTCAACTATCTATTTCTCTAACCGTTATATTAAATGATATTGTCAATACTCCTCACCAGCTACAGTTTTATTGAGTCTTGTTGGCTGAGATTGCCATGCTACTTAGCCATCGATTCCAATGCCAAGTAGTCAGCGAGTGTATATACGTCAAACCGACTGCATGACTATGTACAGTACAACCTTTGCTCTAAGAACAACGAGGTCGTGTCCTCATTTTCCATGGGATCGGCCCTATCGCATCAAGGTTTCCGACCATATACAACATGGACTGGAAGATATAAATGCAATGATCGATCAAATAGCTCCTTCTTAACCTTGTCCATCATTACTTGCATCTCCTCTTCACTCCAACCAAGGACTCGTGTGAAAAGTGCAGGCGTATAAGCCTCAATAGCTTGCAACTCTTCAACGAACCCAACCTTCCCCAGTTCTTTCATCCTCGCGTCCTTAGGCCAAGTACCAAGGGGTATCTGTATTCCATGCCGAGTTAGCATAGTACATTGCTATACCGTTCGTTTACTAACCTTAAGTAACGTTTCTGTGACGTCCACAAAACCAACTTCTTCCAATTTCTGTTTCCATTGACAGGCATTATCCAACGGCTTACCGAATTTTCTACCACTCTCGCGGATTTTTTTCATCCACTCTTGAGCAACGACAGCCTTCTCCGCAGTATCATCATCGGATAAGAAATGGGCGCTGACGGCTTGGAGCTCAAAGTAGCCTCCAGAACTCGTATGGTCAAATACTTGCCGAAAAAGCTTGTCGATGTTGCCTATGCACCCGGACAGTTCACGCGCATGGATATAGTCGAATGGTGTTCTATACAGCCAGTCTGATTCGAAGTCGTCTATCTCAAACTGACAGTTTGGCGGTACCCTATAGAAAGTATCAGCTCGAGTCACTCCTTGAATTACAGTAGCGAAGAGGGGGGAGAAAGGAAAAGACACTATACCACTTCGGCTGGATCGGGCTCAAATCGTTACCAATAACCTGAGCATTTCCGTATTCGCTATAAGGTGGTGTATATGTTAACGCCTGAGAAAGTGAGCAATAATTATGCACCCTTACTCAGCAAAATCTACGGCCCAAAGGCCGGTTCCAGTACCCAGATCGAGAACACGTTTGGGGCTCTCGCTAAGAGGCGCTAGATGGAGCTTTCCTTCCAGCAACAGAGAGTATATATGGTGCACCAGACCCATGCGGTCTTGCTCTGCTTCGTCATTCGGCTACTAGAGACTCAATAATCAATATAACAGGGTAGTTATGGGATGCGCTAGCTACCCCTATATAAATTCCTTCATGATAGGCGTGATAGCGACGTCCATTCTGTTAAGAGTTCATTAGCTTAAACACATCGACTAGAGTGTTTCTTGCCCGTACCTCATATCTGGTCATTTGGAAGACCTTGTTTCAGCTAGACGAACATTCAGGTGTTGCGGGAAAAGTATCTGGAGATCATACCTGTAATCGGTAATGCTAGCGCTTATAGAGGTCAATCCACTTGCAGAGGTAAAAGCTCTACAATGTATTGTTAGTTATGCTCTCTGCTGTTGTTCATTGATCCACCAGATTAGACAGAAAACTAACGAGTAATCATCTCCAGCATTCTTTTCTATGCCGGATGAGCTGTCCTGGGCCATGTCAGCTGATAACGTGAAGACCTTGCATTAGGAGGCCTACATCGATTAGTAAAGGATCTGCTCCGAGTATTGACGAATAATGAGCTTTTTGAGACGATTCTTCGAACATTTTATCAACAAAGCAAAAAAGGGCACAGAAGCAGACGTGATTTACATTTTTTTTTCTTCTTTCTTTTCGGCGGGGCGAGCGTTGTGATTTAAAGCAGCTGCCCTTACCGAGGCTTCGTCCAAGAGATATATCCCTGTCAGTGGACCGGGGTAGAGACCGAATGGTATGATAAACCGATCAATGGCCTGTGTCAGAGGTATCGTGCCCACTTTTCTTTCCTTTATGCTGCCACCTGTGCAGGTCTGATTTGCAAAAAGCCACTAAGCGTTGCGATTAGTGGAGCATTACCTAACATGCGAGAGCGTACAGGGAGCCATCTGATTCTGCGCCTGGGTGCTTAGCGTAGCGTAACATTCGGGAGATCTAGCTAATTAAACCTGACAATCTGATTGGACCAATAGGACTAGCGTCAACGGTCAACCCTGCAACGTAGAAACTTGGTGATTGACTTTCCCCAACGTAGATACTGGTCGTCGTTATGGTACTTTTGTCGTCGGATCAAATGGCTCCGATCAATCTTGGCGCACCAGAGCTCATGCTCCGGAGTATATCTGCCAAAACCACATGACTATATCGTTAAAATCCCGATCTAGACAAATGGTTCTTGCCCAGCGGTCTCAGCAAGGTCATAAGAAAGATCTAGAGTACAATATCGAGCCTTGTTTCTTTCGATAGCCCTTTCTCTGTGAGTTATCCAAGAGTTCTTGAGTTGGTTTGACAACCATATGAGCTCATACGACATGTTGGAGACCCTTGTGATGAAGATGTTCCAGTGAGCTTGCAGAATAATGGCACTGACCAACTTGAGAACATTCTCATAGATTTTTATCCCAAGTTTACTCGAGGGCATTTGGCGGGTGGTATTCCATGTAATAGATCAAGTATGATGACACAAATGTTGTCTAGACCACGGCAAAGCATCGTTTTTCACATAATGGTATCGAGTTCTCATCTCCACCATAGCTTATAAGGCTATAGTTAAGTTCTAACCTAGTTGTCCCGAGCCCCACATAAATGCAACTTGTGGCTTCTACGGAGTATGCTCGGATGCTATGAGAAGAAGCTCAAGCCAAGAGGAGGTCGCTGTATTTGGTGGATCTAATGACCCATCCTAACTGCTAGGCCTGAGACTTTCTAGATAAAGCACGTAGACAATAGCAGCTTCGATCAGTTATAGAGGCCATCTCTTTGTCTATTCTCTTTTAATCACGGGAGAATCCGTTGATTTCCTCGCCTATCTTGCCTGACTCGGGTACACACCTAAGTAATCCGCTTGTCCAATAGTTCTCAGTCATTTTAAGGCAATTCCCCAAGGGTGGTACACATCGAACTGATGCTTTTAGTAGTACGTATACTAGTCGGTAGTTATACTCCCCGTACGATAAAACTAGTAAATAGGGTTGCGGGAAACAGGGATCGGCAATTGAATGGCTCCGCAAATGCCGACATTTCCCCCGCTTTGCCGCCAAGAAGAAGACTGTAATTTATCAAGGCTGAATACAGTCAATATACCTGAATACTTAATCAATGGAAAACTTAAGCCAGTCACTACTGAGATCCCCAGAGGTGACTATTTACAGTACCTGTAATTGCTTCTGGTCGTGGCGTTGATAACCAGGCACTACATAAGTATACTAGTTACAGTACATCTATCTAGCTTCCCCGCGGGGTACTAAAATGGGGCACCACACCTGCAGGTGGCTGTATGCATTTATGTAGTACTTAATGTACGGAGTACAGACTACTACAGTATCCCAGCGGGTCACTGCAGCAACACCCATATTGCGTACAACAATTATAACGAACATACATCTTGATAAATAGTACATTGTAGAGAAAGATATGGGAGAACTGCAGTCGATTTGCCTGCACTGACCGTCCGCAATAGTACAAACTATTGATTACAGATATGATAACCTATTATTGGCTATTGATAGTAATGTATGTATGTATTAACTTACTAAAGTAGGTATTGTTACTAGCTGAGGTTAGAAACCCAAATGATTCCCCCCATCCCGCATGTCCCCGTTCATTTTTTTTTTTTTTCCCCTTTGCTTCTTTCTATACCTCAAATGTGTCTACTCCTGTTTTCCTATCTTAACTACTTTTGACTGAGTGCAATGCTCTCGCAGTCTGAAACCTTAATCGACTACCTGTCCTTGCAGCTCCGCGAGCTTCATCATGGTCATAAAGAAGTGCAACATCTGTGACCGTCGCTTCAAAAAGACAGAGCATTTCAAGCGCCATGAACGATCCCGTCAGTCAACCTCGCCCAGATATTTCTCCAGAATAGCTTCTAATATATCACAGATACCAAAGAAAAGCCCTACGAATGCAATGTCTGCCACAAACGGTTCTCTCGAAGGTATGCAGCTTCTAACGCGATAAGCATTCTTTAAACATTGGATAGCCTGCACACGCACAGGTTGCATTCGACGGGTAAGCGACTGTGACTTACAAACTCCAGCGATGTTCTAAGCCGTCATGCTAAGGGCCATAATGGTCCAGCTGCGCACACAACCACCAAGGCACTCAAACAACCGCACTCCACATCATCTGCCCAGGACTTCCATTTTCAACCGTCCAATATCCCTGAGAATGGCCAACAATTCTTTCCTAATGTGGACACCGGCGTTTATTCTAATTCAGTTCAAGCGCAGGCGGTAGAGCCTCGCGATATGCCCATTACTGCGGCAGCAGGTCTCGCATCATCACTAGACTTTTTAGCGGACGTCTCGTCTCAGCATGCACGCACCGAGCCTGATGCCAACTCAATGCTCGTGGTTGACCAACAAACGTATTTCGGGGAACCAACGGTATATCAACCATCCTACAGAGGGCCTGTATTTGATCCCGTGCCAAACGAATCGCTCCAGCTGTGGTTGAATCCTTCTGACGCAACTTCATATCCTGGTTCCTTGGATTTTGGACATGATTCTAATATCGGTCTGATTGAGGAGAATGTGGGAGCTTCCATGTCACAACGCCCCCAACGACATGACCGCCCCTCCACTGATACAGGGGATACAAAAGCCGGTGCAACTATTCCAAATGACAGATTTGCCAAAGTTCAGAACTGTTGGCTAGGTCCGTCGAATAGCATTGGGCGCCTCATCAATAGTATCTGGCGGGACGTGGCGTACGGCAGCATGGATAATATTTTTGCGGCGCACCTTGGACAATCGCCAAGTAGTTCACCTGTCTTGCTACAGAAGTCAAGGTACGGCCTTGATGAGGATTGCAGAAGACACCTTCATGCCACGTATGGATACATGCGACTTTACAGCCAACAATACCGTACTTCCCACGCTCCTCCAGCTTACGACTCGGCATTGATCGCTCTCGCCCAATTTCCTCCCGCTGAAATCTTAGACATCGCACTTGACCTATACTTTCGCAACTTTCATCCGCTTGTACCCTTTATCCATCTCCCAACCTTTTCCGCTAAAAACACTATTCCTTCGGTACTCTATGTCATGTGTCTAATTGGAATGACTTTCCTAGGAACGCAGGGTACAGCTTCCTTCGTCTCTAAGAATTTCACTGTAAGACGCACTCTAGAGAAACCCCCACAGGCCATTGATTTACTGATTTACTTCTCTACCAGTTCGTCCTGGAGAAACTCACAGCTGAGCTGGCCATGTGTTCCGTTGACACTGGAAGCCCCGGAAACACTATGTCGGCATTTGCTGCTGCTGCGCTTTTTCTTAATCTAGCTGCTCTGACCGGGGTACGTAGTGTCAAGCGAGGTGCTACTGTGTTACTAATTAGCATGTAGGAGAAGGGTCATATCGAGAAAAGCCAGATGCTCTATGTTAACCTCATATCGGTAAATCGAGAATACTATCCATACCCTTTTTTTTTTCGCTAACTAAATAGTAAAGGTCGCACAAAGGCACGGTTTGTTTTCGGCTACCGAAGGTCAATTGCTCGACAAAAGTATGTTCGAAAATATTACAGACGATGTTCTAAGATGGAAAGCCTGGAGCAAAGTAGAATCTGTTAAGCGGTTCGTTGTCTGACATAATTGGAAGCGCAGGGCCACACTGACCAACCAGGTTGATTATTGCATTGCTCGTTCTAGATGCCTGGCTATCATCCTTCCTATCAACGAGCCCCATCATCGTCTCCGATACTATCCAGCTCATCCTGCCATGTAGTGAAGTGCTTTTCGAAGCCAAGAATTCAACGCAGTGGGTACAATTAATTCATGAGGGCCAGTGCATGTTAATGCCCACTGTGCTGTCTCCATCAGAAAATGTGGAGATCGCACCACTGGACAGCCATATCGACAATTTTGGCTTGCATGCAGTATTATCGATGGTACAGCTTAGGCTTTCAGATGCGTATCACCGTCTCCTCTCCAATCGCGCAAATTACCCATTCGCTCCATGTCACACCTATGCTATGGATGGCCGAGCCAGATGTCTCTCAAGCCTTCAACTCCAGATAGCTAGCAAGAATGGGTACATCCTACGCTGCACGGATCCGAACGCGAGTATCTTGTGGCACAACATGTGTATGAACCTCACAGCAGATATCCAAATCTTTGAACTGGCTGCGGGGCGTGCAGGTCCAGGTCCAGCGCGGAATGCCCTGGACAATATTGCTGCTTGGTCGCAAACACCAGCCGCCCGGAGGGCTTGTCTACACGCAGCCCATGTGTACAAGATTATGATCAATCGCAAAGCATCAGATCACATTACGTTTCATTCAGTTTTCTCGCTTTTTTCCGCAGCTCTCGTCTTGGGTTTGTACATATACATGGTGCCCAGTAGCACTGAGCCACAGGCTGGAGGCACGCCAATCGACATCCTGGATGATATAGACTGGAATAGTCTGTGTGGCGAGGGATTCACCAGCTTTATGGAGCCGAATGGGGCTCACTTGTGTACAGAATCGGACGAGGCAGCGGTGAGTTTCATTCGAAAAGGGGGTACCGTGTATTTCCGTGGGGTCCCTTTTCAGAGTGGCTATCACTCGGCGCGACGCATTTTGCTGGACTATGCGGGCCTGTTGAAGGATACTGGGAAGTGGAGCGTTCGCAAATTTTCCCACGTGCTCTACATTATGAGCGACGTCCTGATGGACATGGATTGAGCTTACTAAGCCCGGTCATAGTTGAATATTATCGCAGAATGATCCTTCCGATACTCCAAGTGGCCTGTGGAAGGGGTCTGGGAGCCGCTTCGAGCGCTGAACCACGAGGGTGTGGAACGACGGCGTGGAAACCTGAGGTGGAACTAGACTTCCACGTAGGATCACGCTCTATATATTTCGACGAGTCGTCTCTCCCAGATCAGGGCTCTATCAGTCCTGCATCGAATAGAACTTCGAACGGGAATATCTACATGCGACAACATACGGGTGGAATACACATGAAAACCACTTAGTGCTACGCCAATGACCACAAGCCAATAAATATCTTCACATCACAGGATCAAATATACGCTGAAGAGCAAGGAAAATATAAACCGTTATCTCGTATCACTTCGCACCACAACCACCCTAGGCCACCCAACTCCGATTCGCAACCCTCTGCCAAAGTTTGTCCATCTCTTCATTTGAAGCCATCACAGAAAGCATATAATGTTCATCGTCGCTCAAATATGAATCTCCTTGTGGCTCACCCGCAAGCACAACTCTTGATAGACCATGGTACCCTTCTGCATACCACTCCGGCTCCGACCCATCGTCACTCCGCGCTTCGACATGGTCACCTTCGCCATCTACCCCCGTGAACGGGTGTGTTTCACGGTATTTCGGCAGACTCAGACCATTGCATCGCGCGTTCGGCATATGCAGCACATTATCTAGCACAAGTGTGTTGATCTCACCATCTCCCGAACGTCGTCGAACACGCAATTCGACGCTCCCTACACCGAGGACCCGTGAGCCGCCGATCTTGCCCGGCGCTCGTCGGTAGTTTCGGAATGTTGAACGGTTCTTGGCGTAATGGCAGTTACCATTTGTAACAATCCAATCCCAACATCTGTTGTATGTATTGGGCTGTTTAGATTTTGGTTGGGTTTTGGACTTCTTGGATGACGAGGGTTGAGAGTACGGTTGATGACGGTAGGAGTGTTTTGATACGTGATGATCCGATGCTTGGGTTGAATGCGGCATTGTTCTGTGATTCGGAATATATAAAATGCTCAGGCTCTAAAGGAGGGACTTGAAAAATGGGGGATCAAGTTCAATAAAAAAAAAAAAAAGAGAGAGAGAGATGTTTTATTGAGTAAAATGAATGTAGATGGATAGGTACATAGGACAAGTGGTGGCGTGGCGACTACATCTTTGAGTATATATATACCCATATACCCATTCGAACCCAGCTCGAACCTGGTCCAGAACCAACAACTCCAATTCCAAACGACAATCTCAGGACTATCCCAGGACAATGGTTGGGCGACGTTGGAAAATCACTCACAGAAATGGTAAAAGTGTTGACGTAACCGGAGGCTGGATGGCGAATTTGCTTTCCGCTTGGCTACCAATTAAGCATTTCGACAAGCTTATTAAGGTGGAGTGATGAGTAACTGTCTTTCGTCAAGTTGTTCTGCGAAGGATTAGATTATGCTCATGTTCTTTGTGTAGACTCTTGGGAGGAACTTGGAATTTGGGAATTTGTTGTTAGGGCTGTAGAAATTTAAGATTTTTTTTGAAGAATATGATTTTCAAAATCAATGTAAGTCTGTCTATGTTCTGCATATGCATATGCATGCAGTATGTACAGCGGGTATATAATTATACATGGTGAATTATTTTAAAATCCTTCCCCATATGCCCATGCATGTGGGACGATCATTTCCTTCCATACAGAAGGCCCTCCACCATTTCCCCGATTGCCAACGAACTCGTCAACCCTGGACTCTCAATTCCTAGTAGGTTAATGAACCCAGGGAAGCCTTCCTCTTCCTGGATGATGAAATCCTGGAACCCTTTACCTGTGTTCACGGCCCCACCGCGTCCCAGCTTGGGTCGGATCCCACAGTAGTCTAGACTGATTGCCTCGGGGTCCACGTTGGGTAAATAGGCCTTGATCTCCGGAAGCGCCTGCTGCAGCCGGGCGGGACTGGGCATGAGGTCATTCGGATCGTCCACCCATTCCACGTCGGGGCCGAATCGTAGGCGGCCGCCGAGGTCTAGAGTCAGATGGGTGCCCAGGCCGCCGAGGCCGGGCAGCGTGACTGGATAGACCAGCACGGAGGTTTTCGGGAACGACGCCGCGTACGAGAAGTACGTTCCCTTGGCGTAGTATGGGGTACGGTGTCGTTCGGGTGGGAGGATCATGTTATTGATATGGCAAGCGTAGTTCCCGGCGCTGTTGACCAGCGTCTCAGCGGTAATAGACGTCTCTGTACCGTCGCTCGTCACAGCCGTGATCCGGTATCCGTTCTTTCCTCCATTCAACGCCTCGATGCCCGTTACATTTGTGAGAAACGCACAGTCGCCGCCGCGGTCCTCGAAGTCGCCCTGCAGATAGGTCATCAGCGAGTGGCTGTCTACAATCCCCGTAGTCGGACTCTCGACAATGCCCGCGAGAGCCTGGACCTCCGGTTCGAGAGCCTGAGCCTCTGCGCGACCGATGAGCCGTGTCGGTACGCCTATTCTCTGTGCGTGCTCGTGGGTCTTTAATGCTGCAGCCCATTGCTCTTCCGTTTGCGCTACGATCCATTTCTTGGTGTTGCGGTGAGGGAGGCCGTTCTGCGCGCATAGATCGTATATCATCTCTTTTCCTTTGATGCAAAGCTTCGTCTTCAAGGTATCGACTCCGTAGTATAACCCGGCGTGGATGACCTGTATGCAACAGAAGGGACCAATCGCAGTTAATGCGTTGATTCAATGCGACGATGCCCGATCGCATGGGGGGGGCGTACTAGTACTACTCACCTCCGAATTGCGACTACTAGTCTCCGTGCCTGGCGCATCGTGTCTCTCCAGAAGAATCGTTGATGTGCCTTCTCTCGATGCCAATTCCCGGGCTACTGCGAGACCGACCACTCCTGCGCCAATGACCTTTTGTGTGAATGAGCCGTTGTCTTTTTTGTAAAATGCGCTGATGAGAGTCAAGGAAAGATGTTTACCGCATGTGTGACATCTGCATTGGCTGTTCGCGTGCTGGAGAAGTTGCGCCGCGGGTGGAGGAGTTTCCTCGAAATAGAGAGACTTGTGCGTGTAGCCATGTTCTTTGGGAATATGGAGTTGAATTTAATCTAGGGGGACCATTGACCATGTCTTTGTTCAGGTAGTAGGGGGAATGCGTTGTCGATGGCGCAATTTCCCCACGTGGGCGCAACGCCGACCGGCGATAAGAGTCCGGCGATAAGAAAAGTTGTTGCTTGGGCCTATCTAGATTGGGTAAAGGTTCAGGCGACCTCTCAATCCTCTGCATAACTACATGCCTGAGAGAGGACATCGAAGACTAGTCATTCTTTGTCACGTTGATTATTTACTAGAGAGCTTGTGCAGATATATCTATAGTATTTCGATGAAGACGTTGAAGTTGTTTGTACGTTTTATGTCAATAGTATCCTGTGCTCTTATATATCCTCTGAGCACACTTATACTATGTTGAAGGGTTTAACCACGCTTTCCAACATTCTTTAACATGTCGTCCAAATGCTAGATACCATTAGTCTAACTGCTTGGGTAGAGGGCAACGAATATACCACTTACCCGTTTCTGTTCGGTTGCTAACTTGCCATGGGTATCCTACCTGAACGTCAGTGAAAGCGCTTCCCAGAGAGGGCAACTAACATACGCTGATGATAGTCAAAATCAAAGAATAATTATTAAATAGGAATCTTTCCCGTCTTTTTGCATCGCCGCCGATCCGGCTCAGTTTCGCCAAAAGGTTATCAAACTCGGTTGCTAACCGCAACAAGCTATTAGACACCGGCTCGTCGTCTCCGGCTTCACTACTCAGCACCAAAATGCCGTGTAACAACTGACCAAACCTCTGCGTAAGGAAGTGGGGCGCTGAGGATTGGTTCAGGTCATCCCCACCAGCCAGAGATAGGGCGGATACAGCACTTCGGCCCGTGTGTGAAGCTACTCGCTTTAAAGACTCGCAGTGGAGGTCCATGATCACCTGGAACCTAGGCCAGAGCCGCATGTTTATACCATTGATGTACGTGTCAGCAACGGGAACTTTCCGACGTTGGAGTTCAAAGGCGGCCTGTTGATTCAATCGTACGCAAATCAGAACTCCTAGAGAGTCGGTCGTGTGCTCGACTAACTGCTTGGTCAAACCTTGGCCGAGAGCAAACACCGGGTCGAATATTTCGGTGGCTTTGCGGGATATCTGCTGGAAGGACAAGGTGGAGAACATCTCCGTCATGAAAGAGTATTCAGCAGAGACATTGTCCATCAAAGCCAGGTTGAAGTTCCTGAAGGGGACCTCGATCCCGTGGAAAGAAGTGTCCTCCTCTGCTACATATGAAGATATGGCCATATGATTACCAGTTCGCAAGATTTCAATTCTCCTTCCGAGCGAGAATGGGTCATGTGCCGCGGCACCAGCCCGCGCACCAGGAACGAAATTTCCTATAGCGAGGTTAGCTTCTGTAGCGCAGCGAGAAGAAACAGAGAACTCACCTGATTTTGGAGCCGAGGGATCTCCGCCTAGCACTTCATTCCGATCGCTAGGGTACACTTTGATCTTTTCAAGCGCTTGAAGATAGCGGGTGAAATGAGATAGATAATACCACCGCATTGTGTTGATGTAAGCCTGTGTGATCTCCCCTGCAAGGGTTGGATGTGCTTTGCACAGGTAGCTATACAAATCCTTGAATTTCACCAAGCGCTGCTGCTGGATTATCTGGGCGTTGATATTTGGGGACCGCAAGGCTCTGATTTGTGAGACCAAATAGTCCCGGATCCTTTCAACTGCTTTTTTCTTGATATCGCTCAGAAGTGGGCGAACATCCTCGACCGACTTGGTACTACTAGGGCTAGAAACTTTGGCTTCTATAGTGGCTGCCCGGCTCTCGATCTCATTCAGCGCTTTGACCCAATTCTCATCGATCGGCCCCTCTACAATTAGTCGGACAGCTTTTGGCGAAATGGAGATCTCCTCCACAGCGGGCCCCAGAAGTTGTTCTACATTGCGTCGATTCGCCAACATTGCATTCAGCTGTATGGATCGAGTCTGCAGAGTCTCTATCTCCGCCGAAACTGCACCGAGTTCAGTCTGAAAGTCATTTAGGTACTTCTCTACCGACTTAGAAACATCGTCACAGCCTGTGATAGCAGAATGGAGATCCTGGAATTTATCTCTTTCCTTCTCGAACTGCTGGATTGTTTGCGCGCCAACGTCGTTATTTGTAGCCCTCCTCGGCTCATCGGGTTTCGTGACAAACTCCTCGAGGCTGAGATCTCCAAAGTCGATTTCCGCCACCAACTGCGACGGTTTTATTTCAAGTGTAGAAGATAAAACAGGCGATTCTGCTTCCGCCAGCTTTTCCTTCCGCTTTCCAATAATATCATTTAGCGCATCAAGTGGATCCGCCACGTTAGATGGCCGAGTCTTCGCAGGAAATTGTTTCACGGTCGTGCCGTCGGCACGTTGAGTGGCGGAAAGAGAGGTAGTAGAGTCGCTAGGAGTGAGTAAGTTGGACAATGACGATCCAGGCCGACTAGGCTGAGGACGACTGTTCTGCGCATAGGGAGACAGGCGAGAAGTGGACCGTCGAGGAAGGGGGGAATTGCTGCGACTATCAATCTGAGGTCCTGAGGGGGTCGAATGACCGGACATGCGGTCAAGCCACATGGTGAAAGGCCAGCCCGGAGAGGCGTTCAGGTATAGAGCAGTGGTCCACCAGCCTCATTAACGCCGTCTCGATAGTAATCAAACCGCTCGTGGCAAGGAGAGAACAACACAGTTAGAGATCAAGGATGAGCTTCCACGGGAAGGTACGCACGTGGGTGAAGAAAGGAGGGGAAGAAACAGTCGAGGTTGGTATAAACTCCCTTGTTCAGGAGAGTTCCGTTGAACATCCATTAGGTACCTCTCGGAAGCTCACCAATAGAGGGACACACTGACACACTGACACATTTGACGGGAGGTCGAGACGCTACGGCGATCGAAGCAGACCAGAGACACAGCATATCCGAAACTAAACCGGTTGCGGTCTAGCGACATCAACACCCCGCCACAACAGAATACTTTTTTTTAATTCGGCGGGTTTCGTCCATTTCTCTCTTCGTCTCTTTTAACCTTCTAATTTTTCTTCCCTTTTCCCCTCTCTCCTCCGACTCAATTTCCTTCCTCCTCTCTGTCTTCTCCCGCCTGCCTCTCTAGTTTCCCCTTGTCATTCACTCCATCCAAAACCCTCACCATGGCTGACCACGTATGTAATCGCTCGTCTACACTTCTCTCCACCTGATTTTGATGTACCTGCGCTGTTGGGCATTTTCAGCCCCGCATCATGATCCTCCCACCTCTCCTCGTTCTTGCACGCAAATGCGTCTGCGCCTCTTCGGCCCGTTTCACTGAAATTTTAATTAACCACATTTTCCATGCATAGGATTTCGAACACAACTCTGCCGATGCCGGTGCCTCTGCCACCTACCCCATGCAGTGCTCTGCATTGAGGAAGAACGGTCACGTTGTCATCAAGGGCCGCCCTTGCAAGATTGTCGATATGTCCACCTCTAAGACTGGAAAGCACGGTCACGCCAAGGTTCACCTGGTCGCTCTCGACATCTTCACCGGCAAGAAGCTTGAAGATCTGTCCCCCTCCACCCACAACATGGACGTTCCCAACGTCAGCCGTAAGGAATACCAGCTTGTAAGTAGATCGAACGTCGATGCCTGTTTGGGAGGGATCGTTTTTACTGACCTCGCATAGCTTGATATCACCGACGATGGTTTCCTGTCCCTGATGGACGAGTCCGGTGCGACTAAGGATGACGTCAAGGTTCCCGAAGGCGACGTCGGTGATAGAATCCAGAAAATGTTCAACGATGAGGGCAAGGACGTCAGTAAGTATTCTACACTCTGCTCACCGTCAGACCGTTGCTAACGAAGCTTGAGACGTTATTGTCCTCACTGCCATGGGCGAGGAGTGCGCCATGGACTGCAAGGAAGCCCCCAAATAATGAATTTCCTATAGTCATGGACTCCTTTTGTGCTCCATTGGACCTTGTGTGTTCTAGGGTTATCCCTGAAGTTTGCCCCTTCGATTGTGAAGTATGTTACGTTTTGGGCGAGATCCGACCCGGCTCTTATGTTGGCCACTTGGCCTTGGAGAAGGTTGCGTTTAGTTGGCAGCGCAAAGCGTGCTTTACCATGACGGGAACCAGTCTGAGTCCAGCTTTCACGATATTTTGACGAATTCCAAAAATTTCAGTGGCTCTACCTAATACGCAAGATATTTTCTTTGTTTTTCACTGGTAACCATCACCATTTCGTAGGGTAAGCTTTGATAAAGGTCGAAACGGACGAAACAACGAAATTCGAAGAGAAGTACGGTTCAAGACCAGAGACTAGCATGTATTCCTTAAATAAATAAGTGTATTCTTGAGGGCCGTGAACCGACCGTACGTTGGGTACATTTTCAGTAAAAGACGAAATATGTGTGTGTGTGTGTGCACAAGGAGTTTCCATGCCTCAGAAGATAAATTTATTTATGAGGGAAGGGAAGGAAAAGAAAATTTCAAAAACAACTTAAATCTACCCGCATTATAAATCCAGCACTCGACCACAAACATACCCCACGCCATAGGGAAAAGGCCCATGGCCTCTATACTCAATATCTTAATGAATTAAGAATGAAGAACACCTGAGCCCCGCATGGAGTATACTACCCGAGGAGTCTGTGGGCAGGAAGGATGCCGTGAAACCCGGTATTATCTCGATAATGGGCTCTGGTTCTGTCGCCGGGGTCATCAGCAAGAAGTATGCTCGTACAGTAGAAGGCAATAAAGGGAAGGAAATGAGGCATGCTAACGAAGTAAAACAAGGGCCGGCAAGTTGAAGAAGAGCCTGACGACTTTGGGACGCAAGGCAAGACGAATCGGGTGAAGAAGGACGTGACCGAAAAGGGTGCAAAGAGTAAGAGCGTTGCTATTCCGACCGTACTCCCACCGGATGCTGATCTATTTCTTTCTGTCAGCGTATCGTGGTCGACAGGCTTACAGCCTCTTTCTGCAGGTGTATCAGTTGATCCTCTGGAAACAGTGCCACGCCTTGGTGCAAAGCCGAGGTTTTCCGGCGCAACTCGAGGTGCGCCCTCATTGGTTCAATCTTATCCTATGTTTTGTCGGCTGACGATGAAGGTACAGCATGTTGTCCGTGACTTGTGGGCTCTTCGTCTAGAAACCTATTTGAACAAGATACAGGATCCCTCCGAAGGTGATGAGATAGAGTTCTTCAGCTCACAGCCCACCGCGGAACAGGAGGAGCCAGATATCGTTAAGGTTGGAGGGAAGCATCTGCAATGGCCTCGACTCGTGGACTCTGTCGGCCTCTGCTACTTGGGAGCTTTATTAATGCGCCTTCCGGTCGGTATTGGGGACTTTCACCGGTAAATCCCCTAGGATGTGTATCGGATGGTGATGATGATCTGACTTCCCGCGCTCCAGGATGATCATGTACGGTGATATTCCTTATATTCGCATAACACGCTCAATTCCTCGTGAAATGAGAGATAAATTACCTCAGGAGTATCTCTCGATGATCGAGACCACGGTCTGCGCTCCTGTCCTCTTTCTAAAGGATCATTTGCTGATCGTCTCTTAGAGGTTGCTGAAAGCGGAGCATCTCCATAAGGCCGTATTGCAACTGTCACTTCTCTATCGCCACAAGTTTGGCGTACACTTTCCAGCTCTAAATCTGCCGCCGATGCTATATCATTATATTAGGAGACTAGCTCTTCCAAGTACGAAGCAATCGCAGTGCGGCTGATCTACCCCTATACTAACGTATTGCTTAGTTGACATCTACTCCGCCGTGAAGAAACTGCAGGATATTCTAGGTTTTTCCTTCGAATTCCCGAAAGACCTTGCCAGCAGAAGTAGACCCCATGACCTACCTGAAATCCAGTTGATCACTCTCATCGTCATATCTACCAAGTTACTTTTTCCCTTCGACGACCTTAAAAGGTACCCTATCTCGGCAAAGGAACCTACGACGCAAGTCATCGATTGGAAGCTCTGGGCTCAGGCCCAGACGCAATTTGATAGCCGAGAAACCGCTCGGGGCAGAATTGGCAAAGGTAATGAAGTCCTAGTGAATGAGCGTGATGTGTTTAACATGTCACCGAGTCAACTGGATGAGTACATGAATTGGTACGAGAACAACTGGCTCGACAGTAGCAAAGGTATGGCGGCATTGAGAGAATTATTTTATTCGTGTCGCTAACCCTCTAGAAAAGTGTCAAATCCACTAAGCGATTTATTCCCCGTTGGGCCAACCGGCACGGATTCTCAGGAAGTAGCAGACCCTCCAGATGAAGATGACGAGGAAGCTGTAAGCTCAATGCTGCGAACAGTTACGCAACAACTCAAGCCTCGGAAAGTTATTACAGAGGAGCACTCGGATATCCCTCGACCGGGGTCATCATATGTGCGGTATAAAATGGAGTCTGATTTGCCCGAGAATGCGCGACCTTTCTACGAAACGGCAGCAAAGGTGGTCGGAGTATCATTAGCTACCCTTGTACGAGCTGTCTCCCAAGCAGAATATAAGATTATGCGATGGCTGGAAGACCAGAGACGTATCGAGCTCTATGGAGATGTTTCCGGCATGGAGTTTGCGAAATTCGATAGCTCTGATGATATGGGTGAACAGGATATGACCGATTCGGATGACAGTTCTTGATATAAACCCACTTTGTTGGGTATAATTTCCCTGTTATTCTATCTCTTTTGATGCTCTCAATGTCAATACAAATTTATAACCAGCAGAACACTATACGGCCGCATGACAAGTTCTGATAACCGGTCAAAGGAATGGTTTAATTTACTCGAGCAAGTCATTATCCTGGCGGCACATGAGTACCTCATGAAGGACACCTGCAATACGACACTGAGGTAAGCATTCTAGCCCGAAGAGCAACAGGGAATATGAAACGATTCGCTTCCGACAGCCTGACAAATTACAATTATTGTTGCATCCTCTAATCACATGTCGGAAAACCATTATGCTTATTGTCATGCTTACTTATTTTTCGCGCTAGCGAGGAACCAGTTCCTGTACTGTGAAGAGACATGCATGCAGATACGAGCTGCAGAGGAGAATCTAGAAATCCGATGGCGTTTCATCAAGAACATTGATCTAGACTCAGGGAATAAGGACCATCATACGATGTGACAAAGTACCAAGAATGGGGTATAAAAAGATGAACATGACTTTGGACTGAGAACCACAACTCCCAGCATTGCAGATAAAGTGAAACAATGGAGACCTTCAGACTGCACAACGTCCTTTCTTCCCTCTACATTCTTTTCCCTTTTATTTTTCTCGCGAACTCAGCCCACGCGGCTCCTTATCAGACTCGCATTCATGAGACCGGCAGCACCTTCGGTGCTCCGGATCCATATGGCCCATGGCAAATGATCCCCAGCAATCCCACTGAAGACCTGACCTACATCAAAACTACCAACACCGGAACTGGGAGGGTAGAAGTTCACATCGCCTCGGGTTCATCCGGATTCAGGACTCGCACCCTTGAAGTCGGAACAACATTTGTCTCTGAGGATAACGGAACTTGGCAATTAATTGATGCAGACGGTGACGGCAGACCTGATCTTGTCTACATTAAGACCAGAAATACTGGAACCGGTAGGGTGGAGGTACACATTGCATCCGCGTCATCCAACTATCAGACACGTATCTTGCAAACGGGAACCACTTTCTACCCAGAGGATAACGGATTCTGGCAGATGGCAGACTTCGACCATGATGGAAAGCTGGATTTAATTTATATCAAGACTCGCAATACCGGTACTGGGAAGGTTGAGGTGCACGTGGCGTCGGGGGCATCGAATTACCAAAAGCGTATTCAGGATGTTGGGACGACTTTCTATCCAGAGGATAACGGTGTCTGGCAGATGGTCGACTTCGATCGCGATGGAAAACTGGATCTGGCTTACATCAAGACTCAGAATACGGAAACTGGAAAGGTTGAGGTGCATGTTGCGTCAGGCTCGTCGACTTATAACACTCGCGTCCAGGAGGTCGGCACAACCTTCTATCCGGAGATTAATGGGTTCTGGGAACTGAGTGACTTTAATCATGATGGTGTCCTTGATCTAGTGTATATCAAGACGCAGAACACTGGAACCGGCAGCGTTGAGGTTCATGTGGCGTCGGGGAAATCATAGTCCACACATCGGATGTATAACCAGTTGATAGTGTCATTCGATGAGGGAGCTGATACTATTGGCACAGGGTTTGCTTGTTACTATCGCATCCCTTCTTTTGAATCGATCAATGAAGTTTGAATTTGAATTTGGACCCTTAATAGCCACTAATATATCAGCCATAACATTATGCCGTCGCCGTAACTCCCATGTCGCTGCAGAATTGTACACTCAAGCTCTGGACTACCAAAGAAACTGTCGTTGAAAGTGTACCGAGGGAGCTCCGCTCCAGATATTTGGTTCCTGTGGTATGTTATTGAGCCCTTCCGCGATCTCTAGTTGGGACTGGGCCACATAACTCATCGCCCGAGGCCCAGTATCCTTCTGGATTGATCGAATGGGTTTCTCTAAGCGCGGTGCTCCTGATACCCTAGCGACGTTACACGTTGACGGACTAGCAGAATCCGGAGATAATGCTTCATTGTTTTCATCACGTTGATCGGCAGGCACATCAGTGCGAGATATGTCCGAAGATTGGTATTCGGACGGCTCACGTTGTTCATTAGGCCCAGGAATTGTTTCCCCAGTAAGCCCAGTCCCCGATGACAGAAGAGTAGTGTTGTTGTCAGAAGAGCCGGAGGTCGATGGGCGCAGGTCTTGGTTGACTAGAGCAGACCTCGGGTGACTTAGACAATCATACTGCCATTCCCGAACATTGTGGGCAGTGTCCAGAGGGAATCTTTTCCAGTACTCTGCCCCTCTTTTCCCCAGTCGAGGGTATGGGGAGTATAACAAATCTCCAGTACTCCTCCTGGTTTTATGCTGCCTATCCTGGTTTATACTGGAGGACAATTGAGCGTCCGAGATCCGAGAGAGTACTTTCAGCAACACGGTTTCTGTTTCATGTAGACGGTGCTCTAGGGACTCTATGTATCCCTTCGCGGGGCCACTGAAGGAACGTGAGCCTTCTACACCGGAACATTAAGATTGAGCTTCAGACACACCGTTTAAGCTGCTCGGGCCAATCGCATACTCGATTGTGCTGGAGGCATTGCGTACACACTGGCCTTGATAAGAATCAGCTCCCACATGGTACACATGGCTGTGACTAAGAATTGAACCTTACTTTTTGCCGCTACACTACATGATACATTAGCTCTATGATCCATAGAGAAGTTCGAACAAACGTGGGTCGTACCTTTTGCTTCCGGAAACGACAGGCGTTGCAAGCGATTGTAATGCGAGACGCTTTTCCAGCTTTGGTTGGGGGAGTCATCTCACAGGGCTTCTTCAGGTAATTTTAAATGTTTGAGGTGCAGTAGCCGAGTGCACAATGGTGAGTTGATCATTATATTTGTGTTCAGAATGGCATGGGTTTTTGGCTCTGGAAATCACGTGCGGCAGAAGGTTTACCCGATGGATCAATTCGAATCCGATTTAAATATAATAACCTCATTGTAACAAACTCTATCGGCTCTGGAGCATGTCTCCATTCGTCATTTAAAGCTCAGTTCTCTTCGGTTCTTTCTAGCCTTCGGATTTGGCGTCAGCTCGTCTATTGTTTCGACAGCTAAGGGCGCCGGCCGGCAACACCACAGTTAGGTCTTTATCTGATGAATTGTTTTCCACTTGTTTTGACGTTTGTGGAGATTCATTGGAAACTTGACACCAGTCTTCACCATCACCATCATCATCATCATCATCATCATCATCATCATCAACTTCTTCTTCTTCTTCTTCTTCTTCCCATTGTCCGAGCACCTCCTTCGCGTCCAATGTGTCAGGATGTTTGGGACCCAGACATTTCTCACGAAGGCGGACGCACTTAGTCATTAAGCTAATCGAATCATTTTTTCTACCTTTGCAGTACCAGATGTAAGCAAGATTCACCATGCTGGTTATGGTGATGGGATCCTCTGGCCCTAGGATCTTCTTCTGGCACTCTAGCACCTGCGTTCTCAATTCTTCTGCCTGTTGCCACTTTGCTTGACTGAAATACGTCAATGCCAGGTTATGTATACCGGTCAGAGTAGAGGGATGCTCCGATCCTAGCACTCGCTTTCTAGCTTCGAGCACATGTACCCCAAGCTCTTCTGCTTGCTGCAATTTTGCTTGCTGCCAGTAAGTCAATGCCAGGTTGGCCATACTGAGTAAAGTCCGAGGATGCTCTGGGCCCAACGCTCGCTTCCGAATCTCTACTACCTGTCTCTCCAGCTCTTCTGTTTTTTCTAATCGACCTTGATTCCGATACACTGCGGCCAGGTTGAACATACTGCTCAGCGTGAATGGATGCTCAGAACCTAGCATGTTCTTCTTTTTCTCTATTACCTGTAAATGAAGCTCTTCTGCCTTCTTGTATCGGCCTTGGGATCGGTACACAGATGCCAGATTTGTTACACTGACCAAGGTTGATGGATGCTCAGGGCCTAGCACTTTCTTCCGGTGCTCTAAGACCTGTAGACTGAGCTCTTCTGCCTGTTTTAACTTTCCTTGGATGTGGTAGATATTTCGTAGGTGTGCCATACTAGACAGAGTATCAGGGTGCTCTGGACCTAGTACCTCTCTCATGACTTTCAGGGCCTGCAGTCTGAGTGTTTCTGCTTGCTTGTAGTGTCCTTTCTCGTAGTACACTCTTGCGAGATCGCCCATTGTCATCAGAGTCTCAGGGTTTTCTGGACCTAGTATCTGGTTTCTGGTCTCTAACACTTGAACATTGAGCGTTTCCGCTTCTGTGAATCGACCTTGGCCAATGTATACTGATGCCAATTTGCTCATGCTGGTGAGAGTTGAAGGGTGTGCTTCGCCATTTCGCTTCTGCTCTATGTTCCCGGCGTCGCAAAGCAACGATTCTGCCTCATTGTATCTCCCATCACTAACCAGACATTCCCCAACATTTTTGAGCAAGTCAATGTATTGTTCTTGTTGACGTTTAAACTCATCCTCTTCTAGCAAAGATAATGCATGGGGTAAATATATCCGCCACAGATTCCTATTAGTGTGGTCATTGTTGGGGAAAGCTTCGGTTAGTCTTTCTGCTGTTTTGCGTATAAATAGGTTGAATTGTTGGTTTCTCCTCATCCAGCTGCGAGTCGCTAGATATACAAGTCGATGAAGGTTAAGAGGGTTATTCTTAGCTTGGTCAGAAATAAATGAATAGGCACTGAGAAGCCCTAGAGCCTTGACCATTTTTATCTTGGACTTTGCTGGTGGCAGAAGGGACTGTGGTATATTTCGTGGGTTGACGCAAGCCATGAATGAGAGATATTCAGCAGCCAGTTGATCGATCTGTTGGATTTGTTGAAATGAGACTAACCAGGTAGTTGCTACTGGGTTTGGAACATCCTGATAACGCCCTTCTGTCTCAAAATCCTCACTCAGGAGCTCAACCACCTCTGGTTCCTGCTCCTGTAGCAGAGTTAGATAGTCACCGAGGCTGATGCTGTTCTCCTTGATGAATGCTGCCGCTTGCATGATTGCTAAGGGCAGGAAGGTCAGCTGACTCAAAAGGGCAACGGCGATTCCGCGGTCATCGGACAAGTCTTCCCCAGGCAATGCCATTTGTAGCATCTTTATACCAGTCTCTTCGTCTACCTTGGAGATCGAGATTTCAGTGGGGGCTAGCTTTACAGCCAGCTGTCTATTGCGAGTAGTAAAGATGATTCGACCTTGCTCAGTTCGAGGCATAAGGTCCTTCAGTGCTGGAGCACGATTGCTGCTCTTGGTCCACATATCCATATCATCTGCGTTGTCAAAGATAAGAAGCCATTTAAGAGCGCTCTTATGACTAAGATAATCCTTGACTTGCTCTTTTGCTTCTGCCGGCTTAACATCTTGCATCCCAAGCATCTGAGTGATGTTCATATACGTCTGCTCAATGATTTCAGGGCTAGTGCATGGGATCCAGAAAACGGAGCACTCAGGATCTCTTTCTCGAACACGATAAGCTAGCTCCAATGCAACATGAGTCTTTCCAACCCCTCCCAGTCCGCTAATAGCGATCTTGCCAGGGCCTTGCCTTTCAAAGATCAACTTTTCTAGCTCTGCAATCTCATTCTGACGCCCAACAAATTGTAAATTTCTGTCAAAAGGAATCATCCAGTGAGAGTTCTTTGGTTTAACACCTACACTTCACTATGCTTAGCAGAATGTAAAAGCCCGGATCAAACATAGTTGGCTGACCTTCTCTGGAGGCAGGACTCCAATACCGCAAGAAAGCTTTTGCACTTGATGCGCCAGTTGCTGCGGCATATGCTTGCCACTTCTTATCCTTGTGGCTATCTGCATAGTCACATACACCCTTGATAATGATGCATGGCAGTTCATCCCAAACTCCTGCCCCTTCCATGTCGAAGCCAGCAACGTCATCATCCTTTGCCAGCTTGTCACGATGCTCTCCAGACTTCATGACCATGTCACCAGAGGCAATTGTTCCGATGTGGATTGATGCCCTGGTTGTATCAGATCGACGACGGATAATGCGGTTCTCGTCACACTCTAGGCTATCGCAACTGCTCTTCTGAGCCTCCTGACATATCCGATCAGGGGATTCACTATTGAAACACAGGCATTCCACAGAAGCAGCCAGTCGATGGTGCTTGTGGTGATAAGAACCGTCAAAGAGAACGTCGCATGCATTGCCTGGATATTGCCAACATGAGTCTGATCGTTGCAGCACCTCAAGGCACTGAGAAATGTCATTCTGCAAGTCGCTGCGTGCCATGCTTGTTTCCAATCGGCTAAGCAGAGTCCGGATTTCTAGGTTTGGCCTTCCCAGGGTATATGTGAGGCCTTCCCTTCTCTTAAACCCATCTGGGTATTGTCTGCCATAATCATATCGGACAACCGCATTGCTGATAATGACATCGCCTAGGAAAATCGGAGTCTTGCTGGACGGCAGCAGAGGGACTCCCCCACAGACCCCAACAACCAACGCCAGACTGACTTCAGTGTAGCTGAACTTCATATTTGCCGCCACACTCGATGCACTTACTTTCCCCATTTCGGGCAAATGGCATAGGACAACATTGTGTGTCCCTATTCTTCCCACTGTATAGGTGTTGGCATCCCTGGGATGTTTGCCGTACTGGTCACCGTATCGATCATAGAATTCATCGAACAACCCTATCACGGCATCCGCCTCCACTGGAAGTGCGCAGATAATGGCGACGCTAAATTCGCTACGGTCCTTTGGACGCATTTTGATGTATAAATAAAAAAAAATAAATAAATAAAAAAGAAAGAAAGAAAGAAAGAAAGAAAAGAAAAGAAAAGAAAAGAAAAGAAAGAGTTACGAGTTTAGGGGACAGTCAGAATCCAGCGCGTCTGGTTAAAATGCGAAATGGTTGATTAAAATAGCCGCTTGGTGTGGGGGAAAATAGCGTGTGATATGAGGAGAAGCGATATCCCTGCATAGGAGGCGCCAGCCAGTCGTTTACCCAACTCGACAAGTTGGAGGGGTAAGTAGTCAGACACTAAAGCTGCAAGGATGTGTGGTCCTAGTCATGGTGGGGTGATATTTATTCCCAATGCCACGGAGGTGAGCATGCATTCTACGGAATCATACTGTATCATGGGGTTGGCTGGCCAAATTTGATATAATGCCTTCATTTTGTAGGGTCCAGTTGCACAAGACTCAGTGGTGCAAGGGTCTCATGAATGCTTAGGACACTTTCAGGAACACCGTTTGCTGTCAATCTTCCCTACATGAGTAACACACTTATCTTGGATGAATTATGACTACCTATCCAGGTATTATTGTGGCGTATATGTATATACCCATTCGGCGTACTATCTGCCTTCGTCTAGGTCAATCTAGAACACTCCAATAAGACAGCATGACAACTCCCATTGGTCCGTCTCATAGGATACTTGCATATGCACAACCTACAAGGATGTATCATTTGCTCTCTGATCCCAGATACCCTAATTCTAAGCCAAGTCCTGGATACAGATGCTCTATGGGCTTCATGTCAGATGGCTCAGAGGTTAAACTATTCTTGTAAAGTCTTTAGCAGAGGCAGGAAGAACTCACCTCTCTTAACTAGCTTTGATTTTTGAAAGGAACCGTCCATTATAGAACTCATCCAAGAATATGATCAGTAAGAAACCGATCTCACCTTCCAGGAAATAACTGGGGGTAAAAGCATGGCCCATGTTACTTACCATCAGTCGTTTCAGATCGAAATCAACCATGTAGTCCAATGCATCCAGAGTCACATATCCGGACCACCAGTGTCAGACATCGAGCATCCATGAGTGAGAATGTATCATCACAAGAGCTATGCTTTTGATAACTGTGCTTTTAGTCTAGTAGGAAATACACTTGCCCGAACACGTGCTTTTACAGTAGCCCTATACTCTCTATTGCGCTTAGTGATCAGGGTCAAAACAACGCCTGGGTGATCTGGCAGCGCATGGACATTGCAAACGGAACTAGATAGTCTGTTTTCGAGTTGGATTTTAAGTATCCTTTGCTGGTTACTGAATGTGTGTCTTGTTCTCATCAGCTAAATTGCTGAAAATGACTTCAGGTCATTGTTTCGTACTGCCATAAGACAAGCCTATCTGCGTGTGGCCTAGCTTGTTTAGATGTTAGAATTGGGAACCGTACTTTATAGTGGTTAGGTAATACATAAAGTCCAGTTCTCTCTTTTGTCATTATAGAATAAAGAGGAGAGATATAATAATAGACTGCCAATTGACTGTGTCATTACAAAAATAGGCCTGAAAATACGGTTTCTATTGGTGAACTCATGGATCCTGAATCTGTCCACCTATTTCAATTTAGCCAAGATGGCTCATACCAGGACGATAGACTGAGACAGCGAATTGGTACACAGTAGACACAGAAATGATCGGGGTGACTTCTACTACAGGTGATCATTAATAGATTGATAGGAGCAAAGCAGTGTCACGGAGCTATACACATGCCCTAATTCCCGACTACGAGATTTTAACAAGCCAAAACAAACGGGGGATTCTCATTGAACCCATCTCAAGAGAGTATATCATTTCGCCAATCTAAGGATACATCCACACATCACCTCCATACCATAAGTTATACCCCTCTAACCACTCCCCCCAGGAATTATTTCAGAGTCAGGGCCTGGGAATATCAGCGACTCATGACCATCGGGAAAAGCGAACCTATATAGCGCAACTCATGTTAGATAATTCTTGCCGAAACTATTCCAATCCATATGATCTTCTCGGCTTACCAGGTAAGGAGGCGCTCCATCGGAGCCTCGAACTTCGATGATCTCAGCTACCTGGTCTCCGCCACCTACGTCTAGAGGGCAGTTAGTTGCCAATAGACTTGTTTAAGGGGCAAATTGTTACATTGATTGAGGGAAACGTACGCCGGGTCCTAATTTTAATGCTATCGCCAACAAAAGCTTTCATCTTGGGAGGGATTTTCTTGTTCCTTTGATTTGGAACGTGTGTTATTTGTAACTCTGGTCAGATATTGGAGAGGGGGAAAATAGAAGGGGTTAATATATATATATATATAATTTTTCCCCCCCTACAATCGTTAAAGAAGCCTGACGTCAGGTTGAGCGTCGGAAACAGCGATGACGAGATCATCTGCAACCTCAGATCATAAATTTCAATAGACAGGTGTATAATAGTCGCTGGCGGAGAGAGGGGCACCTGATAATCTCGGACACTTTACGAGCGAATCCGTGCACGTATGCGTGTCCAGCGCATACCTGCATAGCAGTAGATCAAACTATTCCTCTGCAAATGGCTGGGACCCCGCTTTTGGAATTCTTAAGGAAAGTGAGAGTCCTTTGGGGACTCGCGGAGGGCTACTATCTGCAAACACACTATTAAAGTATTCTATAAGTAATAGCAAGCTTGAAGATTGAAGTGGTTACATTCATGTCGTGTGGTGTCGATTCTACTTAAGCGTAAACCCCTGGGCCAGCAAAGCCCTGACAAATCCAATCTAATTTGTAGGAAAAGGGCCAAAGTTTCGTGTGCATGCCGGGGTCTGAAGAAACCCACTTTTGGGACAACCAACCAACCAACCCTCTGCAGACTGTCTCTGGAAACAATACTGACTGGTTGAATGCAGAATGCTGGTTGTTGTCGATCTTCACGGCCCCAGACTCATAATTCAGGTGGACGGGAGCCTATACGGATCGTAAAGAGGGTCCACTGATAGTTCCGCTACCTTGCTTGCAACAATCCGCCCCTCTTTGACAATGGCCACTAAGGACTCTTCTACATGGTCCAGAACGGTAATATTTTCAAGGGGGTTGGCATTGAGAATCAGAAAATCCGCAATCGCCCCCTCCTTAATACAGCCCAGTTTCCCTTCCATACCAACCAATTTGGCGGCGTTGATAGTCGCCGACTGAAGGATCTCTAGCGAACTGAGAACGGCTGCGCGAATACTAAACTCGCGGTTCTGTAGCGTGTGGAGGCCTGCCAGGAGATCAGATCCGTAGCACATTGTGATACCAGCATCGCGTAGAATTTCCAGAGCCTTGAGACCACTGGCCAGAACTTCGCGGTTCTTCGCTTGACTGGCCTCGTCAAGAAAGTTATCAAAGGGGGGTTCGGCCATTCCTTGATACGTGATCAGTGTCGGAGTGAAGACTACCCCCTTCTCCTTACAGTATCTGGCCGTCTCGGCGTCAATGAAGTTGCCATGCTCAATGCCACGCACACCGTTGTCGACCGCATGGCGGATTGCCTGCGCCGTATAGGCATGAGCGGTAACGTAGGTCTTGGAGTATGCGGCGGTGGTTGTAATCGCCTGGATCTCATCGGCCGTGAACTGAAGCATATCTAGTGCATCAGTTGGCGTTGCAACTCCTCCTCCACACATTATCTTGATGAAGTTCGCCCCTTGTCGGAGCTCATCTCGAACTGCCTCTAAACACGCGGGGACACCGTTACAGATACGAGCCAGTGCGGGTGAGTGTCCACCACAGCATTTATGCTCGTCACCCTGATAAGGAGCTCGTAAGTCCCCGTGGCCGCCGGTTTGAGAGAGCGCCTTGCCCGCGATGATGAGGCGCGGTCCAGATAGCAATCCCTCTGCGATAGCATCGCGTAATGCCGCATCAGCGCCGCCTGTATCACGCGCAGTTGTGAAGCCTCGAAGGAGCATGTTCCGGGCGACATAAGCGGTGCGGTATGCGATTGTGTTAGGGCTAGCGGCGAATATGTCCTTGAGTGAGGTGCTCCCCGGGGTGGCCGTGAGGTGAACATGACAATCAATCAAGCCAGGGCACAGATATTGATTTCGCATGTTGATGAACTTGGTTTTTGTCCTCGGTCCAGTAGAGAACGGCGCTTCTGAGCTTCTGGATAGCGATGATGCTGGCATAATACGTGTAATAACCCCATTTTGCACGTGGACACTACAACTGGGGATAACACGGCCAGCCTCTACATCGATTACGTTGATGTTGATGAGGGTAATGTCCGGGGGTTGATCGCGTGGTACCCATGGTTTAGGTATGAGATTGGAGCTAGCCATGACGATAGGTTCTTTTAGGAGAATTTAATTCTTCCGAGTAGGTAACTATGAGAGGGTCTGTGTCTGTCCATGAGGGTGTCAGAAAGCAATCCCCGCAACAGAGAGAGGGGTTAGAGCTTCGGTTCATGTGACTAGGCATTGAATAAGGACTTGAAAGTTTGATATACAACTATATAACCTTCGTCATGAACTAGGTACGGGAATCGTTATATTTCATCTATCATTGCCAGTAGCAGACTATACACATAGCTAACAGAGCACTAGGATTCATTTAGACATTCAGCAATTGAATGTGCCACATATTCAACATTCGACGGGTTAAGTCCAGCAATGGAAACCCGAGAGTTGCTCGCCATATAGATGTGATACTTGTCTGCGAGGAAGAGGTTAGGTTAGAATTGCCACATAATGAAGGACTTCAGAAGTATACTCACCCTTGAGCTTCTGGACGACAGCGGGAGAAAGTCCTAAGAATCCAAACATTCCAGATTGGCGAATCAGATGCTCCCATGTGCCAGGGGCTCCTATTAACTGTATCAGTAGGAGGATACTCGCTCTTCTGGGGAGAGAAACGTACCATTTTTAATCAGTCCGTCATACAACGCTTGTCTCATGGAACGTATGCGTCCGCTCATCGTGATCAAATCCGCATACCACATCTGTTTTAATACATCGTCGCTCAAGATGGTACTTGCTATCTTCGCTCCATAGGCTGGGGGATTTGACACTTCGGAGCGTTGGAGCATCTCAAGAACTGACTGCGTGTTGGTCGCAGCCTTTTCTGTTCCGGCTGCGAAGAAAAGGCAGCCCACACGCTCACCTACAATTTTGGCGTTAGCAAAGCACGGGGGTCATGGTTCGATCTTCTCTGGGGAGGTGCCGTTTTTGCCTACCATAGAGTCCCATGTTCTTCGCGAAGGAAAGACAGCCACCAGCTTCCATTTGTAGTTCGTCGATGAAATAGCGCATAGCAAACGCATCATTGTCGACATTTCCTGAGTTGAAGCCTAAATATGCTGCATCAAATAGCGGGAACAATTTCCTTTCTTTCATTATCGAACCAATCTGTTTCCATTGCTCTTTGCTTGGGTCGCAACCGGTAGGGTTGTGAGCACAGGCATGAATAATAACAACGGAGTTTGGCTCCGCGTTTCTCAGCGCAGAGTAATACGCTTCTATATCAATATCTCTCTTCTCTGCATCATAATATTGGAATGTTTCACACTGGAATCCCAGTGACGAGAAGACTTGACCATGGTTGGACCAGGTTGGAGAAGGAATGTACACTTTTGGCAGCGGGCTGCGAACGCTTCTGAGAAGCAATCCTGCCAGATGGAGAGCGCCAGTTCCTGACAGACTTTGGCAAACGGCAAGCTGGTTGTTTATCAGCATTCAATTTTTGGTATTCTATTGAGCAAATAAAATCCGTAAGAGACTATTAGGGCACACCTGAGACTGTTTCTTGTCATATATTTCCGATCCTAGGGCCAGTTTTGTGGCTTCATTGCGGAAGGTTTGGAGACCAAGAATCGGCAGATATTCGTGGTATAACCCTTGGGAAAGAAGCGTCTCGCGAGCCCTTTGAACAGACGGCAAGACCCATGGCTGTCCATTCTCGTCGCGGTAGGTTCCCTGGCCAAGATTGACCTTCTGGGGAAAGGTATCAGCATTGTACTCTGCCGTAAGAGCGAAGATCGCATCTGGTGGGATATATGATGCGGCCTCGAAAAACGAGGCCGAACCCTCTGGTTCTGTTGGGGCGGCCTGAGTCGCCGTGCTTAGGTGTTTTCTAATTTTAAGTAACATCTTCGGAAACAAACAATGTACAAGATAAGAGAATCTGGGGTATATCTCCTGCGATTCAAGCGCTTTCAACGGCTTTATAAGTGACCTTCTCTCGGCGTCGAGACCCGAGCTGTCGGCTCCACATCCGACTTGTTAGATCCATTATACGTCGGATGGAATTCCGATTTACGCATTTTAATCGATGGATTTCGAATTTATGCTTCTGTTATCTTATCGGGTCGAACCCCCGGTTCCTATCGCTCTAAATGCGGGGGTGAGTTGAATTTATCAGTTGGCCCTTTCCACTAGCTTGTACATGTTCTATCATACTTCTTCCAACAATACCTTGTTACTTGTATAATTATTAGATACGAGAACTAATTATGCATCACTTGCTTACGTACAATGCCTTAGTTACAAACTTGTCTGCGAAAGGTATTTAGGAACATCTGTGCCAGGAGTACATGGACACTTTTGCTCAGCCTTGGTCTTTACTGCTGGAAAACACGCACAATATCCGGTCTCGGTCCGATGTACTCAAGTCGACAGTGATCTGCTTGCAAGCTTTAAGACTCGACGGCTCACCGCATTAATGGGCCTGGCCCTCATCCTAATCCACTTATCAGCTCCAGTCATTCACAGATTATCAAATAGCGTCTCATACACAGGCATCAGACTGTCCTTCCGGGGCGCGTTGGCAAACCGTACAAGGTCCAGAGTATTCGATGATGCCGTCCATCTCGCAGTAAAAGAGAGCCTTCTCGATGTTGGCGTCTCCATCAGCAATCGCAAGCAGTTCGTTCTGTGTCCATCCTAGAAGGGATGGTTAGCTTTGCGGACACAGCGTCAGGAGATTGGCAAACCAAACCCGACGAGAGCAAGGTGGATCCGCAATAGTTCAGACTCTCCCTGCATCTGCCAGCTGCTAGGGCAGCCGGGAGAACAGTGAACAGTGCAAGCAAGGGAAGAGTCGCTCTCATTATGGAAGATGGATTCGTAGGCAAGGGAGTTAGGGTCCTACGGATAATGCTGTAGTGACTGAACTGTCTATGGACTGCTAAGCGGTATGTGTTGAGTCTTTATACTTCCTGGGTATGGAAAATGTGATAAGGGACCAGTGTCAGAGACATATCCACATGATGGATTTCCGTGAGTCTGAGACGCTGCTTCCTCAATCAAACTTGGAAGATGTCTATGCAGTTATACGTATAATATCATCCATGTAATGTTGCTCAAGCTATCTAGGTTCCCGGGTGTACTGTTGTACGTAACGGATCGTCTTGAGTTGTCTGGGCCCCCGAGGAGCTGTGCAATATGAAAGTGTGTATGACATGTAAACTATATCACTGTAGGTAGCTTTCCTAATGGCAATGAGCACATAGCCACGCTCGGCATAGTCTTACATATTTACATATTTGAACCCGGTCAACATGGTATGTCCATGTCTTGGGGTGTACAGTTCCTGAATCCACAGCCACGTCGTACATATCAAGGCCTACAGAAGAAAAGACTGTATCCAATGCGTAGATTGCTTCCTACAGCTACACTCCTTGGGTAACACAAGCATGGATCTAAGATTGAACGGAACATTCCACGCGTTTGATTGCAGTGTAACTAGATGATTGTGCATATGAAGGCAGTCCCATAGAAAGCGGAACAAACCGTGGCAACAAAGTCCCTAATCGAATTGTTGGAATGAATATTCAATGAGGATTGAGGATACGCGGGGCAGTTGCTGCCCTGCTCCGCAACGGGTAAACCTTCAGCCAGAACATGACCGATGAAGTATGCTTGGCTTCATCCAACGTCATAAAGATTAAGCATACAAACATTATTTATAGTAGATGCAGGGTCCCTGATCTGGCAAAGTTCTACTAAATCTCTAAAGCCACGCATATTATACAAAATGTCCTCTCAGAAACCTTCTTACCGCATCGCATCCATTCCGGGTGACGGGATAGGCATAGAAGTCGTCGATGCTGCCATCCAGGTGGTAGAAAAGCTCGCCAAGACCCTCGGAACATTCAATATCGAATTCACACACATTCCATGGGGAACTGCATACTACAAGGAGCACGGTCGATATGTGTCCGAAGATTGTTTAGACACGCTGCGCAAGTTCGACGCCGGGCTGTTTGGTGCCGTGGGTGCCCCAGGTCAGGACTAAATTTCCCGGCAAAGACGCTGTGCTCGGATCCGTATACTGACCCCCGCGAGACAGATGTTCCGGACCACATCTCCCTTTGGGGTCTCTTATTAGCACTCCGCGGACCGCTGCAGCTATATGCTAATGTCCGTCCTGTGCGCACATTCCCCGGCACCAAATGCCCTCTCAACACCGCAACAGAGGGTATTGACTGGATGCTTGTGCGCGAAAACTCCGAAGGAGAGTATTCCGGTCAGGGCGGACGCAGTCATGTCGGTCAGCCGTGGGAAGCTGCGACGGAGGTAGCTATGTTTACCCGTGTCGGAATCGAGAGAATTATGCGCTTTGCCTTTGAAGTCGCTCAATCTAGACCCCGCAAGCTACTGACCGTGGTTACGAAGAGTAACTCCATGCGGAACGGCATGGTGCTTTGGGACCAGGTCGCAGCGGAAGTCGCTCAGGATTTCCCCGATGTTACGTGGGACAAAATGCTGGTGGATGCAATGACAGTCCGCATGGTGGCGAAGCCCCAGTCTATCGACACCATCGTGGGAACGAATCTACACATGGATATCTTGTCTGACTTGGCGGCAGCGTTGGCAGGATCTATCGGTGTGGCTCCTTCCAGTAACCTGGATCCGACCCGGAAGAACCCCTCTATCTTCGAACCAGTCCACGGTAGTGCGTTCGATATCACTGGAAAGGGTGTTGCCAACCCCGTGGCTACTTTCTGGTCCGCTGCAGAGATGTTGTCCTGGTTAGGTGAAAAGGAGGCGGCGAAGAAGCTCATGGACTGCGTGGAAAAGGTATGCGCTGCTGGTATCCTAACGCCGGATCTTGGAGGCAACTCGAATACACAGGGAGTGGTGGATGCTGTGAATAAGGAAATTGAGCAGTTGGTATAATGGAGCAGTTGGGTCTCCTGCAAGTTGCCTCCATTCAATTTTGAGAAATACCTCATAGAAGTTTTTTTTCCAAATACATTCAACCTTTGCAATTCCTTGTTACTTACTCTAAACTGCGTAACAACTTCAAGGTTGTATACTCCTGTAGCATATAGCACCAGAGTGGCCCATACATCGATACCAGGTTCAGTATACACCAATTTGCCGGAGGCTGCTTCTAAATGAAGTACAATACATACACTCAGAAGATATCACACAAATGCCAAATCAAGTGTTTTAGAGCCAGGTATGAAGTACAGCCAGCCAGAAGAGAATCGAGAGATACTAGTGAGTTGGTTATACACGAGTTAGTTATACCAGACTGCATTGGTCAAGCTGACTAAGCTGGGATGTGGTTCATAAAAGCAGGAACTAAACCGGGGTTCGAGTCATGGAAATCGACCCTCACCCTGAATGGGGGTTTATGTCCATGCAAAGATCACAATAAACACATCCTTTCTCGGTATATTATTGTAGCTCTGGCACACATATCATTCAGTGTCTGGTAAACACCATGTTTTGGCCAGAATGGAGTCCACGGATCTCACGTCTGGCCCGTCAGAAATCGGTTCCTTGACGGCACAATCCAACGAAGAGAGTCAATTTGTCGGGAGTTCCAGTGGTGTCTACTTTATTAATACGGTCCGACAGGCCTTTTCAAGAAATTTGGCCACGTTAGGTGCATCTTCCGGGCAAGAATTTCCGCAGCCAGAGGATACCCTCGTTGGCAGTGATGGCTCGCACCATGACAAGCGCTCTGCCCCATCCTCCGTCAAAGCATCACCGATGCCGGGAAGTGAGCAACCTTTTTGTCAATGGGAATATGACCCAGCAATGGCGGCTATACTGGGTCAAGCTCCGCCGCTGGACATCGCAAGAGAACTCATGATGGTATATTTCAAAGTTTGGCATCCATTGTTTCCCTTTCTGCACGGGCCAACCTTTCTGCAAGCAATGGAACTGCTCTATTCCGATCACCGCAAAAGCCATTCGATACTACCTTCACCAGATCACCGAAATATTTGCTGGACGGTGATCTTTCAGTGCGTGTTCAATTTAGCTAGCCATTTGAGGCCTGATCTGCGTCTTCCGTCAGAGTCTCGAATTGAATCACCGAGCAATATGCAGTCCTTGCTCAGTTCCCTTACTTTCAGAAATGATCTCTCGTCTCTACAAGCACTACTAGCATCCCAACTATACTTGGTAACCAAAATGTCGCTTCGAACGGCATCAACAGTGGGCGGTTGCATGCTACGATCGATGATGCATGCAGGTCTCCACCGCTGTCCATTCCGATATAGGGAGCTTTCATCGCATGATCGGCAGTTACGCAAGAGAATTTTCTGGTGTGCATACGCTATTGACCGGTATCTGAGCCAGGCTCTTGGTCTTCCGCTTGGCATACAAGATTCCGATATCGACGTCTGTGCCCCAGGGGCCGACGAAATCCATTTCCCCGGATCACATAGAGTACGCGGTCTCAAAATGGGCTTGTCTAGTTTCGACCTCGATGATAGAGCATCTTTTGCACCAGAGAGCAGTGCTGATGCAATGCGACTACCAGTGGAGCAATCTGCTAGCCATGAATCCCATGGCAATACGCCGAGTGGCTCCGAGTCACTCCAAAATAAAAGAGAAATCGCCTTCGCAAGCTACGTTGAATCCGGTACACTCACAGGGAGAGCACTCGAACTTTTCCACAAATCCATTCTCGTCCGTTCCATCCGCCGCAGCTCAGTCCTCTTCCTGATCACCGACGTCCACAAATGGTGGAACAGTCTCTCCATTGATCTCCAAAGCCTAAGTCCCCCAACTGACCAAGACGCCATGGCCGATAAACCCTTCAACTTCGGACCCTTTTTCACCGTCCTTTACCAACACCTTATTCTCCTCATCCACCGTCCATCTCTATCCCTAAGCCCCTCAACCCCCGAATTCTGCTCCGGCCTACAAACCTGCATCGGAGCCGCGAGGGAAATTCTCACCGCACTCAAAGCCCAAGTAGATGCAAAACAGGCATTGTTCTGGCCCGGATTCCTATCCGCCGCGTGGATGTCAGGTCTTGTTCTCGCCTTCGCCTGTCAGCTTCGACAATACGTCTTATCAAAAGGACTACAGTAACCTCCCCCCCTACTTCCAACCCCATCTCAGCCTAAAGCTAACCAAATCCAATCAGAGAAATCTCCAAATGTCTCGACTTCCTCCAACTCATGTCCCCACAATGGGAAACCGCCAAAAACTGCCACCGAGCATTAACCCTCCTAACCCGAAACATCCAACACGCCAGCACAGTTTCAATCCTACACAGACCCTCCGAGCCCCTCCCACCAAGAACCAGATCAGAAGACGATGATAATGACTTTGACACCCGCAAGAAACGCCGCCTAAACTCCCATCCCGTAACGAGGACTTCTCGACTAGGGTCTTCACGCTACGAGACTACCCATGATGGAACGGTACATCCTAGCGATAATGACGATGATACTAATGACCCGGGTTTGGGTGTTCAGAATATGTCGTACTCTACTGATGTTCAAATGTCGAATAATCCGTCGGAACTGGTGCAGGGTGGGAATAGATTGTTGGTGTCTCCTGATACGGTACAGAGTTCGGAGGATCGGCTGTTCTTTCCAGAGGATGGTTCGCATAGTATGATGGATTTCGATTTGAATATGGTGGATTTGTTGCAGGGGGCGAATTTTGATAATCTGTTTGACATGTTTGGACAGCAGTATCCGAGTTTTTGAACGGGTTGGCGATTGTGTATATAGATTTATATATCTGTAATGTATAGGCTACCTGGTTGTTATGATGAGTTTCTATATGGCTAATGATAGGAATCAATGATTGATCTAATCTATTTTTGCTACACTATCTCTTGTGACCACCCCTTCCTACGTCAACAGGGGAGAAGAAAAGTAGAGATATACACAGCTACAGCAGAAAGGAAGCATATCCCGTGAGGAAGTCATAAGTCTATATTACACTCGTGTCAGATAGCAGGACGAGGTATGTAAGGTTAGGGAACAGGAAGAGCAAAAGACATCACAACTTCCTCCCTCTTCGTGACATGAAAATTTGGAAAATCATGGCATCCGAACGACTTTTCTCCGATCCCAATAGGTGTTGTGTTCTCCTTTGCTTTCCCCCTCTGCCAGTGTGCGTTTGTACAGCATCACCAGAACACAACTACTGACACAAGGGAGTGGGCATAAGCATCGGGATCCGATAAACTGTGTCGCTCACTGGATACGGGCAGGTGACACCGCTAAACAAAGAACTTTTGGAAACCGAGGGATATCAGGACCAGGGGGAATAGGAAATAATGAAAAAAACGGTAAGAGGAAATAAGAGAAGAGTATCGTTAATTCGAGAAAGGGGATAAGGGTAGGTCATCAAAAAAAAAAAAAAAATAAGGTGAATCAAAACTTCCGTGTCGGGAGACCCAGTTCATAACTCCGTCCGAATCCACCGTGGATATCACGCATTGACACACAAAATTTACGACTTGTTCTCTTCGGTAGAGGTCTCCTTGGCAGCCTCCTTGGGCTTGCCGGCCTCTCCGGTCGCCTCGCTCTCGCCTCCCTTGTTCTTCATGTACTCATCATAGACGCTCAGGGCCTCGTCGACCTTGGCGCGCAGGGCCTCCTCATCCTCAAGCCTAGATTAATCAATGTCAGTAATTTTGCTCCGCAGCGTAAGATGTTCATGGTTCAAGGTGGCACTTACAAGGTAAGCAATTCAGTGTTCTCCATCTCTAGAAGCATACCAGTGATCTTGCCTGCCAACTCAGGCTGCTGAGCTTGGATCTTGGGGTAGAGGGCCTCACCCAGCATTTGCTTCTGCTGAGGAGGGGGGACGGCAGAGAGAGCCTGGGCGGTGAGACCACCGGCAACGGCCTCCTCGGGACGTCCGGCAGGGGGCTGAGCGGCGTTCTGTCCACGGCCACCTTGACCAGGGCGAATCTGGCCTTGCTGAACGGGCACACCACCACGGCCTTGTCCGTAGCCAGGGCCACGCATACCCTGACCCATGTTGGGCATTCCGGGAACCTGACCACGGCCACCAGCACCGCGTCCGAACTGCACCTGAGCCATGCCCTGAGGGTAGCCCATGCCGTTAGGAATGCCACCGGGGCCCTGCATGGCGCCCATGGGGATGCCCTGGAAGTTAGGAGGAAGCTGCTGGTTGGGGCCCATACCACGTCCACCCTGCTGACCGGGGAAAGGACCAGGGTACTGACCGGGGCGTCCACCTGGGATACCGGCCATCACCATACCGGGCTGAGGAGGGAAGGCAATGCCACCACGCTGGCCGGGGATGAAGCCCTGCTGACCAGGTCCGTAGAAAACAGCGGGTTGCATGTACTAGAGCTGGCGTTAGTATGGAGTGCAACATTGTGACTACAAGGCAAGGGAGAACTTACGGGCTGGGGCATACCAGCGGCAGCGGCAGCCTGCTGCTGTCTGATAGTGTTGCGAGCCTGGATGCTGGCCTCCAGCTGGCTTCTGCGGACGTCCTTGCGCTGAGCAAGGGCGACATAAAGAGGCTTGCCGTTGACCATTCTCTGGTTCATCTCAGTGACAGCCTTGGAGGCTTCATCGGGGCTGCTGAAGCAGACGAAACCAAAGCCCTTGCTCTTTCCGAGACCCTTCTTGTCGCCCTTCTTGGACTCCTTCTCCTCCTCCTCCTTCTTCTCATCGCCAGACTCAGCGGACTTTTCCTCGACCTTCTCGGCATTCTCAGTCTCTGAGGATTCCTTCTCGTTCTCCTTGTTGGTTTCCTTGTTCTCCTTCTCCTTGTCGGACTCGGGGGTCTCAGTACGCTCAATGTTGGTGTCGCGCATGACCTTGGCAGAGGTGATGGTGCCATAAGGTCCGAAGAGCTCGCGCAACTTCTCATCATCGACGTCGTCGGTGAGGTTCTTCACGTAAAGGTTCACACCCTGATACTTGGAGGCCTTCTCCAAGCGGGCAGCCTCGTACTGCTTGCGCAGCTCCTCCTCACGCTCGTGCTTCTTCTGAGCACGGCCGACATAGAGCTTCTGGGTACGAATCTCCTTCTCATTCATCTCGTCAACGGCGGCCTGCGCGCTCTCGTGGGTAGAGAAGTTGACGAAACCGAAACCACGGCTCTTGCCCTCTTGGTCACGGCTGAGAGTGGCGGAGGTGATCTCACCGAACTTCTCGAAGAGCTGACGGAACTCCTCCTCCGTGACTTCCGGGTCAATGTTCTTGATGTAGACGTTGGTGAAGTTAGCCTTCATCTCCTCGAACTTGCTCTGACGATCCTTCTTGGAGATGTGGTGGCCAACGAAGACCTTCTTGTCGTTCAGCAACATGCCGTTGACGTGCTTGATGGCATTGTTAGCAGCCTCAGCAGTCTCGTAGTGGACGAACCCGTATCCCTTAGAGTTGCCGAACTCATCCTGGGCGACCTTGCAACTGAGGATGTTACCGAAGGCAGCAAAGGTGTCGTGAAGAGCCTTGTTGTCGATGGCGCTATCCAGGTTCTTGATGAAAACGTTGCCCTGGCCAGTCTTGCGCAGAGCGGGGTCACGCTGAGACCACATGATACGGCAGGGCTTGCCCTTGATCAGGGTGTAGTTCAGATCTTCAAGAGCGCGCTCACCGTCGGCAGTGTTGTTGTAGTTGACATAGGCATATCCCAGAGAGCGTCTGGTAACAGCGTCACGGCAGACACGGATGGAGGCAACCTGGCCGATGGAAGAGAAAAGCTCATAGAGCATGGCCTCAGTCACAGAGGGGTCGAGTTCACCGACATAGAGAGAGGCAGAGTGGGGCTGGGAAGCGTTGGGAGCAGTGGTGCTCTCAACAGCAGTGACCTCAGGAGCAGGAGCAGCAGGAGTGGTGCTGGTCTCGGGGGTGCTGGTGACATTGCTGTCAACAGCGGGGGTGGTAGAGGCGTCGGCAGACATTTTGATGATTTTTAAGTTTTATTTCTTTTGAGCTACAGATGCAAGGATAAGATTAGCATGAGATAACCCTTATCGAAAGTGGGACAAATAATGAGTAGGATAGGTGAACGTGTGTGCCCCTCCTCCAGTTCAGTGATTTGGTCTGCAATTACAATGACCAGTCAAACACTGAGCGTAGATCCAGAGGTATGAGTGAGGCAGCAAAAGCCACAGACTGTGTACGTGGTAAAGGAAATGAGATGAGATGCTCTTGTCTTGTGTGAGGTCACACTATCGGCAAGACCAGCTGGGCACGGCAAGGAAATCAGAGGGAAAGGCTGGAGTCAACGCGATAGACGTACGACCTAAGTCAAGAATCCGCACAGGATCTGGAACAGAAGGTAGGAGATGAAGAGGAATGGCGATGCGAAGGACGCGATCACGAGGGATGAAGAAAAGGCGGCAAAAGGAAATTCTTCCACACACCGCACAGTCCGAAGAAGTTGGGAAAATAGTCGCCTCAAAGTATAGAAACCGGGGCGATGTCTTTTTCTAGATTTTCCGGGTTTTTTTTAATATTTTTTCTTCGACAATTTTCGAAAGAAAAAGGGAAGAATGTAGAAGAGGGATAAGAAGAAAAAAAGGATTGCTGGTTGAGGCAGCAGAAAGGGTTTTTTTTTTGGAGGAAGAGAAGAAAAGAAAGAAAGAGAAAAAGCGGATGCCGTGAAAAGAAAGCGATGACCGCCTTCTTCTTTTTTTTTTTTTTTTTCTCGAAATTTGCAAGAGTGTGCTTTATGCTTGTGTGATACATGTAAATGATGCGTTTCTTTTCCGGTTTTTTTTTTTTTTTTTCTGGAAAAAAAAAGTCAAGAGGATTTTTCTTTTTTTCTCTTTGGCCCAATATTTAACTAATCCAATATAGGCTTAGCGCTTGTTGCCGCTTCAAAAATCCAGGGCTATTCTGATTGTCAGTATTGGGGATTGTGTATTGTGCAGTGGCTCTCTTACCGGCAAATCACGAGACTGCAATCAAAGGCGCGTAGGGCTTATCGCGATTGACATTCTTGCCCCCCTCTCTTCATTGGACCTTAATCCTTTTTGGTATGGAAACACAACATCGCCCAACCATTACATTTTCAAGAGTGCATACAAAATTTCAATGAAAGGGGGGAAAAATAGTATTATTACCCATTGTTCAACATATCCACCTAATCCGTAAATTACTAAATGAACTTGGACCTCAATACTAGTCCAGTGACTCCGACAACTGTCGGTAAATATGCGATGGGGAAGAGGAAGAGGTCCCATATACAAAGAGAAGCGAATAAACAGAGAATAACAAGCATCAAGTTAATTGCGCCAGGACGCCACAGCTATGCAACCCAGTAACTATTCGCTTCGTGCGCAATGGATAATCTGTACGTCTATGTATGTGCGATCATACCCACCATTCCGGTTCTCTATGGCAATAACACAATTTGGCTCAACTAAGATCAAACCCGGCGCCAGAGTTGATGGCGTAAAGAAGCTTTTCTCGTAGGGTGTCGGCGTTGGTATAACGAGGCAGCTTCAGAAGGTTCACGCAGGTACTTGTACTAGGAAGTCGCTCCTGGTCCTCACTGGAATCACGAATGCTGAATCGTGGGTTCAGATGACTGAATCCCAGTAGCGGAGCACGCGGAGTGGACGTCACAAACCGTAGCACCTTCTGTCGCTCCTCGTTGGTCATCTTATGCATGACCTCCCAAAATAGTTGGATCGTCGGATGCTCTTCCCTATCGTCGCCAATGGTATACACCCCTCCATATTGAGTGTTGCGCCTCAGATCCGATACGTCAATATCCCCTGACTCGCCACTAACCAAGGTCTGCAGTTCCGACTGGTTAAACATCGACAGCCACGAAGGCTGTATAATTTGCCCTAAGCCTTGGAGGAAGGCGTTCGTTTGCAGAGAGGGCTGTGACTGTAGACGGTACCGAGCAATATAAGAGATATACACGAGGCGGTTCTGGTTGGTTACGGGTATATCTGACCCGTGGGGTTTAAGGTCCCGAGTGATTGTGCGATTTCTCCCGTTCGAAAGAGGTATGATGTCAGTGACTGTGAAGTTCAGAGAAAAGTCTTCCACATCCCCAGGGTAGTTTTTTAGTTGCAGCTATAGAAAGGTTAGCTTACAAATAAAAACATTGTCTCTATCGTCAATCATCTTACCAATCCTTGATATAGTCCCTGGTCGAGGTCCTTAAGGTCATTAAGGTTGGCTCGATATGCCGTTTCCTTTTGTGCCGAGCCCGTGCCACCCGTCAGAGCCCATTTCAACAGGAAAAACGGGGCAAAGTTCACATCAACCAAGATGCCCTCATAAAGACACTTTCCTATAACTCGACCTAAGAACTCATACCGCCTGAGTAAATCACGGATATTGTCATTCCAGTCTGGACTGTTCTCAGCAAGCCCAACCTGTCTCAAAAGCTCCCTACGATGCTCAACCGCAGCTGGGTTCGGGTAGAGTAGATGTTGCTCGTTCTCTTCAAACAGGTTCAGGTCACTTATCGATTTAAATGCCTCATTCGTGACGCTCGTTAGGAATTCCTTCGTCACACCACCACCATCAATCCCCGCTTCCGGTGTGTTGAACTTGTCAATGAATGTAATCTGTATAGGTTCTTTGAGACCTTCGCCGAGTTCGTAGAACTGATCAAATGCATCTTCGAACACACTCTCGCGCCTGATGTTTGCATGATGCCGGCCAAGAATATCCTGCACCGTGGGCCGCCCATCGATCATACGCCCCATCGAAGCCTGGGCTACAGACATACGCCAAGCATCCGGGTCAATGAACCCTTGTCGTCTGCGCACCTGATCACGATAAATGAATTCTCGAAATATTTGCACCCGGGTATGGAAAGGAATGAAGAATGGCATATTTCTCAGGATTTCGAGTCTAGGAGCCACCGCCTCCAGTTGTTTCCTGCGAGCTGCTTGTTGTTGACGTCGTCTAAGAGCCTCGATTCGCCTTGTCTGTTGGGCACGTCCTGTACCAATTAGCCCCAATGACGGTTCATAATAAGCATCATTCATTAAATCATCTTGTTCGTCGCCATCTTCCTCATCCTGGAGTTGGTGTCTATTCTCTTCTTCCGCTACAACAGAAGGGATAAAACCTTCCATGTCAAAGCGGTTGGTCATCAGCCAGTGTCCGTCAGGGAGGAACTTGCGTCGTGAATCACGCTCATGGATCATCCTTAACAGACCGGTCACGAGGCCTTTGAAATAGTCGAGTGGGATTCCCGTCACTCCAGATAGCCCCTTTTCTTTGTTTTTCATTTCAAGATCCCGAACGCTTGAAACAGTGTCAGATGGGGTAACAGAGGAGCTGAAATAACTCCGAATCCCTCCACTATCATGAACAGTTTCATCTTCGTTCAGATCTGCAGAGTTCCAGTACAGAGTAAATGCCAGATTTTTCAAGAATATTGTCATATCTTTGATATCTTCCAAAGGAAGCGCGCTTTCCTTGGTCCATGAAACCCTCATATTTGAAGAAGCAGTGAAAGAAGATCCGCTAGAAAAAAACTCCTCGTCATCCATGACTTTCAGGACAAACGTATACAGCTCAAGGAAGAGGAGAATAATCATCCACTCCTCGTCACGCTCTTTGTGCGATATGCTCGGTAGTCTGGCGTCATTCGTATCGCTGGCTGGTTTCAGCAAGGACAATACCTTGGTTGAATCTTCGCTTATTGTGGTGAATATTTTACTGGACCTGGATGCTTGCCAGAAATATTTGATAGCCGGTATTCTCGACCCAAGTTGGCCGGCCAGTTGATCATCCGAGATAGCGGATCCCAGATACAACCACATTCGAATGTCATCGCCTCGCCGAGGAAATACCCTCAAAAGAGTCAAGGCGTATGTCGCAAGGATTTTCGCCTCCCGCGACGCATCAGATTGTGAATCTGCCAGGTCACGTTGAGACAAGTGACTAGATTGCAACTCAGAAAGCAATCCGGTTATACTTCCCTGGTTGACAAGGCTGAATAGCTGTTCCTTGATAAATGGATTCAGTGGTGCTCTGTCAGCTGTGTCGTCAAAGTCGGTGACCTCCCCGAATTCCAGACGTCGCGATATATGCACCGCAGTAGAGTTGAGTAGGTCCGATACAACCTTCACAAAACCAGACTCAGGTGCTTTGTATCCGGCCTGGCTTCCTAGAGCATACTTGTGGAAGAATATGAAATATGAAAGCAACCAGAGGCGGGCATTCACATCATCGGAGTTCTGAGGACTGTCTTTGAAATGAGACTGCAAGGGCTCGAACGCGGATGTCAACAATTTATAATTGATATTGTTAGCGAGCCCATCCAATGTCCCTAGGTACGTTGGAAGATCTGGAATAGTCAAGTAGCTCTTTGCAAACCATTCATAGGCAGTGAGCGTCTCGGCAGTTATCGGTCGGAGCAATGCTAAAATAGTTTGAACGAGGTTATCTCTTGATAAAAGACACCTTGAGGAGATTGCATCTATATTTTTCGTGAGAGAAGCCATTACGGAGTAATATTCTTGGGCTAAGCGAGCCATTTGTTTCGGGATAAGGTCCGTCAAAAATATCAACAACTCGAGAAGAGGCCACAAGGCAATCGCTGGCACTGTCGGAGCGGTAGCTGAGTGCAGCACACGTAGAGTCAACTTTGCCAGGCGCTTCAGAGGTGTTGTCCACTCTCCTTCGGTTGCAATGGTGGGCACCTTGTGTAGGGTTTTCTGGAATGCCTTTGAAAAGTAGGCAAGTCGGAGGATATCACCGCTGTTCCGCGGCTCTAGGAACTGTACCAACAGCTGTAGCTGCGACAGGCACTCTGCTGCTGTAGCATAGTGAGGAGAACTCTGCATAGCATCGTGGGGCTTTTCATCGAATGATAGGGGCAGTTGCGACCTCTGTTGCTCAGTGACATCCCACTCTGCTCGCCATGCACTGCACGTTATCTTCCTACTTCGATAACCCCGCCATGTCCGCTGCACGATCCGGGTCGCGCCCAACCGTTCTCTCTCTTGTTGCCTTAGTAGGCGCTCTTGCTGTGCAACTGCCAGCGTATTCTGGGGCCCAGTGCCATGAGGGTGTTGTCTTCCGGAAGGAAACGCGGCGAAAGGGTTCGTATTGCGACCTCCGAGATTAACCTGCCGCGGACGGCGAGAGTTACCCGTGAATGACTGGAACATAGTCCGTAGCTTTGTTATTTCGCTCGGGCTTTGTAGATATTTAAAAGACCAGGTTCACCGGTTGAAAAGTCGCTGCAAATTATGAGAGGCAAGACAAGAGAGCCCCCATATCGCAAACGGGCAGAGTTGGCTTGAATCTCAAAGATGGTGGAAGTCCGATGAGTTGTTGTGCTATGACATACGGTTCTGAAAGAGCTTCCGAGTATTGCCACGTACTTTATGGCGGAAAGCATATATTGCCACGCACTTGAACGCCACCGAAACTTCCATCAGCAGGGTTTATAATGAATGGAATGAGTGAGAAGACCTACTTTGTTTAAGGAAGCGCTGTTACTACTTATACCTGTCTCCCAGGCGTCTCCCTCTCATTTATCGGTAAAGCAGAAGGACATCCCACTTGCCAGAGCATGCTTAGAGGAGTCTTGAGTCGGCCTTTCATACTAGTCCATGGCAGCAAAGACCGCCGAATGGGCATTCATCAGATCATCTAATTCATTTGGTATTCTGACAAAGTCTGTCTATACGACATGCTGAAGAAAGATAAATGAAGAGGCTGAGATGCAAAACCCATTAATGCGCCCGCAAAAGAGTATAAAAACTTCCAAGAGGTGTAGTGACAGTAGCCAGGAGGCATGGCTTGCTTCCCCGCCACTTGGTATCTTGTGCAAAAGTGTGAAGGTGGTTTTCCCCGAAAAGAGCATGTGCCTATCCAAATCACCAAACACCGCACATACAGTACAATATAATAATAATACAAAAGGGTCCAAATCAAGCGATGTAGGCGCGGGTAACTGCGATGCCTCATGTGATCCAGCGGTATGCGCAATCGAGAGCCTGAAGCGAGCTTGAAGATTTCTTCGTGCAGTCCTATGTGATGGTCTGCCTCAGCTTCCACCGATATCTCCCCAATCCTTGGATAAAATAGACTAGTGACGGGGTGTATCTTGTTCGAGTCGCTCCTGCTCAAGTACCTCCTGGCCATTGTCCGAAGCCCACATGTCAAGGTAGTCCTTCCCACCAAATGCTCGTTCAACTGTGATCAACTTGCTATCTTTCTCCATGTCTCTGGTGTATTTGGACTTTGTTGGGGACATGCGTTGCGTGACGAATGGGGTAAGCTGTAGTCAAATGTCAACTATTTCGGCCTGAGAACAATCTCGTGAAAACGATCAACCACCATACCTTAAATTCACCCAAGTTGTCAGGAACAACAAAGGTTCGGACTTTTTTCCAGTCGATCACATATGAGCCGTTCTTCGCGAAGTAACCCATCGCGCCGGTGCGGTTTCCTTTATAGTAGCCACCATTGACTTGCTTGGTCGTTAAGCGCAATCGCGCCATCATCGGTTGTGAAGGCTTGAACATTGTGGAGATGCTGTGAGCAATTGGCCAGCAGAACCTACTGGATGGATTTGCGGAGACGTGCAATGATACCAATGTCGGAGTCGGAGGAAGGATTTGAAAGTCGGCGGCGCTAAGGCCAACTTAGGTCCGTTATCCGCCAAGAACCTGAACTTTTTTTTTTTGATCTGCGGATAAGAAAAAAAAAAAAAATTAAAAGTAATTCCAACTACCACACTCCACGCTCTCACTAGTTGCGCGGTGCATACGAAGCTCTCAGGGCTATGGTTAAAATCGTGAATACACTATATGATCGTACCTCCTAATATTTATTTGAAGGTTCCGCAACAATGCCCCGCAAACAAACCCAGTTGCGCGGTCCACGAGACCAATCTTCTAAAAAGCAACCTCAAAAGAAAAAGTCTAGCAAAGCTTTGAATGCTCTTGCTATCGCAGAGGCCCAATTTCCCATCAAACCAAAGATTCGACGAAACCGTTTAGGCGATGATGATGATTTATTCAAGCGGAAGCGGCATTCCGGTCGCGACATGGACGATTCAGACGAGCCCGATAACAAGCGTCGTCGGACAGGTGACGAGTCATCCGATTTAAGTGAAAACGGCGGCAGTGACGGGGAAGGCCATAAGTGGAGGATTGGGGAAGTCGATAGTGACAATGATAGCGAGCTGGACAGTGATGAGGCCATGGGCTCTAGTGACGAGGAAAGATTTGAAGGCTTCAGTTTCCGGGGAAGTTCTTCGGCTAAACCGAAGCGAAAGGCCCCCGAACCAAAGAAACGTGGTCGCCAGATTAACTTGTCCGAAGATGTAGAAGAATCCGAAGATGACGAAATAGACGAAGAGGAAGATGATCTTGGTGAAGATGCAGTGGATTTGACTACAGCTTGGGATATGAATACAGCAGAAGAGGAAGAAGCAGAAAAGCGGAATTCCTCGAAGGCGAAGAGAGCAGCCGAGGAATCTGATGATAATGACCACTCAGAGGAAAGCGATTCCGAAAGTGACGAGGACGACGACGATAGCAGTTTCGGTGATGAGAGCGAGCTGGAGCTCTCTGACAACGAGGACACTGGTAATGAACACGGTCTTTCGAAACTGCAAGATTTTGTCAACTCTATGGGGACAGAGTCTGCTAAGAAGTCAGCGCGCAAAACAAACGGCGGGCAGGAACATCGCAATCCAACGGAATTCGGATTGTCGTCTACACGGAAGTTGACTGTGGCCGACCTTTTGCCCTCTATTACAGACTCGCGCTTGAAGAGCTCCCTGAAACATGTGGATTCCGATATTTCTATACACAAATCGTCCGGCGTTCCTGGAAAATTAGATGCTCCTCTTGCAAAGCGTCAACAAGACCGGCTGGACCGAGCTGCCGCGTATGAGAAGAGCAAGGAAACCTTGGATCGCTGGCTAGACACTGTTAAGGCAAATCGCAGGGCGGAACACCTTATGTTTCCCCTTCCCGATCCTGAAGGCAATCAGACGCACCGCCTAGGTGCCGCAGAGCCCCGAACGGATCTCGAAAGCACTATCCAAAATATTCTAGTTGAGAGCGGTTTGGCAGAAGCCAACGGCAAATCAGCTGAAGACCAGGTACAGGAATTCGAAGAACTACAAGCGCGAAAACTGCCTATTGAGGAGATTCGGGCGCGCCGAGCAGAGCTGCGGAAACGACGTGATCTGCTTTTCCGAGAAGAAGTGCGAGCCAAACGGATCAAGAAGATCAAGAGCAAGTCATACCGTCGTGTGCATCGGAAAGAGCGAGAGAAGTTGGAGCAACAGGAAAGGCAGGCCCTTCTCGAGGCTGGTGTGGACATTGATGAACAAGAGCGAGAGCAAAACGAACGGCGCAGAGCAGAGGCGAGAATGGGCTCAAAACATAAGGAGAGCAAATGGGCTAAGAGCCTCAAGCAGACGGGTCGGACTGCATGGGATGAGGAAGCCCGACTTGGTACAGCTGACTTGGCCTTGAAGGAGGAGGAGCTACGGCGACGAATCGAAGGAAAGCGTATATCGCATGGGGACGAAGACTATCTGGGTTCGTCCAGTTCAGAATCTGAGGATGATGATCCTTGGAACGAAGAAAATAGCTCTGATGCAGAGAAGCGCAAACTTCGTGAGAAGCTAGATAAGCTTGAACATGGCAGTGACGTCGAATCAGAAATGAAGGGTCCTCACTCCAAGCTGCTTTCGATGAAATTCATGCAGAACGCGGAGGCTGCGCGCAAAGCGCAGAACGACGCTGAAATCCGACGTCTCAATCGTGAACTCCATGGAGAAGAATCCCAGTCAGAAGCCGAGTCTGAGGTTGGCCGACGTAAATTTGGTCATTCTAAGGATTCGAAGTCGGCCACAGTGAGCAAATCATTTTCTCACGCTCGTAATGAGTTCGAAGAGGCCCCTGGATCAGATGATGAAGATGTTCGAGCTCCCGAGGTAGAACATGATGTTGACATTGTAGTCAACCGGCCTGACAAGAGAAACCCGGCAGGGTCTGATAAGAGGTCTCGCACACGTGGTATATCTGGGTCATCCAGCCAGAAAGAAGATGTTGCTGAAGATGAAAACCCCTGGTTGATTCAGACGAGTAGGAACAACCGTCGAACAACGGCGGATGATTCACAGCAAGGGCTTGACATCACTGTCGATGGAGGGAAGCCTGATAACACAAAGTCCAAGTCCATACCCAACAATCAGAAAGAGAAGCCGGCCATACCTCCCAAAAAGCAACATATGGACGAGGGCGATGATAGTGATGATGACGGCAACGTGCCCGTGCTTCTCAAGAACCATGACCTCGTTAAGAGAGCATTTGCTGGGGATGAGGTTGTGCAAGACTTTGAACAAGAGAAAAATGACACTATCAAGGAGGAAGATGACCAAGTGATTGATAATACCTTGCCAGGTTGGGGCAATTGGGCGGGTGATGGCATCAGTAAAAAGCAGCAGAAGCGACAGAAACGATTCCTTACCACTGTTGAGGGTGTGAAGCCTGAGAACAGAAAAGACGCCAAACTCTCCCGCGTCATAATCAACGAGAAACGGGTCAAGAAGGTAAGACATCTCATGCTGAGGCAATGTGCCATTACCGGTGGATCATCGGATGCTAATAATTCACTTCTCCATCTAGAACAACAAATATTTGGCCACTCAGCTCCCTCACCCCTTCGAGTCCAGACAACAGTACGAGAGATCTCTCCGTCTGCCGATTGGCCCCGAGTGGTCGACGAAGGAAACTTTACAGAACGCAACCAAGCCTCGTGTGATGATCAAACAGGGCATCATCAAGCCGATGGAGAAGCCTATGGTTTAAGCGCAATACGTTGGCTACAGGACGGCTGTTGGCGTACGAAGTGTAATTGGCGGTCGCTGACACCCGTTGGCCCTCTATTCTACTTGTCATTTCTGTCTTTTGGTGTGTTAATAATAAGACTGCAGGGCGTATATCACGATGCAGAGTCAGTCGATTAAATGGCCACCAAGAAAGAAAAGAGTTATGATTCCCATTTGGCTTTGCATTTGGCGATAAAAGTTGAAGTCTATGCCCCCCCCCCCCTGTAGATATCCGGTGTATAGACCGCGATGACAATCATTGTGAAGCTCCTTGTGAAATTGCTTATACAGTCCCTAGCACTTAGTAGTAAGGCACCTACGTTGGAAGGCGGTATTGAGCCCTATATCAATGATAGTGGGACGAGTGATCGGGTCGGGTGAGCTCTTGCCTGCCTGAGGCGTCTGTCCGTCAGGCGCCACGAGCGTCATCTGTACTTCGTCGTGTAACGCCTCGATTTCTATGTAACATAACCCCAACACTTTAATTTTTACCTTGTAAGGGAATTGGTGGAGACCGACCTTCGTGGTCGGCCACATGGACGGTCAAGTCGATCAACTGCAGAATTTCGGAAACGGCCCCGTGTATCATATCATTTATTCATCGCCTTCCCCAACAGAACTATTGGAATGCACCTCACGACACCCTTCATTGTTATCGTTCTTCATGGAAAAAGTCCGGTATAGTATTGGGCCCTGCAGACCTTCTGAAGAATATCCAAAGACTCACGTGTGTTTGCAGTCACGACCAAGAATCGAGAGTATTTTAGTCGCCTAGTTTGCTCCACATCTGCTCCCGCTTCCTTCAACAACATGCAAGATAATTCAAACCCATGCATCCCACCATCAAACTCGTATTACTATTGACTTGAACCCAATCAGGCGATCTAATTTATCATTTAGGTAAGTCATCTAGCATACTCAATACATACCCGCGGGTGGGGAAAGATGCGTGGCAGAACACGAATCTCACTGCAGCATAACGCGGGTAGTAGTTGGATCGGCGCATTCCATTGTTGACTCCTACATTGCTCTTCCTATTTGGGCGGCCACCAGGATTATTTGTTTTCACTCCCTATACTAACATTCATGTAGATCGGCATTCTCGTTACACATCGCAGACAACACACTGCAGACAGCTGTGTCATCTGGTATCCCTTTACACGGTAACGGAGTTGTCTGCTCGGACTTGTCAACATTCTTGCTAGGTACGAGTGGAATTTAGCTATATTCCTGGGGTAAGCCATATTTACATTATGAGTGCTCTTAATATCCTCATGCGTGGCCTTCTCGTTCTGGGACTTTATTTGCTTCTCTTGCCATTGTCTTTTTTTCTTCTATATCCGCTCAACATCAGGAGCCTGGGCTGCCGTATACTTTGGGTGATCTTTTTGAGCTCCTACGGGTTTCATGGTCAACTTTGATAGCTACGACTAGGGTTACTGCTAAGTGCCTGTGACTACTTGCTGTCTTGGGAGCTTTGTGTCCGGTGAACTTATGTGGATAATTGTGTCCTTTTAAGGGTTCCTGGATCTATAGCAAAGATACCCCATTACGGGACGTGCAAAAAGAACTCCAGGTCTATTCTTGTTTCAATACCAGCCCACTGTGATTGCTCTTCCATTTGTCTATCTTGCTATTTGCCTGTTTTTGCATATCTAGTCATTTTGATATATGTTCGTCGGGCTACGTCGGTTGTGGCGCATTCAAGATGCAGTCGAGATCTAGATGGCAGTCTGCGTTCATACTAACCGGGCTACTTGTTGCAGAAACGGTACATTCAGCCCCAACATCTACGCAAGAAGCGGCCACTTCCTTCAAGACTCAGTACCCTCCGTCTGCTGCAAACGCCAGATTACTGCTGCCCGAGACGCAAGGTGTAAGCGCATACAAACCCGTTGGCGATGTACCTACTTACGTTAAACAGTTCTACCCAACCAGCCTTGAGCGAGAAGGCCGTCAATTGCAGAAGCCCACTCCGGATCCTAGGGAGGACCCCTATAGATTCGCCAGTGGTTTTGACGACTTATATGGCCCTTTGCTAGGAGCATTAATTCCCAACATATTACCCACTACTTCAGACGCACCTGCTACCCCTCCAGCAACGACACCTGTGCCATCTGCCACATTACCTTCGCAGGAAACAATAAACGGGCCTCCAGAGGCGACTTCAACCCCTACTACTGCTCCAACTCGCATCTCAGTTCCCGTACCTACAGATTCGAGTAGCACAAGTAGCCTCACGAGTCACTCAGCTGAGCCTCAAGATACTTCTACCTCCGTTGAGTCAATCTCAGCAAGCAGCACAATCATGGCGACAATGGCCAACGGTCAAGATGTGTTTCTGCCACTATCTACCGGCCCAATTCCCGGAACAGTGAAGTCACGGAATGACCACCCACTCCCAAGGGCGTCTATAGTAAGACTCCCCCAGTACATGAGGCTTTGTATCCAGCTTAACTTTGTCAGATGAACAACACGGACCCAATTGAAACAAACAAGTTCTATGCCGGATTGTTCCTAGGAACTCAAACCAATACAACCTTCACACATCCATATGGGATTGCGTGGGCAAAAGGGAACGGAAATGCGAAAAGCTACGGCATGGCTATCTCGCATATTGAGGCAGATAAGCTTGCTTTGGGGCCGAAAAACGACAAAATACCAGGCAGCCCAGTTCAATATTACGTGAACCCTATTGGTATCCAGTCTATTATATTATCGGCAACGGAACTGGGGGGCTCTACTGTGCTTATGACAGAGAACCCTCTGCCATTCTCGGCGAACGCTGTCTTGCAACCCCAAAGTGGATCATCCGAAAGGATCACTTTTCCCGTGGTACAGGGCATGGGGTTTGTCACCGGGATATATTCCAACCTTCAGCCCGTCATTCAAAGCAGTGTTTTCTTCAACAAAGTAGTCTCTGCTGGCTCTCCAAGGCCTGGTATTTTCAAATATACCGTGGACCTTGCAGATGGGACCAATTGGCTTCTTTACCTAACTTCAGCTGATGGGAAAGATCCAAATCTCCATCTCGAGTCCACTACCAACCTGCGTGGGCCTCCTGGCTGGTCAGGAACAGTGCAAGTGGCCAAAAACCCGGCAGGTACGCTGGGAGAGAAACTATTCGACAATTCATCGGGTGTCTATGCCACACAAGGTTGGGTGAAAGGTGCTGTGTCCGGTCAGATGGGCACATACAGCCTCACGTGGGAGAAGGAGGGCAAGGATAAAGACGGTACCCCATTGATGATGTATGCTCTGCCGCACCACGTCGAATCATTTGATAAAACTACCCAGGACCGCCTGACAAATATCACGATGCGCACAACCACAAAGGGCAATGCAACAGCAGTGATCGGGGAATCTTGGTCAATGGTGGAACAAGATCTACCTATTGGTATGGGATTTGCTCCGTGGTCTGTGTCCGCCGGCAGCGTCGACACAATTTCTGCAGCGGCCCAAAAGGTTATCATAGATGTGGCACCAACAGAGCTCCGGCAGGATGTCGGCAATCAGTCCAACCTGAATAGCATGTACTTCAGCGGTAAAGCTCTCAGCAAATTCGCTACCCTCGTATACGCCGTGGACAAACTGGGTGGCAAGCCCGACCTTGCAGCCCCTGCTCTCCAGGACCTAAAGACAGCCTTCGCTCGGTTTATCGATAACAAGCAGCAATTTCCCCTAGTGTACGACAATGTATGGAAAGGAGTAGTGTCTTCTGCTAGTTATGATGGTGGTGATTCCGGGGCTGATTTCGGAAACACATATTACAATGATCACCATTTTCACTACGGCTATTTCATCCATGCCGCTGCAATTATCGGGTCACTCGATCCATCTTGGATCCAAGGCAACAAAGAATGGGTCAATATGCTTGTCCGTGATGCAGGAAATGCCGCTACCAATGATCCACTTTTCCCCTTTTCGCGCGGGTTCGACTGGTTCCACGGTCATTCATGGGCTAAAGGGCTTTTTGAATCCTTCGACGGGAAAGACGAAGAGTCGACATCGGAAGATGCGATGTTTGCTTATTCTCTAAAGATGTGGGGTAAGACTATCGGGGATGCCAGTATGGAAGCAAGAGGGAACTTGATGCTGGGGATTTTGAGACGGAGCCTACATAATTATTTCCTGATGGAGGCCGACAACAAGAATCAACCCCCGGTCTTTATTCCTAATAAAGTGACGGGCATAGTAAGCAATGGACCTATGATATCACAAGGGACATACTAACGCCGACATAGTTGTTCGAAAACAAGGTAGACCACACTACCTACTTTGGAGCCAACCTAGAATATGTTCACGGGTATGAACGTCTTGTCCATCTATCTCCGCGCGTGGTTTCTTTCAATCACCTAGAATCAAGAGGCTAATGTGCTGGATAGGATTCACATGCTGCCGCTCTTACCTGTCTCGTCATATGCGCGTAGCCAAAAGTTCGTCAAGGAAGAGTGGGATGCCATTTTTGCAACCAATGCTGCGTCTCCGGCCGAAAATGTGCAAGGTGGATGGAAAGGGGTCTTGTATGCCAACCTTGCCCTTATCGATCCAGTTTCAGCCTGGAACTTCTTCGCACAACCGAACTTTGACTATAGCGCGATCGATGGAGGAGCAACACGGACTTGGTACCTTGCGCTTGCTGCAGGTGAGTTAACTACTCATTCTTCAGGGCTCATTAGCATCACTAACGGCGTATAGGACTCGGCGGCGCATAGAGTGTTCAAACCATGGGGTTCAATGAATGAGTTAATCTAGCATCAGTCCTCGCAATTATTAGGACGGGGCGGTATAGCATGTTCAGCAAGGTTCGAGGTCGGTATCTTCGTGTTAATGCCGAATCTAGTTGAGCGATAACATTTGTGTATATTTAACGTCCTCACAGCACAGCAGTAGCTATAGATATCAATTTTAGTGCCTTTTTTCCAAGGCTCGTGAGACATCTCTGTGGTCGTCGCTAAAGGTTCCTTTTCTCCGCATCGCAGGCAGGTTTACTCAATCCGAGAAGTCTTGCTTCAGGTGGCGGCTGAGCAAACCCTGATCTACTCACTACGTATGGGATCTTTTTGTTCATAACCCGCCAATTGATCGCCCAAGTTTTCAGATGCGATGTGGGAGAGCTGTTCCGCCGGGTATGAGCAAAATATCGACGGATTTGGTGTGGTAGAGTAGGTTCTTGCAGGCCGTTCACCAATTAAGGCTAGTAACTCTGCGGTGTGATAGAGTACTAAGTCCTGCTAAGCATGCATGTATGTAATTTGTAGCCAGCCACGAATATCTAGAGGGGAGAGTGCGCCACACCGAACTTTCAATCTCACATATCGTGTGGCGATGACGTGGATTAGAGGAATTTACAATTTACACCAACCAGGGCTCTGTCTGTAAAATATCATAGATCTTCTCTATATTATATAAATATATGTATGAATCTCGTCCTGGGTACGGAGGTGGTACTTTTACGATTGCACAAAGATAGTACATACATACATACATACATACATACATACAGTGCATACTCCGTACATACGCATATATCTAACTATCTACGGATACTCGGAGACTAAAATACGGCAAGAAGTGGGTGGAGACATAATTGTGGCAGTGCTCAGTCTTGGCGGGTATCTCGAGGATCAGGGATCCATGGGCTTTATGAGTGGGCACTGAGAACAGCACAAGTTTCAGCGCAGTCATTGTGTGTCGCATGGGGTGGGGGTTTCCAGTTGATACATCGAAAATTACTTACAGAATCGGTTATAATTCAATACCCAATACTACATTACTACTTACTTTGTATCTGTACTGAGTACTAGTACTAATTGACCCTCGGGTACTCCGTAATGATTAATCACGACCTTCTGGGAGCTCCTGCCACTAAGCCCAAAGAAGGAATGAAGCTTTTTCCTGCATGGGGCCCACTTACGGGAAATACGTACTACTACCAGTAGTACTAAGAGAATGGACAGAGTTATGTTATGTTAGTTGTTCATCTTGACCAAAAGTTTCCTGTCGAGCTCATACAATCATCTCTCTCGACCAACAATTGAAGGATTCCCAATCGGAGACTTACAACCGATCATCAACCATTTCATCCTTTGGGCATCAAGGTTGAATAGTAAGGAATAGTCCCAGCGTGCACCAACGTCATCATTTTTTTTCGAGAACCACCATCCACCCCCCAACCTTCATCCCATCCCCTAGATTAAAAAGCCTGGGATTGCTGCCCAGACCTCCTAGTCCAGATCTTAACCCTCGAAGTGTCCGAATCTCGCGTTCCTTGACCTCGTCTAGCAACCACTAATGAACTACTACCCAATCGCCTGCTAAGAAATTCCAAGATAGTGGCCACCTTTAGCTTCCCACAAACCATCCCTGACCGTTTCAATCACCACAGATTGAGGCTGTGCACGTCTCGGGAACAAGAAGCTGGAGCCAATTCGGTTCTGGCACCAAATTACCCCATCGTCTTAGCTTTGTCCGATCAACTTCCAGCCACCGCTGGTACAGCCATTGAGAGAGGGCAAAACTCTTTTCTGGAATTCAAAACTCCGCACGGCCCTTTATTATCTCCTTGTCCACCGGTCCATGGTTGTGGCTGCTGTCCCTAGTACAACCCTTCCTAGCTCTTTAGTTTTCTTGGCCTCTCACGCTCTCTGGTCGAGCTTGGTGAAGAGCAAAGTCTAAATCCTGGAAGAAAATTCAGGGATAAATTACTCGAGAGTCTTGACACGGTTCTACAGCGATATCGTCACCCGACAAGCCACACAGCACAACGTCACCTCCACCCGGATACGTTGCTGCTCCATTAAGTGCGCCAAATTTTGAACGGTTCTTCACCTAATCCCGTGCCAAGTTCCCAAGAAATTGTCGATATCTTGCGACTCTCAATCTCTCTAATAATTGCGGGTTGTGGTGCCGAACTGTCACCACACCACTAATCAAATGGGTAGGTGGAAACTCATTCCTCCATCCTTTTCTTCTACCATCAATTCTGTTTTAACTACTATGTTATTCTCTCACACTACCCACTTGTGATTCCTTCATTTTTCAAATACTTTCGTCAATCCCACGTCCTCCTACCTCTTCAATTTACGATTGTAATCTCTGGAGATACAATTATTCCATTCAACAGTGTGTTTGCCCTCCTGTCCCAAATCCGAGTCGTTGGTGTTTCTGTATAATTTTCCCCTCCATATTTTTATTTCCTTTTCCCCCCTTCACCCCCTCAATGAGTGGATTCCTTTGTTTTCATCCCTTTGTGCTCCTATAGTCTGGGATTTTTACGTTATCTCTGTCAATGTTACTTCATCTTTCGTGGTCGTTGGTCCCTGAACTTGAAGGATTGCGCCCACCATCGGAGAAACGTGAAGATGAGGTCAGGCTAATTCAAGTTCACGAAATTCTTGTACAGCGCCGAAAAATTTCCGTACAAGTTTCCGAAGTCACACCTGGGGTTCGAGAAGAAGCATGACTGGCGGCTCTCAGAATGGCTCTAGGGAGCCCAACGAAAGAGATGCCCTGATCGGTGACACTATTCGAGCCAATTCCGGCCTTGTTCCACGCCATAAACCCAGGGCGTGGGCGTACTGGCCGGTAAGAGTCGTCCACTTGACATGGGCTACCCTTGTACGAGACTATGTCAATCTCCTCCTAGTGTTTGTGCCATTTGGCATTATTGCTGGCGCTCTTGGCTGGGATAGTACGGCTGTTTTCACACTGAACTTCCTAGCAATCGTGCCGCTGGCATCTCTGTTGAGCTTCGCGACCGAGGAGCTAGCAGCTGCGATGGGTCAGGCACTAGGCGGATTAATGAATGCTACCTTTGGCAATGCTGTGGAATTGATTGTAAGTCTCATCCTCTATAACTGGGCCTTTCTCTGGTCTTAGACTAACGGTTTGGGGGATGGTAGGTTAGCATCATTGCCCTGAAAGATAAGCAGATCCGTGTCGTTCAGGCTAGTATGCTCGGTAGTATACTCTCTAATATCCTACTGGTGCTAGGATGCTGCTTCTTTGTTGGGGGTCTTCGTTACTCTGAACAATCCTTCAACACCACGGTGGCATCGACCATGTCGTCACTGATGACCGTTGCATCTGCTTCTTTGATCATCCCCGCGACCCTTTACGCATCTCTGTCTTCAGCCGGTGATGGTGCTAACAGAGACAAGAATATTCTCATTCTATCACATGGCACTGCTATCATTTTGCTGATTCTATATGTGATGTACCTTTATTTCCAACTCAAGTCACACGCGGCGTTCTTTGAGGAAACCACCCCCGACCCGGAAAGTCCAAGCGATGATGTGCCGGAAGAGGAGGAAGAGCATATCCTTTCCCCTTGGGCTGCCTGCGTTGTCTTGGTTGTGGTGACAATCCTCGTCGCCGTATGTGCCGATTACCTTGTTGGCAGCATTGACCCTATCGTGGAAAAGACTGGTATGAGCCGAACCTTCATTGGTCTGATCCTCATTCCCATCGTAGGAAATGCTGCAGAACATGTGACAGCGGTTGTGGTCGCTTGGAAAGGAAAGATGGATCTTGCCATTGGGGTTGCCATCGGCAGCAGCCTGCAGATCGCTCTGTTTGTCACGCCCTTCCTCGTTATTCTGGGCTGGATCCTGGATGTGGATATGACTCTCCACTTCCACATCTTCGAAACCGTCGCGTTTTTTATCTCCGGCTTAGTTGTAACATTCCTGATCCAGGATGGAAAGTCAAACTATCTTGAAGGCGGCTTGTGTCTGGGAATGTATGTGGCGATTGTCCCTTCTACTTGATTTCACTAACGCACTTCTTTAGGTATGTGATTTTGGCTCTGGCATTCTATGTATACCCAGATCAGGCCACCGACGACGCCTTGTTTCACACATAAATACGCGCCTTAGTGTGGACTGTGATAAGGTCCTTCCTCCTTCCGCTTGTTCATCTCTACCGTTTCACGAGATGTGAGGATACGACGAGAACAAAGACGGATTACATTAGCTACCCTATTAAATTACCTATGCGACTCTCCTGTCCCTCCTTTTTGTTTCATTTTTGTTGTAATTCATCCTTGGATGCTTCCTGGGTTACCATCTAATCTTTTCGTACGGTATCCAGAGGACTTGTACTGCGGGTCAGTCACTTTGACCTATATGGCTGCGTGTCTCGCCGGAAAGCGGCACATTCGATTTGGTCGTGCTGGGTGGCTTTCTCTTTGTCTGGCCTTAAACTCTCTTGGTCATATTGAGTCAGGCCAGGTCATGGTATCGTTGGACACAGCAAATTCTGATGCTTCAGTTAAGTCTGTATAATATTAAGATCTTAGGCTTTGGCATTGAGAGAATAGGATAAAATAACGAATTTATACAATCCTGTAAACGAAAGACTGGGGTTCTGTCAAATGTTCTTGATTTGTTTATTCTCTTGATATGACAAACATTGTTACTTGGAACTGTATGACTTCATCATCTTTTCATGAGCCTGTCGATTCTTGGCGGGTGATGACTAAGCGCTCGTGGAGAGGAAAATCGTTCGCCGAATTCCCAAAGCAGAGGGTGAGCGAGACCATCGTCGGTTCAGCCATAGCCCACCCTTTTTTGACTCCAGCTCAGCATTAGAAGAGCGCGTTTCGGCATGCCGCCCCGTCTCAACCTTTTCAACGCGAGGACTGCTGTGCCGGTCTTTCGCCAAACCTCTGTCAGCGTTTCCCGGCCCAATATCGCTACTACTATCAACGGCAGCCGATCCACCCACCATGGCTTGAAGACTGGCTTGTCGTCTTCGATGCGAATGCAGAAGAGATGGAATTCCTCAGCGTCCGGGGGAGACAACTCGGAGCGACCAAAGGCTCCCACAGAGGACCCGTTACCTCACGTTAGCGAGGAGGCCGCGGAGATAAGCAAGATCATGGACAAGAAATGCGATGGCACTCCCGCCAGTCCGGAGTTGGAGCAAGGAACGCCTATCTCAGAGGTAAGCCGTCTCGGTGTGATCTCTCTATACGTCTATTGTTTCCGTTGATGGGGAATCGGACAATCCTCTTAACTTTTTCTATGTAGATTCTCCAACGGGACAAAGAAGCCCGGAAACATATGCCCAAGGTCATGCAGGACCAGATCAAATCATCGACTGGTACTCGGTCGTTCTCGACATCCACCCGCCGGAGCCAGACCGAACTACATGGCCAAGGAAAGGGCTTCGATGAGCAAACTGCCGCAGTGATGGCCAGCATGATCTCTCAGGTCAACCAGCAGGCTGAGGAACTTCATGATGGGATCAAGTTTGACCCTGTCGAGACCCTTCCCAAGACAGAGAACTTCCGCACAAGATATGACTCGCTGCTCGAACAATTTACCAAACTCTTAATGACGGATGGCAAGCTGAGTAGGGCCCAGAAGGTACGTGAAACCCTTGGGGGGTATTAAATCATTGCTCTACAGTTACGTACAAGATATATGGTAAAGATACTAAGCCGTATTGTTGTGCAGGATATGGCGTTCATTCTGGACCACCTCCGGACTGCTTCTCCGCCTCAGCCCAACCCTAAGCGGCCTCTGCTTCCTGGACCCCCCGCCCCGCAGCTTCCACTGAACCCCGTCCTATATCTCACCTTGATTGTCGACTCTGTTGCTCCTCTGATCAAGATTCGCCAGCAGAAAGGTATCGCCGGTGGTGGTGCGTCGGTGCAGATTCCGGTTCCGCTCGCGCTGAGACAACGCCGCAGGACAGCGATTAAATGGATTATCGATGGCTCTGATAAACGACGTGACAGCAAGTTTGCCCAACGGGTAGCCAACGAGCTGGTTGCGGTTGCAGAAGGCCGCAGTGGTGTGTGGGACAAGAGAGAGCAACAGCACAAGCTCGGTATCGCAGGCCGATCGAATCTCGGCATGGTCGCCGGTGGTCGTCGGTAGACTGCCTTACATGCATACAAACAGACGCAATGACAGGCTGGGCATTACAATTGCGAGTATTCCGGCATTGCATCCAATGAGATTTTTCTTTGTCTCTCTCTTTCTTCTTTTTGGGAATTAGATGGAAGATGCGGGATCTGTTTCCTTTCTGTATTTTATTATGGGACTTTTTCAAGCACCTGATGCATCTGTATAGGTAGTTTTTTCATATTTATTATTGATCATAGTGAAAGTCAGTCTTGTGGTTTATCAATTCACCATGGTGGCTTCAAGTTTGTAGAGGTACATGTATGTACTAATATATTTTCGAGCGGTCTCGGCTCGGCTGTGGAAAAGTCCACGTAAGGTAACTGTGCAGATGCTGTGTCCCTAGTAGTAAGCACAACTGTAGGTGGTCAAGTGATGACACTACAAGTGACAAATACTTGGGAAGGACAAGTTGGAGAGCGTCATGACTTGGATGACACGTCAAGTCCAACATATCGGTTCCCTCGCAGCAAAAGGGAATCCTTTCTCGTAATATGCATGGCATTCTATGGGTCAAATTCATTTGGTTATCGGAACTGGAACGCTTTACCTTTTCCAGGTCGATTATTCGTCGACTGACTAAAACGGATGACGAGGAGGCTAACCCTGATTGAGCAATCTCCTTGTCAGCTGCAGGAACGTGACTTTCATCTCGAGAATCCTTTTATGGTCGGGTCTCTTCCCGCAATCTCAATCTCTCGTGTGAACTCAAGAGGAGGAGCAAACGATAGTTCCTTCTTGACGCTATGGTACTACATTAAGTATCGATGTATGTTCTGTCTGGTCCCCCCGACATCGCTATCGCTATACATATTCTCCGACGTACAACGTGTGATGGGATTCACTATTCACTAGTGTGCCACCGAACACTTCAAGCGGCCTAACACCCGCACAACATTGGACAGCGAATCCCATCCCCTCCCCTTGCTCGGTTCCTCTTTACCCTGTCCACCGTGTCGTCGCATGCTGGTGGGCCGAAAGTGGCACGCATCGCTTCTGCGACCAGTGCCTCACACGACGATATCGACGTGATCACTCGCCCCCGCTTATCTGGCCAGGATATCGAGCTCGTGGAGTATCTTGTCCCACCCTCCACCTCAACCAGGGCCTGGCAGTCACACATCGGATCTCAGGGATTTGATTCTCGACCGATCGGTCAGCGCCGATCACTTGATCGTACTTCTCAAACGGGAACGCGCGAGCATTCGTATCCAAATTCCCGCAAAACTAGTCAGCACGTCCAGTGGGACAAGCCAATTCGCCTCAAGTATTGGGTAGAGGCGCTTCATCGTCGCTCGCAGTTTCCGGAACCCCAGTCCAAGATGAAGTTCTCCCACAGTATCCAATTCAATGCGGTTCCCGAATGGAGCTCGTATTATCTTGCATACAGCAACCTCAAGAAATTGTAGGTCTTCATAACCTCCCTTTCCCCCTCCCCCTCATGCTGGCTCAATTGCCATGTCTGTCTCCCTTTTCTTCTACCTTATGTTCGGGGCCAGAAATAGAGCTACTTGCCGGCGGGGATCACTTTGCATGCAAGGGGGGGCGCAAATGTCACATTACACCCGGGAAATGTTGCGCTTCTTTGATCTAAAAGAAATTACTCGTGTGGATTGCTCACTGTGTTTTCTATATTCTAGGATCTACTCTCTGGAACAGCAAGTCCGCAAAGCCAGTGGGCAAGCTCAAGCTGATGTTGAGTCGGCTCCATTGCTAGATAGTACTCCGAATACCGATGCGATATTTCGGAAGGCTCTAGACGCAGAGCTAGAGAAAATATGCACTTTCTACCAGGACAAAGAGCTAGAGATCCTCAAGGAAGTCGAAGAGGTGATTAGAGATGCGGAGGAGTATGCTTCGGAGGCCGATGGCATCAATGTGGACCCAATGAGCGAGCATATGACCAAGACAAGGACGATGAGTTCCAGCTCTCGGCGGCGTTCAGGAAATGGGTATCATGATTTCCCACTAAATCATGATCGGCGCCGTAGCAGTGTTACCGAGTCCGTTGTGGATGATGATGACGACGACGCCGATAGTGACGACGAGCGTCTGTCGGTACAGAACGGCCGACGCCTATCTCACGCTGCCGGGTCTGCTATTCCTGATGATGGTCGTACGGACTACATGGGCGAATCTGGCTATATGGGGGATTCGAGGGCCTGGAGATCTAACAGGGCTCAGGTTGAGCATTTCGGTGACCCAAAGGTTCTAGATCTGTACAATTCTGGGCTTTCTCTGAAGAAACGGGCAGTGGACGCATACGTCTCTCTTTGTGGGCTAAAGTCATACATTCAGCTGAATAAAACCGGGTTCTCAAAGGCTTTGAAGAAGTACGATAAGATCCTTGACCGCAGCTTACGACGGGAGTACATGAACTCAATCGTCTCCTTGGCTTATCCCTTCACTGAGTCGACCATGTCAAGGGTGGAAGCGGATATCCGCAAGATCGAGAAGGTCTACGCGGATGTCGTGACGACCGGCGATTTGTCGCTCGCAAGGCGTGAGCTTCGGCTGCACCTGAGGGAACATGTAGTCTGGGAGAGAAACACGGTCTGGAGGGAAATGATTGGTATTGAAAGGAAAGCACAAGCTGCAAACGTCGGTATACGCAGAACTCTCCTTGGGGGAGACGAGGATCCCGCAGCTGCACGACGACAGGGCGACGAGCAGGAGATTTCTCTCACAGAGTTCAGGACGCCTCTGGGCGTCTTCCATCCTCCACAGTGGCTATGCAGCTTGAGTTTTGGTACTTTGGTTCTCGTCTTAGCTGTTTTTGTGACATTACTCTCAGTTCCGATAATGGACAAGCCTGAGCAGCAAAACTGTTTGGCCATGCTTATCTTCGTCAGCTTGTTATGGGCCACAGAGGTAAATAATGTTCTCTGCTACCTCATACTACTTTACTGACGGAGTACACAACCACAGGTTATCCCTCTTTTTGTGACTTCTCTCCTGATCCCTTTTCTTGTTGTCCTGCTACGCATCATGAAATCGGAAGAGAAGCCTTACAAACGCCTGGGACCTAAAGAAGCCACTAGTGCTGCATTCAGTGCCATGTGGACTCCAGTGATAATGCTCTTGCTTGGCGGATTCACTATCGCCGCAGCCTTGTCCAAATACGACATTGCTCGTCGGATGGCAATGTTCGTTTTGAGCAAAGCTGGATCCAGTCCCCGTGTGGTCCTTCTCACGAACATGTTTGTGAGTATGTTTTTGAGTATGTGGATTAGCAACGTGGCTTCGCCCGTTCTCTGCTATTCGATCATCCAGGTAATTTTGGTCCCTATCCTTCCACTGCGTTATTGCTAAACTCAGCGTTTTCAGCCTTTGCTTCGGAACCTTCCCCCAGATTCAAACTTCGCTAAAGCTCTCGTGTTGGGAATTGCCCTGGCTGCGAACGTCGGGGGCGCTGCCTCACCAATCGCGTCACCACAAAATATCATTGCGCTTCAGAACATGCACCCGAGTATCAGCTGGGGTACATGGTTCTTTGTATCACTCCCCGTCTGTATTATCTCCATCCTGCTGATATGGGCCCTTTTGGTGTTCACATTTCACCCCGGTCGTGGCACCACACTTGTGCCCATTCGGCCAGTTAAGGATAAGTTTTCTGGGGTTCAATGGTTCATCAGCATCGTGACTCTGTCTACCATTGCCCTGTGGTGCGGTAGTCATCAGCTTGAGCATGTCTTCGGGGATATGGGCGTAATAGCCATCATCCCGATGGTCCTGTTCTTCGGAACCGGCATTCTCAACAAGGAAGATTTCAACAACTTTCTTTGGACCATTATCATCCTGGCCGCTGGGGGCCTTTGTCTTGGAAAGGCTGTTACTTCTTCCGGTTTGTTACACACTATCGCAAATGGCATTACCGCCCGTGTAGAACATCTCAGTCTCTATGGCGTCCTGATTGTGTTCTCCGTCTTGATTCTTGTTATGGCGACATTCATCTCTCACACTGTTGCGGCACTTATTATTTTGCCTCTCGTCCGACAGATCGGCGTCGGCATGGAGGACCCCCACCCCAACCTGTTGGTGATGGCTAGCGCCCTTATGTGCTCTGTTGCTATGGCTTTGCCGACCAGTGGTTTCCCTAACATGAGTATGTTCTCCTTTTAAGGTTTTAATGAAAAGTTTTTGCTAACATCATCTTAGCCGCTATCATGACCGAGGTCCCTCAAACAGGCCAACGATACCTCAAAGTCCACCACTTCTTTACTAGGGGTATCCCTGCTAGTTTGATGGCATGGGCCGTCATCGTCACGCTCGGCTATGCTCTCATGTACATAGCCGGGCTTTGATATGAACTCGAGTGCACGCCCCCCTCTTTCTTTTCTTCCCCCTGGCGATTGAGTTACAATACATATCCATATATCCACATATGGGACATTATGTGATGCTTGTTTCACGATATAAGGTATAGTTAGGGCATTGACAAGGTGGTAGAAGGAGTACAAATAGAACGGTAGAAAGGCTATACTTGTTTCAAACATTTGTTTATTTCGAGTATATGCATCTACTAAATCAAACGTTTATAAATCGTTTCGTTATTTATTCTTTGTCTTCTGACCTCTTTCTGTTTCTTTTCATATTTGATGAGATTCAAATACAATTGAAATTCATTAATAATCCATCCCTTGCACTCAACGATTAAACCATGATCATAGTTAAGTCTGGAATTACTATACATGCAAGCATCACATCACACCGACAGAAGAAAAGGAGAAGATTGTTCATGCCATCATATAACCAACGCTAATAAGTATATAGCCCAAGGGGGAACAAAAGGAAAGGAGAAAGGGCCATCTAATCTGCGAATATCAACCAGAAAGAGGCAACATAGTACGCAGACGAAGGAAGCAGGACGGCAACATGGTATCGAAAGATTTCAAATGAGAGCTAACGAAGTGAGATAAATGCTTTTTATATTAAGCGCATTCACATCCACTTTTAGTTGCTGTTATGAATGGTTAGCTTGATATTTTCGGGGAAGATGGTAAGAGGGGGGAAGGGTTGAACTGACAGTAAGCCAAGGGTTAGATCACCATGGATCTTAGCTTTTAATTGCACTTCGATATCCAGGTTCAGGTCCAGCCGCAACCGCAGCTGTTCGTCCTTGCCGCCGCTATCGTCCTGTCCTTCCCCTTTGTTGCCGCCTAGGATACCTCCCACAGCTTTGCCGGCAGTGTTGGTCACGCCGTTGACGGCATTGCCGGCTGTATTTTGTACGAGGTCACCGGCTTGGTCTATGCCACCGAGGCCGCCGAGGGGACCGCCGTCTTGTTGCTGGCGACGTGAGCGGCGCTGTCGACGAGGCTTCTCAACAGCGGTGTTATCCATGTCGCCGCGGTCGACGTTCTCTGTGTCCGAGTCCTGTCGGTACTTTTGTGGGCGGGGTCTCCGTGGACGCCGCTGAGGTTCTTCTTTCTGAGGTTGAGGTTGAGGTTCGGGCTCAGCTTCAGACTGAGGCTCTTTCTTGGGTTCGGCGTCGGGCTTGGATTCGGCTTCTTGTGGCTTAGAGTCGGGCTGGGGGTCTTGTTTAGACTCGTCGTCCGACTTGGGTTCTTGTTTAGGCTCAGCGTCGTCAGAGTTAGACTCTTGCTTTGGCTCAACGTCCTGTTCCTCCTTGGGCTGAGGGGACCCCGAGTTGGTATTTTCTTCCTGGGGGTTGTTGTTCTCTTGCTGAGGGGTTTGAGGGTTGTTATCCTCTTTGTCTGACATGTTGAGAAGGAAGGCGAGGGATTATATTCTGTGCTAGCGGTCTGGTGCTCGTAATATAGTGCTTAACCATGGTCACATAGTCCAATATCATTTATATGATGCGAGCGACCTGCATGGTTAGTAACCGGCCGCCCACAGTCGACGTCAGCTATGACCATCTCTGCTCGATCGGATTGGACCAAGAGCCAAAGCGAAGATCAACGGCGTCATCCGTGCGACAAGAGGGAGGAGGGTGGGAACTAGACATGATTGAAGCGTTGGATATTGAAGGCCATTCAGAATGACGTCGACTCAGGCAAGGGTGTCTCAGTCTTTTTTTTTTTTTTCGTTTGACCTTGGAAGTTGGGCAATAGTGGAAGATCGTCGGCAACTGCAGTGGTATTTAATTTGTTTAGCGCCAGATGTGTTGCCAGATACGCCAATGAAACGGGGCCGGAGAATTACCGCGTGTCTCCATATTTGTTGGTCCACTTGAGTCTTGACCACTAGTTGGGGGTATGACGCCACGCACGTCAGATCGTCATACAATCTAACGGGATTATGGTGGGCCAGAAGTGACATTTGACGTTAGAATCGTGATAGACCATACTGTCAAAAGGACGGATATGCATAGCCGTTGGTGATGGATTCCCTGGTTTCATCGGTTTCTTTTCGCGTGGGAAAGTAAGAAAGCAAGTGTTTGATCCGCGGTTCGCACCCGAACAAAAGCCGGTTCTCACAATAGAAGTCACAATACGCACTGTAGTAATTCCGTCTGTGGCTGCGTTAATTATGGAACAGCACATCCTTGGAACAGTAACAGGGGGGACCCGCCTCTCGACGACATATTGCTGTCAATCACTCTCCATCGGCTACGTTATCGTCCCCAAGAGTTTCTCCCGTCGTCTGACCCTCCAGGACTCAGACACAAGAACAGCAGCGCCACGCTGATTAGCTGCACTAGCGGAGATCTTGCAGTTGGAGGTACACTGGCAACGTCATGCTCATGGCGAGGGGGGTAATTCGTAGGTGGCTGTTCTTTGCTGGTCCCGTCGTACAGAAGAAGGACTTCATCGTCTGCCGCACCAGCAAATATCCTCCCAAATTCCTCTGTTGCTCAACGGTTTCCCCCACCCCTATACCTCTAGACGTATTTAGTTTCCGGTAGTATTTCCAACTATAGTCTTTTCTTCTCATTTTGACCCAGGGTTGTGATTCAAGCGCATCGCCGGTTACCGCGTCCTTCTCGCCCGCAATTTGATCCTCTCCTGAACCCTCATTGATATTTCTCAGCATGGCCACTGCAGAGAAGAAGAAAGAAGAACGACTTGCCATTCAGCCGGACGAATACTCGGATGGCGATTACGATACGGATGACTATTCACTGTCCGAAGACGAGCAGGATCAGAAACCCCAACGTCCGAACCAACAGCAAGCTCGACGACGCCGCCGCCAACAGCAACAACAACACAAGCGTCAAAACGACGAGTATGACGATGAAAGTGACTATCTTTCCGATGAATACGATTCAGATGAGTACGATGACGATGACTATGGCGATGCGAATAAGGGCAATGCCGTGCAGCCATATAAGCGCGGCACTCAATCCTTAACACAAGGCACAATCACAAACGGAGCCATGACGGATGCTCCTGGACAAGGGAAAAATGATGATGAGCAGGATGGCCTCAAACTGAAACTGGAACTGAACCTCGACATCGAGGTAGAACTCAAAGCCCACATTCACGGAGATTTGACACTGTCGTTGCTGTAAGTATCTCCTTCTTTTGGTTCTCAGGATAGACTCAAGCACCATCGGTCAATTTTACCCGACTCAACATAGAATAGGACCTAACCTGACGGTCGCAGTGCATGATTGGGGAAAATGTTAATTTCGCCTCTTATATTAGCTCTTGACCGCTTCATCCCTCGAATCGATGAAACATGTCTGGCATGAAGTTTATGAAAATATTCCAGACAAACAGCAACCTGTTCCGCATGTTTCTTGTTAGTTCAATAGAGTCCTGCGCTCAGGTAATGTTTTTTTTTTTTCAGTGCATAATTACTATACTCCACTTGTTGGTATGATTAATGGCATGTGTTCGATATTGGTATTTGCGTTTCGGCTTGAAAACGTTGGCTCCTGGTTGTCTTGATGTCTCAATTATTTTTGCAAACATGCATACTTGATTCCCGATGTTAGTTATTCGCATTGCGAACCTCAGGCGTGCAGAATATGTGTGATCCAGTGCAGAATATAGCGGATGGTTCAAAGATCAACAGCACTATCTAGGCTTAAAGCGGCATAATTCACTGATATCCCAACAACTGGGTAAGTCACGTAAGCTCTGGTGTAGTCAGTATAGCTGGTTGAGGTGTGATGTAGAAAGGCATCCGGCCCTTCTGCAGGATGGTACAATGCTTCATTTCGATTTCATTGTGTAGGAGGAATAAACACGGATAATTGCTAGGTTGTAAACCGGAGATGATTCAAAAATAATATAGGAGCTATGAAGAGTTAGTTATCAGGCGGCTATGTGACGACCTACGAAGCAACTAATGTCGAGTTGCTTCTGATATATAAAAGTCTCAAAGCTCTGGACAATCAGATGGTTTCAATAACTTGAATTCATCACGGAAATATGTAGTAGTATATATAGTATAAAGCATACGCGTGTGTCTGGATCCGATGGGCAGCCTTATTGTTTTCAATTTTGTGCAAAGAATAGGTTGATGAAGAATTCAAGTTCTACTCTCGAAGGGAGTCGAAAGAGATGATGGGCAGAGCGATTCCTAAACCGGGACATACTCATCACGTGCGTTTACCTTCTGTCTAGCAGATCAATCGCATTGCATACCGAAAATATCTAAAGTGCCTGGAACCGAGCTTATCTACCCTGAAGCTTAAACGTAAGTACTAAGTAGACTGTTAGTAAAGGGAAGCACATGAGCATCTCAACCATCCGATGTTCGTTTTCTTTACAGAAGCCGAGGTAGAAGCTTGGCATTACCAAACGGAGTCAAGTACTTTAACTCCTGAAGCGGAGTACCTGACGAACTGAAAGTACATACATTCTAACCTCTATTTATACTGTCTCAAGGCCTGAAAAGTACTTGAGTTCAATTGAAAGACCCACCCAGCAGCAACAATGGCCGCATTCAATGACGACAAATCTGCGTCTAGCAAAACCTTCATTATCAACCACATGAACGCGGACCACCAGAAATCGCTGGCGATGTACCTCCGTGTCTATTGCAATGTCGCCGATGGAGACGCCAAAGCCGCACGGTTGGAAGACATCACTCTGTCTGATATGCTCATCAGCGCCAAGGGCACCCGCTACAGCGTGCCCCTAGATCCACCCATGAAAACATTTTCCGAAACTCGACAGCGCGTGGTGGCAATGCACAATGAGTGTCTCCAACGGCTAGGGCGCTCGGATATCATCATCAAAGAATATAGAGCACCCCGAGGCTGGGAGGCGATCAACTTTGCCGTGGTCGTAGCTACGTTAATTGTGTTCTCTCGAGGCAGCAATTTCCTGCCGGGGTCATTGCTCTACGAGACAGCTGGTCTTGACAGGTTCCCAGCATTCACTCAGTTTTGCCACACCGTCCAGCCCATTCCAGGTACGCTTCTGCTGGGAATTCATGCTATCGAAGTGGTTCTGCTGGCGGTGAAGCGCTTGAAACCTCACGGTGTGCCATTTTTGTCTGGTGTATGGTTTGCGTGGGTAGCCACCATTATGATTGAGGGAGTATTTGCATTCCGGAGATTTGACCGGATGGTGAAGGAAGAGCAAGTGAAGAGGGAGCATCGCAAGTAGTAAGAAGATGCACTACGGAGTACATGTGGCAAACCGGTCCACATAGGGGGAAGGCCTAACAGTCTTTGATGGCTCATTTTTTTTTTTTTTCTTTTGTGGACAAAGGGTTTATGGCCTAAAATTAACTGATAGATGTATCTGTACCAACTGTTCTTCAGGCATTGTCAAAAAACACAGATGCTTATTGATTACATTATTATTATAAGACATTCACCGGAGTAGACTAGTCAATGATCTTCAAACCATTTGAACAATCTCGAGGGAAATTCTATAGAAAAGGAAAATAAGATTTGTTCAAAAGCGGTCTAGCCGAAAGGTCACGGGAATGGGTATTATGCCGTATTAGTACTAGCGCGCACTTTGGACTAGGGCAACTTCTCAAGCGAAGGCACAGTGCGAAATTCACGATAGTCCGACGACAGCACTCAACTCCACGACCACCCAACGACCCTTGCCCGCTGCGTTCCTGGTGAAGGGCTGCAGGATTAGAGGTGAGTTTACTATCGTCATTCCAAGTGTTTTCGATCTCCTCTTTCTGGTTTCACCGTTGCGTCGAGTGTCGAGCGTTGGTTATCGTGCCCGTGTGCCGCTTAGCGATTGAAGTCGATCGGATTAGTTTAAGGGACACAATCAAAGGAGAGAAAGGAGAAACCGAAGGGGAATATCAACGACGAAAAAAGAAAAAAAAACGGAAAAAAATTTTTTCACACATCGTCTTGTCTCCGATATACATAAACTATCTGCTTGGGCTTTGCGACCGCTTGCCAGTGCATTCGATTTTTGACCGCTCACTATCTCACGCTCCAACGGGAAACTTGAAAGGGAAAATCAGAATCAAACGGAACTACTGCATCTACGGGTTCTTGATAACTAATTGTCTCTGTTGTTGTCCACAGTCCCCTCGAAACAGCAAACATGGGTATTTCTCGCGACTCCCGCCACAAGCGCTCGGCTACCGGTGCTAAGAGGGCCACCTACCGCAAGAAGAGGTATGAATGAACTTGAGATCTGAGGAACCCCGTTCTTCGAACCCAGAGAAAGAGGCCCAAATTCTTACACATCTCCAATAGGGCGTTCGAGAAGGGTCGCCAGCCCGCCAACACCCGTATCGGCAACAAGAGAATCCACCTTGTCCGCACCCGTGGTGGTAACCGCAAGTTCCGTGCCCTCCGTCTCGACTCCGGTAACTTCTCCTGGGGTTCCGAGGGTATCTCCCGCAAGACCCGTGTCATCGTTGTCGCCTACCACCCTTCCAACAACGAGCTGGTCCGTACCAACACCCTGACCAAGTCGGCCGTTGTCCAGATTGATGCTGCTCCTTTCCGTCAATGGTACGAGGCCCACTACGGCCAGCCCCTCGGCCGTAGACGCCAGCAGAAGACCGAGACCACCGAGGAGAAGAAGAGCAACAGCGTTGTGAAGAAGCAGGCTGAGCGCTTCGCCGAGAGCGGTAAGGTCGAGTCTGCCATCGAGAGACAGTTCGAGGCCGGTCGTCTCTACGCCGTCATTGCTTCCCGCCCTGGCCAGAGCGGTCGTGTTGACGGTTACATCCTGGAGGGTGATGAGCTCGCTTTCTACCAGAAGGCTATCAGGAAGTAAAAAAGGAAAATCGTGTTGTAAAAGGGTGGTATCGGAGTTTCAGCAATTTTTTCCAGAATACATTTATGATCTCTGGGGCACTACGGGTGCATTGTGTGTAGAGCTCTGAGCTGTCAGCAATGGAATGATCCTCGTTATGTTCTGTCGAATTTGAATAATCGTTTCCTTTTTTTTCCCCCTCTTCTAGAGTTTTTTTTTTTTTTTTAAGAAAAAAATCACTTTCCCCACAATCGATACCGTAAAGTTCTTGTCAGCAATTACACCCTTTTTACCCCCCTATTGGGCATGTCTTCAGAGATTCCAGTCGGTTATCTATGACGCCATGTTGGCCCCCCTCCCGCATTTTATCATCTTGACCTGACCTTAAAAAACATCATCACAACACCCACTCTACCCTAACACAACACAACCGACCACCTACACTATCTTCCTACCTATTTCCCTACAACCAAAACACATAATCTACACCTCAATAACCCCCTCCTCCCTCTCTCAAAACCTAGAATAACAATCCCCTCTAAGAACAACAAAAATGACCATCAAAACCCGCATCTGTATAATTTCCGACACCCATACCCTAACCCCCAACCCAGCCCCAAACACTACAAACCCCTACCGACATCCCCTCCCTAGCTCCCACATCCTCCTACACGCCGGCGACATAACCAAAGTAGGGCTCAAAGCCGAACACGAAGTGATCCTGGCCATGCTCAAGGAGGCACCCGCGGAGCTGAAGCTAGTCGTAGCGGGGAACCACGACATCACGTTGGACGAAGAATACTACACACGGATCGGGCACTACCGACACCGCTACAGAACAGATCACACCGCGGCATCCGCGACAGCGGGGAAGGAGAACGTAGGGGCGTCCTCCGAAGAAGAAGGGCGGGTGGAATCCGTGCGGGAGGTCAAGGCGCTATGGACGAGTGAGGAAGCCATGAATGCCGGGATCCGGTATATGGAAGAAGGGGTACAGACGTTTACGTTGGGGAATGGAGCGAGATTTACAGTATATGCGTCGCCGTATACGCCGGAGTTTTGTCAGTGGGCGTTTGCGTATGATCGGGATACGGACCGGTTTAACCCCCCGCAGTCGATATCGGAGGGGGTGTTTGTGCCGGCGAACCCGGTGCCGGATGATGGGGTGGATATTATGTTGACGCATGGACCGCCGTATGGGATCTTGGATAAGGTGGTGGGGTCGCATGCTAGTGTTGGCTGTGAGCATTTGTTTCGGGCTGTGGAGAGGGCGAAGCCTCGGTTGCATGTTTTCGGGCATATACATGAAGGGTATGGGGCGGCGCGGCTGGAGTGGAGTACGCGGAATCAGTCGATCATTCAGTGTGATAAGGAGACGACGCTTGAGGATCGGTGTGCGTATGCGGATGTCAGTGGAGAGTCGAAGAGTCCGCTGAGGGTGGGCGATGAGACGCTGTTCGTCAATGCGAGCGTGGTGACGGTTCAGTATCAAGCTATGAACGCGCCGTGGCTGGTGGACCTGGAGCTTCCTTCAAAGTAGAAAGTATTATGGGATTATCTCTTGTAATCGTTTTCCCGTTGGGTGGTTGTTTGAAATTACATATATATATCCTCTTTGGCGTGCATGCTATCCTTGTTTTGCATCTCAAGGGAATGGACCTAATTTGCCATGAATCAAGACTAAATTCAAGGCGTGTCGACTTCTGCACTAAAGTATTTTACATAGCTTGGTAGGTGAGTTAAGCTGGTTGAACAAAAGCGGCGTGTTTTTGATTATATATAATTCCCATGGATCAATCTTTTTTTTTAAAGTAAATATCCAACTCCCGGGACCTCCACCAGCCATCCTGCACCTATGGGTATAAAGGAGTCCACACATAAACAAAGGGTAGAAGAGATGGTTGAAAAAGGGAGTGACCATATGAAAGGTAGTAGTGAAATTTACAAAGCAGCCCAGGATTATCTGAACGAACAAAAGAGACGTTGCGATCAGCAACAGACAAAAAAGGAGATGAGAGTAGGGATAGGTATCTGGGAGGAATCTCTTATGCATCATGTCCTGAAAGTGAGAAATGAAGAGGAGAAAAGAAGGGGTAAAATGGATCCAAAAAGCAGATGAGAGAAGAAATAAGCAAAGAAATCACCGTCACCGTCACCAACACGTGGTACGTACCGGACTCGAGAAAGGAAGAGGCAAAGAGAATATAAAAGTATGATATGACGAAATCCTGAAGGAGGCATAGCAAGGTATAAGTACGCTGCGATGCAAAAGAAAAAAGAAAGAAAGAAAGAAAGAAAGAAAGCTTCGATCAAAAGCAAGAACATAAAAGAGAAGAGGAACGAGCATTAATGTCCAGACATTAAAAGAATAAAAAAGGGCAAGAAGGGGAAACGAAAGAAAATAAGTAGAGATGAGCGATTCTACTCTTCGCGGACTGCCATGCCATGTGCATCCGATCTGAAATCGAGGCGACTACCCTTTCGCCCGACACCCTTGAGCAGGCTGAATCTTTTCATAACAGAGTCCCGAACACCACCGGCATGAAATTGGGTTTGCTGGGGAATTTTCGGGCTACCCAAATCAGGGCTTCTGATTGAGGTCCGACTGCTCTGTGTCACTGGACGAGGATAGTCACTAATGGAAGGAATCGTGGACCATCCAGATTTGGGGCTGACGGCTGACGGCCGGTCGTTCCCTCTGGCCCCTTTGTTTTGTGAACTTGCCCGACTAAGGGTCTCCTGCGACTTCTGTGGTTTCGCACCTGCATCCCGGGAAGCGCTTCTCGAACATTGGCTCGTCTGCGCTTGGGTATCTTCAGGCAAAGGTTTCGTGATTGACAATGACGAAGTATGTCTGTGCAATTTCTCTCCAAAGAAGCTTCTGCGCCTACTCTGAGTATCCCGTGATTGACTAGTGGTCCGGCTGTTTATTGTTGCTGCATCTTCACGGTCTATATCCTCGACTCGGCCGTTTTCAAGTGGACCGTTATCCTTCCCATCCAGTTGCGACTTTGATTCTCCATTGCCATTGGTCACCGAGCCGCTTGCCGCGTGATTCACACGTTTGAAGGGGTTCATGATACTGATGACAGATGGCCTCTGGGAATGTTTGCGAGTGTGGTTTTGCCGCGAAGAACGGATCAGTTCCTGCTCCGGAGTGTTGGAGCGCAGAGCTGCCTGCTGTTTACGATCTTGTAAAGAGCGAGGAGACTGACGCGGTGCTGAATGTGGTGCCTCCTGTAGGACAGGGCTAAGAGAAGCAAGTTCCGGGGAAAACGCCTCTTCGAAGCGGCGCATCAATTCAGCCTGCGTCGCTTGGTGCGCTGGACGATAGAAGAGAGCCAGGGCTTGTTTTATTGCCAATGCGTGATCAATCAGAGCGACAGCTAGAGCCTGGTTCAAAGGATCAACTGGTGTTGGCGTATCCTCATGCTCAGTATCGCCTTGAGGATGAGACAAGAACTGTCGATAAAGGGCTACGCAGCCGGCGGAAGACGAGTTGAGCTCTAATAACTGCTCCAACGCCTCCGTTAGGTTCGACAAGCTCATGTCCTCACCAGATGCGGCGCGCCTTTGCAGCAATGCTAGTTCCTGAGTCTTGCGCCAAGTTCGTTCAAGGGCGGTTTGCATGGGGGTAAGGGCTAGCTCTTCCACTGCAACCACTTCGCTTCTCCGAAGAATATTCGGAAATGGCTCCGCAGTTGTGTAGACTGCCTTCTCCACCCATTGCTCCTGGACATCCGCATCACGGATATGTCGTTTTAATGTCGAACTAAAGCGGCAAGGCTCGGAAATCAAGAGGTGATCCCTTACAGATGACGAGACTTTAGATCGTTGATAGACCGGATGCGTCATATCACGGTGGACAGTTACAGGGCTGATATGTAAAAACTGACCCTCATAATCATGAACTTCTCCTGGCGATACAATTTGCGCAGCTGGATGTTCCCTCTGCATACGGTCGACGAAAGAGGCCATGCGATCGGTTGGAGAGCATTCAAAGATGAATTCTTTATCCCGTAGGGTTGCTGGGAAGCCGAGTCCCTTGTACAGCACACGGAAGTAACGTGGGAATTGTTTTTCCTCTTTTGCAATGATCTCGTATATCTTGGCCATTGAGCTTTGTGCCCGCGAGAGCTTAGCGAAGTCCATGATGGTATCTTCATATTGCTGAGCTAGTTCCTTGTAGCAGACGAGCGCATGTGCCCAAGATTTAGCATCTTCAAAAAATTGAATGATTGAGAAGTACAAGGACTCTTTCCTCTCAAAAGACGTCTGTTCTGGGAAAGGAGGGTTGAGAAGCTCGGGAAGGGATCGTCTCGGATCCCACTCATAGAGATCGGCATGGAATTGGAGTGCAAGGCCAGCTTCAGTGAAATTACCTGCTGCGGCTTGAAGCTGAGCCAACTCGTGAACATAGCGAATGAAGATATCTTCACGGCCCATGTCTTTCATGTACTCCATCAGCCTGAGGGAATGCAAACTTTCAGCCATAGATCCACTTTGTGAGGCCACAAATAGATCAAGAAGCTCATCTACAGTTGCGATAAGCGCTTTGACCGCATTTGAGAGGCTTTCGTCGAAAGAAGAACAGCTTTCGAAATGCTCCGTCAACTCAGCAATGAAGAGCTTTTGGACGACGCCTTCGTTCATATTCTTCGTTTTGAAGAGATTATCCAGGCTAGAAATGATCTCCGTTTCGATGATGGACAGGTCTTGGTTAAGGCTCCATTCGCTGAGAATCATTGTCCGCAAAATCTCAACCGCCACATGCCGCAAACCTTCATGGACACTGAGGCACAGCTCGATGATAGGGGCCACGAGACCAGGGACATACTGAACCTGATATCCTCCAAGCTTTTTCAGGCCATACTGCTCCCTCTCTTCATCTGTGGTATCCCAGCCTATGGCCTCCCAACTGGAATGCAACAACTCGGCGCCTTGTTCACGGACATCGCCAGCGATCTTCCAGATAGCACGCCGTTTCTGCTCCGGGAAGGTCTCAAGAGCTAGGACATCGCTCGACACGACCTTTAGTAGAGTCATGAAAAAGCTTTCCCATAGTCGTGTATCAAACTTCTCTGCATCTTCTGGCGTCGGTAGGAATTTGGCTATCAAAAGCGAAGAGAGATACTCAAGACTCTTCACTGTCGCCCGGTGGTTGTATACATGAACACTGAGCCAGCTCTCAGGGTATGCCTCGCAATTCAAAATTGAAGTATGAACCTCAAAAGCCTGGGAGAGAAAAGTCGCAAGCTCTAAGCCCTTCAACCGAGGACGTTTAGGGTTAGGTATCGCTGCGGTGGCAGCCATGACTGCGGACAGCTCCACTAAAGCTTCATCAAACTTTTGCGTTTGCTTGGAGGGTTTCACCTGGAACGGGAAGGATTTGCTGAAGAGCAGGGAGAGATAACTGGTATCTTCCACACCGTCGGGTATAATGGTGTAATATGAAGAGACGATCTTGGGCATGAAGTCGTACACATATGGGTCGGGCTCCTTCGCGAGCTCTGCGACTATTGCACAGTTCAGCCGAACTTGATCACGGTACAAATCAGAGACAGGCCCGATAGCCCCCCAATACGGTGCCAGCCAGCCTATACAACTGGAGACCAAACTTTTCCTCTCCGGTCCAGTACTAAATATCTCGAGACGTGTATAATGCTGTATCAGCACTAGCTTATAAAGGATTAGCATACCCTTAACATCCTTGCACGAATCCATAAAGCTGAGGGCTATCATAATTATTTCGTCCTTGGGAAGCACTTTTGTTAGCTCCGGCAGCCATGTGTGAAAATGCTGGACAACAAGCGTCTTGCTTCCAACCATGGCAGGAGAAGGGTTCTTCATGAGAGCCTCAAGAGACTTGAACATCATGTGCAGGTCCCGGTTGAAAGTCGATTGAACACGGGTGATCCCGATGCCCTCCTCCTTCACCTTCTGTTGCTGCCTAGCATTGATGATGAATTTAAGGACGTGCCGTCCCACCTTGAAAGTGGCACGAAGGTTACGAGACTGCTGACCATCGGAACCACCTTGCAGGAGACGCTGATAGCTTCGAATGAGGCATGGAGTGGCAAACGGGAAGTTAAACTGGTTCTCAGCGTAATGGTCAACTAATGGGCCAAGATTAAATCGTCGGTCATGAACGATTCCGAGAACCGTGACCAAGTTCTTGAATATTAAGTCCTCATATTCCTCATTTCCAGCGTTTTCTACCAGGATACCAAAGAGAGCGTCGAAGACACTGCTAAGTTGCTTGACAATTTCAATTTCTGGCACGAAAAGAACCCTCTTCAGCGTATCCAAGACTTCATCTACTGGACGCTCACGCCAGTTCAGTAGACTTAGTATCACCTGATCTTGGGAATACTCCGTGCTACAGAGGATAGTCTCTAAGCGCAACGTAGCCAACGGTCCGGTGATAGCCTCGTCCTTGGCAGACTCATTCTTGCCCAGCGAGCTCCAGGGGAGCGACAGATAGGCTCCCTTACCATTCTCGATACTGGAAGTTAACTTGTCGTAGGCATGTAGTAATAAAGAATGAGGGCCGTCTCGCATAAAAGCTTGATTATCCCATAGCGGCATCCAAGCAAGGGCAAATGGAAACTCAGGCGCATCTGCAATACTCATGATGAGATGGGACCCTGGAATTTGGTCCGTAGGGATGTTGAGGCGAATGGTCTGGTTC